GTAATTAAGTTGTCCATCATTATAAAGGTATTTATTATTACAAAAGAAATCAATACGATATTTTGTAAGGATAAGACTTTTTTTTTGGGGGGGGGGGGGCAAAATTGTAACGATAAGACTATGTATACGAAAAATTCATCAGATACAGTTTCACATATTTCTATATCTAGTGTATTTTAATGGTAATCTTTTTGTATAAATTTACTTGATAATATATTATAGTTATATGGGTCTTATTATTTATACATTGATTACTATGAAATTGAAATGGTTTTGCTATTTATTAGATGTAGATATATATATATATATATATATCATTAATTATTCATAATTCAGAATCATAAGAAAATCAGATTCATATGCATCTTTCAGTTATTTGATCCATGAGTTATAATTTATAAACATAGGATCCGAATTTCTAAAAAATATAGCTTCAAGTCGACGTTAATAGTAATTAATTTAAGATAGCAACAAAATAAAAATTTGAAAAGAATAGTGAGGAATAAATGAGGGGACAGAAATTGGGAGCGGCTATTGCGCCACGCTTAGGCCGTTTTGTCTCGTCTCATTTTTAGATATTAGATAGCTACTTCTCACCCCCAACCATTTTTTATTTATTATTTTATTTTCTATTCATTATTTGTTTATCCATTTATAGAAAGAAAAAATACTTATATACACTTTCATGAAACCGTTCTTATCAAACATATAAAATATAACATGCTAAATCGTTACAAACGGCAATAAAACTGTGTAACGAAATTTTCGTTATAGATTTATCGCAAAAAGACAGCTTTTTAACCGATATTGAGTTACTTAACACCGATTACAAATTTAAATATGTTAGCCCTCTATTTTATTTTATTTTCATTAATAATCGAGGGAGGGCTTGTGCATGCCTCGTTATGTTTAGATCTCAATAATAGGATCCATTTCCCCCTACCACATTGCTTATTCGTAAAGTATATGATTAAAAACAAAGTAAAACACAAGCTTCATACTATAGGTCGAATTAAATACCATCAAATGCATTGAAAAGTAAAATCGAGATCTGCTTTTAGAATTCGATGATGAACATAAGTTCACTGATTAATCCATGATCTTATTATAATAAACATGTCAGGCACATAAATTATGTTAATCAGTGCTTTCAAATAATTTATTTGCCAATGCCACTAAATTATTAAAATGTGATTATCGATATCAGTAGGAATACACTATTAATCAAAACCTATATACTTATTAGTCTATTAGATTAGGTTCTGGTTGTACTACATCTTAGAAAATTTAGATAAATGAAATACCAACTTTATTTTTATGAAATACTTAATCCAACTTTATTTTTATGAAATACTTAATCCAACTTTACCAACTTTGTTTTATGAAATACTTAATACAACTTTATTATTGGGGAGTGTGATTACTACTACTAGGCATGTGATTGGAGTTTTTTCTTCATCTTTTTTTAACTTTAGACTTAATATCCAAGAGTCATACTTATTAATTAATCGAATATATGTCTGATAAAAAGCCGAGGTAGTACACATGTTAATTAAAAGGTCGGTCCACAATTAATTAATTAGAATGCTTTCTGCCTAACGTATGTGTGTAAATATAATTGACCAAGACTCTAACATTTGCCCCCCAAAAAAAAAAAAAAAAGACTCAATAACATAAGTTATGAAATTCATATAAATACAGTTCTTGATTTCTGGAGTCACAAAACAGTTTAAATTGTCTCGAGCTGTGAACCAGTTTTCTTATGTTAACAATTAACATAGAGCAAAATATATAAAATTATTTGTGAGTTTAATTGCTGTTACCATCGGATAGAGCAATAGTAGTTATTGACTTGTCATAGTCAAATAATCACTTACCATGCCATTGACGATTTCTCTTTGTTCATCGCTGACATTTTCAACACTCAGTTTCTCTATCCTTTTCAGTTACAATTTTTGTTTACAATAAAGTAATAAAATTCCTTTGTAAAACAACTTATTTGGTTAACTATGAAAAGTATACAGAAGAAAAAAGTATAATGCTTTCGAAACAAAGAAAACCAAAGTTTATCTTAACTTGCACAAGACGCAACACCAGCATCGACACCAACATCGTGAAACAATGAGAGTTTAGTAATCGCAAGAGCTTCTCCGAACAACGATGCCCTCGTTGATTTCTCTATCCGAACCTCCACAAAATCCCCAATTTCAGGATTCCTTTTCAGTTCATCGCCATCGAGAAGACACTCTGTATCAAACAGAGGCTTTGTGACAAACGAAACTCGGTGTCCTTTATCGGTTTTTCCAATGAGTTCTGTCTCAGGCGCTCTCTTGTTCGGTCCTTCGACGAGGACTAACTGAATAGATCCTACCTGAGAGTCGTAACACGGACCTGTTGTTTCGCGGAATGCTTCGATGAGTTCTGTTAAACGCCTCTGTTTCACTTCCTCTGGAACGTCGTCTGTGTACTTGCGATGAGCGTGTGTCTTTTCTCTCATGCTGTATGCAAACATATATGCCATATCGTACCCAACTGCTCTCACCAAGCTCAGGGTTTCTTGATGCTCTTCTTCGGTTTCTCCACAGAAGCCTACCAAGACACACAATTGCCTCTTTTGTATCAGATAAGTTGCATTAAGATTCTAAGAAAACCGAATAGAAACTAGAACCAAAAACCGTATCAAATATAACCGAATGGTAAGCACTTTTCATTCGGTTTCTATATTTCATTTCTGTATTAGGCACCTCTAGTCTAGTACGAGCAGAAATTTCTACGATAATCCATCGAACTAAAGATAAAATTTTCTAAAGAGATGGATCCGAACCAAAACCGTATAAAACCAAATCAGATGGTATTCAGTCTCTATTCGATTTCATAAACCACAATTTCTAAATACAGAAAGTTTCCAAACCATTTCCCTAGCTTGAATCTCGCTCGATCCATAACCGCATTAGGCAACTCTAGTCTAGTTTAAAGGCATCTAAACGTACAATATAAAAGTGGAACCATGCAATGATTTTGAGCAAGCGTACCAGTTATAAAGTCGCTGGTTATAGCCACATCTGGTATTATACTCCGAATCTTTTTAACAAGATCCAAGTAAGCTTCTCTGGTGTAACCTCTACGCATCTGTTCAAGTATTCTGCTATTACCAGACTGTGCAGGAAGATGGATGAGATTGCAGATATTATGTCTATCTCTCATCAAATACAGCAACTCGTCCGGGTAATCTTTAGGATGAGGCGATGTAAACCTAAACCGCATCTCTGGAAACTGTACAGAGAGTCGGTCTAAGAGATCAGCAAATCGCAAACCCATGTTTTTAACTTTACACCTGCTCGAGAATCCCTCACTGTACTCCCAGTTAGCACCTGACTCAGGATCAGCTGAATCATCGTTATAGCTGTTCACATTTTGCCCTAAAAGCGTAACTTCTTTCACACCGGATTCCCACAACTCCCCAACCTCGCGGATTATAGATTCTACGGGACGTGATCGCTCTCTGCCTCTTGTAAACGGAACAATACAGAAAGCACACATGTTGTTGCAGCCTCTCATAACTGAAACAAAAGCGGTAATTGAGTTTTCGGAGATTCGGACAGGGGATATGTCAGCGTAAGTCTCTTCTAGAGAAAGAAGAGTGTTGATTCCTTTTTGTCCATAGTCTACTTCTTCCAATAGCCTCGGGAGATCTCTATAAGCATCAGGACCGCAAACAACATCAACCATTTTATCAGAATCTAGAATCTTGTCCTTTAATCTTTCAGCCATACATCCCAAAACAACAACTTTAGGAGGTTTGAGAGATTGTGCTCTTCCTTTAGCGACATTGACTTTCCATTCTCGTTTTAGGAACCAAAAGTAGTTAAGTCTTTGCCATACTCTTTGTTCTGCATTTTCTCGGATAGCACAAGTGTTAATGAAAATGACTTCCGCGCTCTCAGGATCCGTCACTACTTCTTTATAACCGGAGTTTTTCATTATCGAAAGAACAATCTCCATGTCGTTTATGTTCATCTGACATCCATACGTTTCATGATAAATCCGACCTTTCGATGCAACGTCAGAATCTAGTGTGCTTCAAAGAGCAAGAAAGAATTCGAAAAGAAATGTATTAGCATCTATATAAGCTATAAATCACAATCAACATAATGAGAGTAATCACTTGTAAATTGCAAAGTTGCACAACTTGAAAGATTCAACATAATCTTTCACAACCTACGAATTGATGAGCATAATCTTCCACAAACATATTGACTTAAATGGTTTCTGGAACTAAATTGGCACTCTGATTCCTTAAATTTCGAAACTTTAGGTTCTCCAACCAATGGCCAAAACCAATTAAGTTATAAAACAAACAGTAATATCGCAAAATTCTCATAAAAATCAAAGCTTTAAGATCAATGAAACTCCTTAACCAATGAAACCTCTTTTAAACAATGGGGATTTACAAAATAGAAGACTTACTCAGATTCGATCTCGGGAGTGGTAAGAGAAGCATGAGCTTGAGCGTTGGAGACGAACTGGTGGAGGCTTGGACCATCAAACTTACCGGAACCAGCAATTTGAGAAACAGAGAAGCTTCTAGAAAGATTTAAGGCAAATCCATTCTTCCTATTGATCGGTTTTTGTGTGAGACGACGCGTGCTGCTGTGGCAACGAGGGAGAAGAGCAGAGGAAGAAGATGAAGAAGCATGTGATACTACTTTCGAGGAGAGGAATGTAAGAGCGAAACAGCGTCGTGTAGAGGCTTTGAAGCAGAGAGAGCAACCATGAGGGTTACTTAGGATTGAGGAGAGAGACGAGAGAGAAGAAGACGCCATTGGAGATTGAGGAGCTCCAAAGTCTCCACCACAACAACGGGAGGCTCTCTCAGGCTTAGGGATTTTACAAAATCTACTCACACTAAAACGCAGCGTTTCGTTATCCAGACTCAGGGGTAATAGTGACATTTCACTCTCAGCTTCTTTTTAATCGTTTAACGAACATTTTGATAAGAACGAAGAAGAAGAAGAAGAAGAAGAAGAAGAAGAAGAAGAAGAAGAAGAATGATGATGCAGAAATTGAGAAGATCGGGAGAGTTCATAAGATTTGGATGCAAATCTCTAATTACTAGCCGACCAAACAAGAACTCAGTGTCACGTTCTGTGTCAGGTTTTATCTCCAATTTGACTTTTGTAATTAGATTGAGAGATGGAAAAAATTGAACTTTGCTTTTGTAATTAGATTGAGGGATGGAAAAAATTGAACTTTTCTTTAGAAACTGAAACATTTTTGGATATGATTATTTCTATTTTGGATTTGTGTATCTTATTTGGTTGAATTATGGGTTTAGGCTTTGTGAATCACTACAAATCAAAAGGCAAGCTTTTTGAGCCAAGTGATGGGAACTATTATAACACAGAGCTTCATCATCCATGTATTAGTAGAAATTTGGGGATGCTTCTTCAGAAGTATAAATGTTTTGGATCATCAGCAGTTTCTTTAATTCAGAGAAACCCTCTGTTTTCGTCGTTGGATTCGAAAGATGTTAGCTACTTTAAGGAGATATTGGGTGAAAAAAACGTGATTGAAGATAAAGAAAGGCTTGAGACTGCAAATACAGATTGGATGCATAAGTACAAAGGATCTAGTAAGCTGATGCTCTTGCCCAAGAATACACAAGAGGTGTTTTGTTTCTCTACCGTATTAATTTGTTTGGATTGCGATGAATATTTGTGTTAAGCATAGATTATTTTTAATGCAGGTGTCTCAGATACTTGAGTACTGTGATTCGAGGCGTTTAGCTGTTGTTCCTCAGGGAGGAAACACTGGTCTTGTTGGTGGAAGTGTGCCTGTCTTTGATGAGGTTCTATTCTGTTTCTCTACTGATGTTGATTGGTAATGATCAAAAATGTTGGATATGTAGTGTAAAGCTAGCAATTTTGTTTTTCAGAAATGTGAGAGATACTGAAAAAGTGAAATTGGAATAAAAAGAAGCTTTTGCAATCATAAACGTGACTAATTCATGGCATCTTTTCAGGTGATCATCAATGTTGGTCTCATGAATAAAGTCTTAGCTTTTGATGAGGTAATTGGCAAAATCTTATGTTCAGATCAACTGCTGCTCCTCTTTTCTTTTCGTAGTTATAGTTAAAATGTTTCCACCGATATGTCTTCATTGTTACTTTGAGCAATATAACTATATACTTGATGATGATATGATGCTCTATCTTCAGGTTAGTGGCGTCTTGGTGTGTGAAGCAGGATGCATATTAGAAAATCTGGCAACTTTCCTTGACACAAAAGGGTAATATAACCATGTCTTCTTACCTTCTTTTAGTAACAATGAACTGAAACTTAATAGAAGATTGTTTCGTTATTACTCAACTAGCTCGGTTTTTTGTCAGATGTAGCAACATAAAATTTATGCTTCCTCAGTTTTATTATGCCTCTAGACTTAGGTGCAAAAGGAAGCTGTCATATAGGTGGAAATGTTTCAACTAATGCTGGTGGTTTGCGACTAATCCGTTATGGCTCACTTCATGGAACCGTATTGGGTAATGACTTACAGTTATAGTTTACTATCCATCTGAATACATTTGTGTTTCATCTTCATCATTTTTTATTTTCTTCATCTCAGGTCTAGAAGCTGTCACAGCAAATGGCAACGTGCTTGACATGCTTGGAACTCTACGCAAAGACAATACTGGGTACGACTTAAAACATTTGTTTATCGGTAGGTAATTACTATTGGCTTGTGCTTGTACAATGATTTCAAGTGTCACTTCATTAGCAAAAGAGACTAAATCATCTCGAGTTTTTCTCTTTACTGGTTTCCACAGGTAGTGAAGGATCACTTGGTATTGTAACTAAAGTTTCTATTCTCACACAACCAAAATTGTCTTCTGTAAATTTAGCCTTCATCGCCTGCAAAGATTATCTCAGCTGCCAGGTTTAATACAATTTCTTTTGTACTCCTGTAATTGAATTCTCTCTACAAAGGAGATAGTGCGTGACCTGTTGTCTCTCATTATGTTTCCTTTGTTGCCAGAAACTTCTTGTTGAAGCAAAGAGAAATCTTGGAGAGATACTATCCGCTTTCGAGTTTCTTGATAACAATTCCATGGATTTGGTAAGCTTTTAGGAAGTTCCTAATAGGAACTGTTTGCATTCCAGATACTTTATCTTGCGTACAAGTCTTTGATTTTTGCTAAACCCTTTCTCTTTTAATTCATTCAACAGGTACTGAACCACCTAGACGGTGTTCGTAATCCAGTTTCCTCTTCGGAGAACTTTTATATTCTGATAGAGACAACGGGGAGTGATGAAACTAATGACAGGTATTGAGAATTTTCTAGGCTTTCTTGTGACTTTCACAATTTTCCAGTACCATTTAAATTAAATAACTTCTAAGTATTTCAGATCCCTTGAGAGACTTTTTGCCTGATTCAAAAACTAATGCAGGGAGAAGCTTGAAGCTTTCCTGTTAAAGTCACTGGAAAAAGGTTTAGTTTCTGATGGTGTAATCGCTCAAGACATTAACCAGGCATCCTCATTTTGGCGCATACGAGAGGTAAAACACTTGAGAGTTATTTCCCCTCAAAAAGCTTGATGTTACACGACGAATAAAGTCATATTTATTACCCTGCAGGGTATAACAGAGGCGTTACAGAAAGCAGGAGCTGTGTACAAGTATGACTTATCCTTACCGGTTGAAGAAATTTACAATATTGTTAACGATCTTCGAGGGAGATTAGGTAAGAAATATATCAATGCATTCTCTCGTAATGACTTGAAACCGAAAGATTCAATGAAAACTGCAACCAAATATGCATATGCTTCAGGTGACTTAGCAAATGTTATGGGGTATGGTCACCTTGGAGACGGAAATCTACATTTAAACATCTCAGCCGCAGAATATAACGATAAGGTAAAATACAGATATCGATATGAAACATTCCAAGATGTTCAAATGATCGTTCATTCACTCTTTTGTTGCAGCTTTTAGGTTTGATAGAACCTTATGTCTATGAGTGGACATCAAAGCACCGTGGAAGCATCAGTGCTGAACATGGATTAGGTGTAATGAAAGCTAATGAAATCTTCTACAGCAAATCACCCGAAACCGTGAGTGTACAAACAACAAATGGAAACTATGTATACAGCTATTGTGTCACTCTATTCTAACGGGAATATAATATATGCAGGTTGCATTAATGGCTTCCATTAAAAAGTTGCTGGACCCAAAGGGAATTCTCAACCCTTACAAAGTTCTTCCTCACTCTCTCTTCTCTCACTAAGGTAAAAGATTATTATGCTTTATGATTACGCACCGAAATTATTGAAAGCATCTATCTTTCTATCTATGAATGCTCTTCCAACGTCGAAAGTGAAGAATCATCATCTTTTACTTTGGAATCATTGACATTCTTTTTTCGGCGAATGCAAGGTGCTGATGAGATGATTCTTCAAACAAAAGAATTTGGAACATGAGCAGCCAAGTTTGAGCGATATGATTGATGCAAAGGAACAAAAAAACAAGTGCTGATTAAAAAGTCTCTAAACTCAAAAGTGTATATGCTTCTTCTTCTTTGTTGTTGTTGTTGCCTTGTTTTTGTATATCTTATTACTAAGGATAAGAAAGAATCGAAACCTATGGATCTTACGTGTAGTTAAAGTCCAAATTTGCAGTGTATTTAGACCAAAACTCGAAAAGATAAAAGAATCTATCTATAATAATAGTATTATCAAGAATCTCTCACATTATAGCTTTCTATTCTTGGCAATTTCTGTTATAATGGATTCTCTTGTTTTGTTCACAAAAGACTTTAATTTTTTTTTCCATAGTTTTGGTTTTTCTTCATGGTTGTTAACCTTTCTTTAATAGGTCTTACTCTAAGAGAAACCAAATTCGTCTAACTTCTCTAATTCAAGAGATAAGCTATGGATTTTAACCTATTTGTTCTATGTTCTACCAAGTATATATTCTTCGGAGACCTAAGTTGGACCTAACTAGATAGGAATATAAGAAGTTCATTAAGAACCGTATTACCATAGCCATAGACCATAGTTTACATGGAACAAATGTTTACAAGTTTTGGTTAAAGGTGAAGCCAATGCATACAACAAGTCAACAACATCATGAATCATAATTGTAATGATGACTAGTCAAATTTGATATATAATCAAGTTGCTTACAACTTTTGTAACCATCGATCCATTCAAAATAATCACAAGGGTCAAAAGACAATGAAAGCAATATATCATCGATAAAAAAATCCAAGGCATCGATCGATGACCATTAACGAGAATTAAATTAAAACATTGTTACGAGAAATAAATTAAAACATTGTTACGGGTCAATTTTTACATGATGCATGCATCAATTATTATTATTATTATTTTTTTTTTTTTTTTTTTTTTTTTTTTTTTTTTTTTTATCAATTATTATTTTTGGTTAATGCATGCATCAGTTTGGTTATTATAAAATTTACACAATTCAGATATATATCATAATAGTATGAGATTTGTAATTTAGGAAATTTGGTTTTCTGCAAATAGATTTTGGAATGTTTTATGATAATATTCCTAACTGGTTTGATCATGATCGCGAGAGTTGCAAAAGCGTGTGAAGATTCGGTTCTCCAACACAAGTGGAAAGTCCCGGATTAAAGAGAGCCGACACGATAAAACGACGTCGGATCGATGACTGGACATACATCCAAACGCTTTAGGCACATTACAAAGATGATAAGACACTATAAAAAGCTCATTGGATATGGCTAAGGAGACAAAACACACACAATCTCTCTCTCTCTCACACTCACTCTAATAACTTTAAGCAAAAATGACGAGTTCTTCTGAATCAACTCGCAAGGTTGGTTAATTGCTTCTTAGTATACATAACATTCTTTTCTTTTTTTTGGTTAATTCGCTTGTTGTCTTTTGGTTTGATCATCTTTCTTTTGTTCTTTTTATGTTAGGGTCTGACCAAAATCGCCACGAACCGGTTGCAGAAAGAGTTTATGGAGTGGCAAACCAATCCTCCTGCTGGTTTCAAGCACAGAGTCTCTGATAATCTCCAACGGTATGTAACCATTTTCCGTCTGTCTTTCCTTTGAATATCGATAGTCGATGATGTAATGTTGAATTGTTGGTGTGAACAGATGGATCATTGAAGTGCATGGAGTTCCAGGAACTCTTTATGCCAATGAAACTTACCAACTTCAGGTTGAGTTCCCTGAGCATTATCCTATGGAAGCTCCACAGGTTCGTCCTCAAACTCCTTTCGTTAATACTTAACGATACCTAATCATAGCATCAAATCCCATAACGCGGTGGTTTCACCCGTAAACAGGTCATCTTTCAGCATCCAGCTCCACTTCATCCTCATATTTACAGCAACGGTCACATTTGTTTGGGTAAGTACATACTAAACACACATAAACGCAATGAGACACTTGTGTTTTACTCTCTCTTTCCTAGTCCAATGACAAGAGCTTCTATGTGTATTTTTGATGATGCAGATGTTTTGTATGACTCGTGGTCACCGGCGATGAGACTAAGTTCGATCTGTCTCAGCATTCTCTCAATGCTCTCCAGCTCATCCGTGAAGGTATGTGTGTTTTTTCGCATCTTCATAGGTTTCCACAGTAGAATCTTCTTCTTATGATGTTTATTGTTCTCTTTTTGCAGCAAAAGCCAAAAGACAATGACCATTACTTGAAAAACTGCAAACATGGAAGATCTCCCAAAGAAACTAGGTGGCGTTTCCATGACGATAAAGTATAACATCTCCTATAATAATGTGACTAGAAACAAATTGTATGATAATCTCAGGTCGAGTTCTTGATCTGTTGCTATCTTTAAAACAAGAACAGCTTCTTTCTACAGTTTTAACCATACGAAAAGCTTGAGCATAAAACTTGAAAGTTTGGAAATAGCATGATTCATTATTATATGAAAAAAATGGCCTGATCTTCTGTCGAGGAGAGATCATCAACAACTGTTAGTACAAACCAAGAACTGAGAGAATGATTGATCCAAAGAAAGAGAACATTGCTTCTAACAAGCCTTCGTGTATATTTTTGATTGAAGACAAAAATCTGGTTCCACCTCTAAAGAAAAGAGCTGCTGATAGACTTTCCATAACATTTTACATTTGTAATAAACACTACGAAGGACTACTCAGCAGAAGCTTCATTTGTTCCTGCTCATGCTCCATTTTAATAACAACTGCAGTGTCAAAATCTAAAGCTTAAGCATGTGAAGTAAAGACGAATCATACAGATGCTAGAATACCTATTAACGTTGTTGTTTCTAGGCAAATCAGTTCACATGTTTAGTCCCAACTCCCAATAGACTACAAAAGCTATTCTAATTGCTTCCTCAAGATTCCTTCAATTGAACATCATTTATGCTCTGTACATTTTGACAAGAAACTTCAAAGGTCCGTCATGAAACTCAACATCAAGCTCAGAACTTTTTACTTCCCATAGAAAAAAAAGCAAGCAACTTTATGCAATTCCAGAATCAAAATAATGTCCCTTTCCAATTCTCATACCTAATATGCACTACAATTCAACACCATGCTCACAAAATCCAAAGCTAGCTAATCCATCTGCTTAAGAGCAATCGAAAGTTGAAGAATTTTCAATAGAGGTACCTAACAATGGTCACTCCATAGCAACTTTAGCTCCAACAGCCTTCAATTTCTCAATGATCTTCTCTGCTTCTTCCTTACTAACTCCTTTCTTCAACAATGTTGGAGCTTTCTCCACCAAATCCTTCGCTTCCTTCAACCCCAAATCCGTAATCGTTCTCACTTCTTTAATCACCTTTATCTTCGACACTGCTTCATAAGCTTGAAGCATCACATCAAACGCAGTCTTTGCTTCCTTCTTCTTCTCTTTCCCTTCACCGCCGGCGGATTTTCCGGCTCCAGATCCCGGGAATGACATCCCTGGCATCATCGCCGCCATCACAGGCAACTCACTGATGTCTAGCTTCTGTCTAAGGATCTCAGTAAGATCCATTGTTTCCAAAAGAGTGAGATTCGATAACTCATTTACGATTTTGGAGACGTTTTCCGATTGCGTCGCCGGCGATGAGTAGCTCCGAGATTGGATCGAGAACAATTGAAAGGAACTTGGGTGTGTCTCGATGGATTTGAAAACTCGTGAGAAATGAGAGGAGATGATTCGCAGATTCCTCATAGTTTGACTCTCTATCGAATTGTTGTTAGCTTCGTTGAGAATTCATGTGAGAACATCAGAAGCTCAAATGAGAGAAGAAGAAGCATAAACCCTAACTAGTGGGAAGTGATAATAGTACTGGGCCTTTATGGGCCACTAATTTAAAATTGTTAAGTTTTCTAAATTCATAAATTATTAGGTTCGGTTTAGGCCCAAGAACAAAATTTTGAAAAAATTCTTAAAATATTTCCAAATACAAGTTTTTTGGTTTTATAAATTTCAAACTTATGCCTTAAACACAAAGCAAATAACACAGACATAAAACTTCAAATGACAGAATGAAAAAAAACAAGAAAAAAAACACACACACCAAGTAAAACTGTAAAAGCAAATGTCTCACATTTCTTCGTCAAGATATATTTATTTCTATCTCCCCAACAGTTTTCTCGTTTCAAGAATTCAAGAGTTGATCTTCCTGCAATTCTTCCTGATTTCGCCACTCGAACCTGTCAAGGGAGAGATATTTCCCATCTTGATCATTGATTCCGCAAATTGCTCAAAAAACTCTCCTTGATCTTCTGCATACTTTTTCACTAGCTCTCTCGATTTCTCGTTACTGCTGAATAGAACCTGGTCCGAATTCAATAGCCCCATATTCTCTATCAAGTTCTTGAAATAGCTGTTGTCGAATTTCGCGGCGCTGATGATGTCCAAAACAGAGAGAATCTGGTCCCCACCGGATCGTGGACACCTTTGGCGCAAGTTAGCAGCAAATGATTGTTCCAGTGTCATGTCTGGACGGCCGTTTCCGGACTGATTGTACAACCTCTGTCTGAAACTCGTGCATCTCGAGAATCCGATGGTGTGACTACCTGAGAAAACATTTGACAAGTGTGGTGGCTTGAGAAGCAAGTAACATATAATGGGGTTTCTTTAATTGTGTTCCATGTGTGTGATGCAACTGTGATAGAGTGACGAAAGCTTACCGGAAAGAGCAACAAGGTCAGTGACATCAAGTCCTTGACGGTTAAACTTCGATAGAATGGTTTGGAAAGTGTTGTTTGGTGCAGGGATGTTGTTGTTCGAACCACTCAAGCTTGCACTTCTCGAATCTCTTCTTCCCAATGGAACCACCCAGCTTGGTCCACCGGTCTAAACCAAAAACCAAACCGAGTTAGCTGATGATTCAGTTTTGGTTTGAGACAATAGAGATTATGGAGGCAACTTACAAGAACAGAGGAGTCTCTAGCGGCTAGAGTAAGAACATCAGCGCAAGAAACAGTTCCGGGGCATTGTTTCTCCAATTCAGCTTTGATCTGGTCAACTACGTCGAACCCACGAGCCGATCTGCTGTTAGGGTTTGAGTTTTTCTCACTCACTATCCTTCCACTGCTGGCTAGAAGCAAAGAGCCATCACAACCCTACATTTCACAGTTACCTTGTTAAACAAGTAAACTTAAAGTAACAAAACATAAAATGGTGAAACGTAGAAAAAATTAACCAAACCTGAACGAAACAGTCGTGGAAATGAAGTCTCAACAAGGAAGCAGCCATACGGGTCTCTCTAGCAACAGCGTTAGCTACAACTGATCTCACGATCTCATTGACTTGCGGGCAAGAATGGGCGTAAAAACCCGGGAAAAGTTTGCCTCCATAGCTCTTGTCGCAGAGACAGAGAGGGACAAAGCAAAGGAGAGGAAGAAGAAGGAGAAAGCTAGTGAGTCTTGCCATTACTTTCAACAAGAAGATGAGGAAATGAGAAGACTTTGTGATGATGCTGTGATATGAAGTAAGAGGAGAAGAATAAGGTATTTATAGGAATAGACTCTGAAGAATAAGAAGAAGCAAGAGGAAACGGAGTTGGTATTAGCAAAAAAATCAAGGGAAATGCAAAAAATAAAAGATTGTAAAAATTTATTGGAGAAAAGAAGATTAAAAGTGACTAAAGCTTGGGTTTGGTACCCAGCATTGCATGCTAAGTTTGACTAATTAACCTTTTTGGTTTAGTTTATTAAAATTAATTTGACTTTAGAAACTTGGAGGGGGAAAAGAAAAGCAAGCTTTGAGTTTTTAATCTATAGACTTTTTATCTTTATCCATATTTTAACGACTCAGAACAATAATTTGAAGAATAAAAACTTCTTTTGCCCTAGGAATATATAAATATTGGTTTTATCTATGGTTTTATGTCAAACTAATTTGCCCTAGAAACCATACAGAAGAAATATCAAACTAATTTCTGACTTTTTGACTTTTTCAAAGAAAGATGGAGATTAACTAAACCACCTCTTATGGTCGACGACGATCTAATCACTAATAGTAATTATCTTTCCTAGTAGAAATGAAAAATCATTTTTCTTTTTGTCAATGTAGATCTTACATGATAATATACTTCAAGATCAGAATCGTAGGGATGTCTTCATCAACTTGGTTTGATCTAAAAGTATTGGTATTTTATTTTCGGAAGGTAACTAAGAAACTAACTTTTACTGACATATCCTTTTGTAGAAGTAAGAGAAAAAGCGAGGTAACCAAGTATGAACAGAATAATCAGATCATATTTTAAGAAAGTAACCAATATAAAGCCTAGATTAACCTAAATCTAAAAGAGGAATGCAAAAAACAATATTTACTTTGTTGCAAAGGATATCCATAAAAACATGTTTGCGTAGACAAAGTCCAAGTCTTTTGTCTAGTGAGAAAGGTAGGAGAGTAGGAAGAGATTCTAACCACTCCTTTGACAAAAAAATGTTTCAATCTTTGTTGACTTTATAAACACACTCTTGTTCTTGTAACCTAAGCAAAGAAAGAACACTTTCTTTTTCTGTCTTTTTCTATCATAGCACATGAATCTACTGGTGAAAACAACAATCTCACGGTGAAGCTATTAACTTTTTGACTCTTTAATATTTTGCCCTCTTTCTAGAAACTAAACATAAAAAGCAAAATCCGGAAATGGCAGTCACAAGCGTGCCATGCCATGGCTTGAAACAGTATCTCTTGTGAGGCGATTAACAAATTTAGATGGAACCGTATGTTCTTTCACTTGGTCTCTGTGTTGTTGCTGGAGTAGAAGATGCGGAAGAGCGGTCCCATGAGACTTCATTGGCAAAAGCATTGTTGATGTCTTCAGTTCTTGAGTAGCTTTGTCCACTTCCACTCACCTGTTTATCAAGACCAAAATCGATTAGCTTACATAGAAATTGTCTCTTGAGAGATCCATAAATTGTACCAAAGAAAACAGTCAGCTTTCTCTTTGATTTCGCATAAATGGAATCCTTTGAGTTTTCTTGTAATACTTACAGTTTCTAGTAAGCCCGATAGAAGTGACATCCCCGGCAATGCATCAATTCCACGCTGCGTCCATTTGAGCATATCAGTGATTGTGTGTGTATACGTGACAGAAGAATTAGAGAATGGAAGTAGAAGAATTGAAGATTACCACTCGCTCTACTCTTGTTTTGTAAATAAAGCCTCCACAGCAGAAAAGTGTAGATGCAACGAGTAATCTGATCAGAAGAAACACACCAGAATACAATGAGTTGAGTTATCTTCAGTTATATGGCCGCATGAAAAATCACAAAGCATTTCTGCAAGAAAAGTATTGTTCTGTTGCAAATGTTAGTAAGATTCTGAGAGTGAGATTTACTTACACACAGGAAAAAACTCCAAATATAGCCCATCCTTTCGCTGATCCTCCTTCATTACCTTGGTTGTATTCTGAAATGATTTAGGAACAAAAAAAATTATGTGTCAGAGAGAGAGAGAGAGAGAGAGAGTGCAAGCAATGGAAATATTCAGCTCAAGGGGAATGCCTTGTGGATGATCAAGTCGAGTGTATAATAAGCTCACCGCATAGTTTTGTGAGGAAAAACTGAACAGGATCATAACCATCCACTGGGATGGTGACGTTGACTTCATATGGAGTTCGCCGAGATTTCTCACCTTTGAATTTTCCGGGAGAAAAAAACAAAAGGTTACAGAATTTGTAACAGCAAAGATCAAAGGCACAATGAAAAAAGCAAGATAACAGGACTTATTACAATTCCAATCCAGTACTAAAGTTGAAGGTGATAAAGTTGTTGGATGATTCCCAGTCAAGGAAGAACCAGCTATCTTAACATCAAGACCATTCTCTGGGAAAACCTTGATGATAGGCTTCCCTACCAATGTTGAAAGAGAAGCAATTGCAGTCATATAGAGAGTAAGATGAGTCTGCTCGGTCTTGAAGCTACAAATCAGAAACACTTCAGGATGTAAATACACAACAACTCAAACATGAAAAACAAAGTTCTTGATTCCATACCTAAACTCACGACGAGGTTTATCAAATCCAAACTGTGTCATCCCATTATAAATCTGCAGGTTAAAAATCCAAAACCGGATCCAATTTGAAGTTTATGTTCAGTATGAAAAAAGCTGTAACCAGAAAATTGGGTTTTTTCGTTTCTTACAATTTCCCATGAGCGAGGATGCAAACCGACTGTGAATCCCTTGAACACCCGCGGGCCAGGTTTCTCACATGGAATAGCCAAGTCGACAGTAACTCTGGACCAGTGGGAAAGAGCAGGAATTTGTTGTAAGAAAAATCGACTATACCAAGAGACAAATAGTAGCAGACAGACCTGCAAGTTGAATCTTGGGTGACACTACATATGCATCCAAGTCCACCTGAGATAGGAAAAAGAAAGAATGAAAATTAATAGCTTTCCAAGAATTGAGAAGCATTTCCGATTTTGATGAAACAAAACAAACAAAAAAGAACCAGAAGCAAACACACCTTTACACCGTCCATCACTACAGTTCCCACAAATAATATTGACCTGAACAAAACATAGAAACCCTACTCAAAAAACAAGAACCACGAAAAATCTCCAAAAGTAAAACTCTTGTGTAGATGATATCTAACCTGTGCTGTACGTCCAAGTTTGTCATAACTATGTTCACAATTTGACAGGTCGCCATGGTAAAATCCCTATATGTACATACTAACAGATGAATCCATGTTCCGAGGATAATACTGGTCTACTCTACGCAATGCAAGAATTGGTTATGATGTTCCGAAAGTAACTATGATGCCTAATCCAAAACAGCAGAGCAAAGAAGAGAAGGCTCTTACTTGAACGAAATCGAAATTTCCAGAACTAGAAACAAAGTAGCTTAACGGGTCAAATCGTCCAAAATCAACATATCCCTGCACACAAACAAAACGCATATTAGTGGAATCTAGAGTTGAACAAAGCTTTTGAATTTGATGATATAGAAGTTTACCATCTGCCCTCTTGTTTCCACATCCTTGCAAAATCTAACCACCAAATCAAATTCCTACACCAATAAAGACCAAACCTAATCAAACCTAAAAGTCCTTATAACTAACTTTCAACATTATAGAATGAGAACATACACACAACCTTCCCATCATATTCAAATGGATGGCCGATCCAGCTGCTCTGAACAAACCAAGTTAAAGGAAGCAGCTTTACAAGACACTAAATCAAACCAATGCAACAAAGCGAACTTTTTTACTATTCTTCTACCAATAATTGATCCTAAGCAGAATCCTAAAGCAACAACAATAATAGAAAGAGGATACGAAATCGACAAGACGACTTGAATTGTCAAGAGCGTAGCAATTAGAATCAGGGACAGGTACAGACGCAGCACCAATTACAAAAGCTGAAGCATTTGCCAAAAAGATAAATTTTCAAAAGCTCAAAAATTCGAAAGAGGGCAAATTCGTGCGACGAGGTTTTTACCAGAGATGAAGAGAAATAGAATGAAACTGTGGTCTCTTGATGGTATCTGCATAGTTAATAACTGCAACTGGGGTCTTTGTCGTCTCCGATTCGGATTGTTGATTCTACTCTATCAACAAGGAAACAAAGATGACTGGAACCATCTCGCCGGCAGATTCCGATTTGCGACGGATCATATCACTGAAGAGGAAGAGTCAAAACCTTCTACATAGTTCCGAAGGTACGAGGAGAATTAAATTTAAATAAACCGGATCCGGTATAAATCAAATAACCAAACCAAAATTCAAATTAGGTTATTTGATTTCTTGTGTTTGTTTTTTAATTTAATTGTTTTGACACTAAATCTACATAATGATACGAAAAACAAGTTGAATGTTTGGAATCGCTAACGACTAATGCTGGATCCAAAATTCGGTTAGTTTTTGTATACCATTATGTAAATTTAGTATCAAAACAATAAAATTATAAAAACAAACACAAGAAAAAAAAAAGTTTTAAAAAAGCTTTTAAATATTAAATTTAAATACGTGAAAACATGTTAAATTTATGACATCACAAGACTTACGGACCAAAGGACGGGATGCTAAATCCGGTTAGTTTTCACGTATTTAAATTTAATACTTAAGTTTGAAAATATTTTGTATAATAAATAAATAAAAAATCAAACTAAGACGGGATGCTAAGTCTAACCATTTTCGCGTATTTAAATTTAACATTTAAGTATGAAAACATTTTGTACAATAAAAAAATTTTAGCTAAAAAGTATTTACTTAAAATATTATTCTTGAAAAAATCTTAAAATTAAATTTAAATACGTAAAAACATGTTGAACTTATGACACCACAAGACTTACGGACCAAAAGGACGGGATGCTAAGTCTAACCATTTTCACGTATTTAAATTTAATATTTAAGTTTGAAAATATTTTGTATAATAAAAAACTTTTAGCTACAATATTTATAAACGATTTACTTAAAATATTAATTTTGAAAAAAACCTTAAAATTAAATATAAATACGTGAAAACATGTTGAACTTATGACACCACAAGACTTACGGACCAAAAGGACGAGATGCTAAGTCTAACCGTTTTCACGTATTTAAATTTAACATTTAAGTTTGAAAACATTTTGTATAATAAATATATAAATAATCAAACTAGTTTACTTAAATTGAATATTCAATATTAAGATGGAATAGAAGAAATTGACCTGACAAATGGGTATGGGCTTGGCTGTTTCTTATGGGCTGAAATTCCTTTTGTTTTTGTTGGGCTTCGTAGACCCAAAGAGTTTTAGTGATTGTCGTTGCTTAATTTGTCTCTCCACCACCGTGACTGGGAAACGAATCTTCAATCTTCCCTCTCTCTATCGTCAATCAATTGCCGATCACCGAAGTCGTGTCAAAATCTCTGGTAGACTAATGGAGGAGACGTGATGCTTGTAGGATCTCTCACTAGACTTAATCGAGAAGTGAACAGAGCCGCATCGTTGGTTTTAATTTCTGGAAATTGGAATGATTCTAAAAGAAGAAGAATCAGTATCATCTTCGAACAAGAGCCGAAGATCAAACAACTCATGGCATTGAAGAAATCAAAAGATGAAATAGAAGCAGAAATCGAAGAAGAGAATCGAATAATCAGAGAATCAGAGCATGAAATTGCATCTTTCTCATTCTATAAACTCTCTCTGTGTTTCTCGTCTCTCTGTTTTTTTTTTTTGTGATGATCGATGATACTAAAAGAATGAGACTATCTATAAACCCTAATGTGTTGGGGAATTCAAGTTTCCTTTTTTCACATGTGTTTGGGAAATTTCCTTTTCTTTAAACGGCTATGTGTTGTTTCCTTTTTTCACATGTGTTTGGAATTCAAATTTCCTTTTTTTTTTTATAAGTCTTTCTGTGTTGTTTCCTTTTGTCACTTTTGAGTTTATTTGGCAATAACCCTCTGTGATCAAGAAGATCGAAGACTTACGTTATAACTGTGTATTAACTAGTAGGAAGCTACAAAAGAAAAATACAAGTTGATGTACATGTAATTTTATAAGAAAGTATAATATACACACAGAAAGAACAAAACTTTCTTTCGTTTCAACATTCTTTAATAATAAGAATACAAGAAATTGGTTTTACAATAAGCTTGGCTTTGATGATTTCAGCGCATTGGTCAGAGGCATTTTGGATACAATCAAACAAATAAAGCATTATCAATCCACCATTAATTCTTCAAGAGGCTTTCCCTTCATGGTTCCTTCCTCCCTCACCAGTAGTTGAACTGTTCCAAGAAAAAGCAGAACAAAAGATAACTCACAGAGAGCATATCAACACTTGATGCCTTGTGTCTCAAGTCTAAACATAAATCAAGTTTCAAAAGACTTACCAGCTTCTTCTTCTTCTTCTTTTTCTTGAAATCTCTGAATTATCTATCTATTATTACAAAAAAAAGCGTTGGTTATTTTGCTGAGAAGAACTTGATATCAATTTAGAGGTTGGCCATTCTTACAATTTCAACCTCTGTTGAAGCTTTTTCCTCTTCAGGAGCCGGCTCTGTTGTAGAGTCATTTTCCTGGAAGATCATTGAATATTAGCATTGGAAGGAGTGATCAAGATTCAGGGAAAGGAAACTATTCAAGCAATATAGATCATCTCAAAGTAAGCAAGACCTCAGGGATGGTCTTCTCTGCAGAGTTTTCAGCTTCGGATCCTATGGAGCATTTGTGATCACCATTGTGAACCCTCTGTAAGAAATTAAATGCAAAATCAAGTTCACTCTTGTCATTATTATTTCTGTCTCTATAGTTGTCTTAAGAATCATTCACCTTCATGATCTCTGGATTTTTCCATGAGCCTTTGTCAGAGCGCATGCAGCCACCATTGTCAGCACTAGTACATGAACCTCCAAGAAACTCAGGAAGTTCACTGGTTACAAATTGATAAGTTTTTAGTTTTCAGAGTTTATTTTGGGAAAAAGGCATTTTTACCGATGGAAGCAAGACTTTTGTTTTTAGTATGCCAAATGATAAATAAGTTTTAACCGTCTACTTGAACACCTCTAGTTACTGAATTCCCAACCTTTTCTTTAATACCTTGAACTAAAGAGTCTTACAACTTACCACAAACTAAAATTATAAACAAGTGTTAGAGAGATGATTTTACTTCTTATATTTTCCATTCTCTTAACAATACATATTGATTTAAGCTTCGGGAAGGTAATAAAGCATCTCTTCCCACATCATCTCCCTGATCATATCTCCTTCCATATTCTCATCTATCTCCAAACTTACCAGAACATTTTCTGACGGATTACATTCCGGTTCTAACAAACCCGCCATGTAGGGATGTAAAAGCGCATCGCTGACCGATATCCTCTTGGTTGGATCAAACACAAGCATCCTCTGTAACAAATCTATCGCCAGAGGATTCGCGTGCGGGTAAATCTGAGAAAAGTGAGTACCCTTCGAGAAAGGAAGAGACTTTATAAATCTCCTAGCTTTCTGGTTATCTATGAACTGGAGATCCCAGTCTTGTTGGCTACCAACAACATTTATGATTAGCTTTAGTTGGTTGAGACATTCTGTTCCCGGGAAAATCGGTTTTCTTCCAAGAATCTCTGCGAATATGCATCCTACCGACCAAACATCGATGGAGGTTCCGTAGTTGTCACAACAAAGAAGAAGCTCGGGTGCTCGGTACCAACGTGTGACCACATACTCTGTCATAAACTCTTCATTGCCTCTACTTGTTCTCGCAAGCCCGAAATCACAAATCTTTAGATCACAATTAGCATTCACTAAGAGATTCCCGGGCTTTAAATCGCGGTGAAGGATGTTTGCTGAGTGAAGATACTTCAATCCTCTTAGCAACTACAATGTCGACAAAAAGATACAATTCAATCATCAAACCAAAGCTTAACAAGACAAACAGAAAATGAATCGAACCAACTTACCTGAAACAAGAAGTACTTGCAGTGATCATCAGAAAGAGACTGAGAGGATTTGATGATCTGATTCAAATCAGAATCCATAAGCTCATAGACCAAATAAACATCTTTGAAGTTGTACCTATGAGTGGGCAACATAACATCCTTAAGGGCGATAACGTTTTCGTGTTTCACATGCCTTAAAAGCTTAAGCTCTCTCAACGTTCTCAAAGCATCGATGCGATTCTCAAACACATTGTTGATCTTCTTAATGGCAACTCTCTCATTGGTTTCTCTGTTGATTGAAGAACAAACCACACCATAAGCTCCTCTTCCAATGGGCTTAAACGGAACATACTTAGTGTCGATTTCGAATAATGTTTGCCACATCGTGTAGTAATGTTTCCCTTCTTGTCTAATCCCATTTGGTGGATCAACTAGCATCGCCATTCTTCTTCTTCTTTGCTAAAATCACCTAACAAAAACAGAGTAGCTAAAATCGAAAAGGTTTATAAAAATAATTCTTTTTTTTTTTGGTCTAATCCACAGAATTTGGAAAGGGTTTATAGAAAAATGTTTTTTATTTTATTGGGAGGAAATTACAGAATCGAAGCTTGCTTCCCGACAATAATTGGAGCTTTTTGCTCGCTTACGTTATTCCTGTTGAAAAAGAAGCCAGAAAAATCTTGGCTTTACTTAGCTATCAATCTTACTACACAACTACCAAAAGCAGAAGAAGATCAAGAAGATAAAGTAAACTTTTTTCAAGAGTCATTATCATCAAACACTTGACGAATTAGTAAACTAGCAAAAAACCAAACAAAGATAAAGTCTCAGTATCGTCAATTCGCCATACCTATAAGCAATTATAGAAGAGGGACATGGGGTCGTCTTCGTCGTTATCCAGAGATTATTATGGATCAGATAAGTACAAAGGCAAATATATTGAGAGAGAAATCTTGAGCGCCCATACCAGAAAACGACGAGCCTAATACGTTAATCTTCTCCTAATTGTTCTATTAATTCGATTTTCCGAATATTCAGTTTTTTTTTTTTCATAGATTGATATTTAATTAAAATATATATAAATAAAAAAATGGATCTCCGGCCAATTGCAGACGGTCATTTAATTAATTTAAATGAGAAAAAATGTGAAGTTGCATTGATTACCTCTTCATTAATTTAGAAACGAAATTGGTATATACAATATCACAAAAATTGTTTGATGTAATTAGTCTTTTTATTTTCTCAAGTAATTTTACTGAATTTAGAAGTCCACTATTAGTATTAGCCATAATCGGATTTTACAGTATTAACTATTAACAATCTAAAGTTAAAATGGAGATTTTTGGAAGACAATCAATATTTTTACTCTTTAAGCACGCTGAAGAAATAAGATAAGCATATAAATAGTGGACTTCATGAAATATGCCACGTGGATTTCGTCGGGTATTGGTGGGACCCACTTTAGTCAGAAGTTTCCGCTATTCTGGTGATGTCATTCAATACGTAAATATAGTTAATGACGGAAACTAGTTTACAACCACAGTTAGCAGCGGTAAGATCAAAAAGAGGGTCTGTTATGAGTGTGGAGAAAAGGGTCATCTTTCTACAGCCTGTCCCAAAAAGCTTCAAAATGCTGATGACTCTTCTTCAGATGATGAGCCTGCACCCAAGAAGGCCGTAGCACCCGATTTGACAGTATATTCGATGAGTGTTTTAGCTTCATCGACCAAGCTATTCAATCTGGTGGTGGTGTTTTGGTTCATTGCTTCATGGGAATGTCTAGGACTAGGAGGTTTTCATTCTTAATCTCATACATTCAGTTATTATGTTTTATCAAACAATAACAGACATTTTAAGGCAAGCCAAGATTTGAGTCTTTCGTTTAAGAATAAGGCTTTTGATTTATCTTTCGATTTTGCAAATAATTTTTTTTTTATTAATGATACTGATACCGGTCTCACCACTGGAAACAGATTTATTACCAGTATCATAAAAAATCTCAAACAATAAACAAACATTAAAATTAATACTAAAAAATTATTAATGATACTCATAGAGTATCAACTATGTGCATGCTCTAAGCACAAAGCAAATTGCAATTTGATGTACATGTATTCTTTCTTTTATTTTGTTTTTTTTTGGCAAGAGATTTCTACATTTTTTTATGAGCATATATGATAGTCAGAAAATCAAGTTTTATTAAAAACACTATTTATAAAAAATCTAAAAATTTAACTAAAATATTAAATCGAATAATCAGAGAAATCGAATAATCAGAGAATCAGAACATGAAATTGCATCTTTCTCATTCTATAAACTCTCTCTGTGTTTCTCGTCTCTCTGGTTTTTTTTTTTTGTGATGATCGATGACACTAAAAGGATGAGACTATTTATAAACCCTAATGTGTTTGGGAATTCAAGTTTCCTTTTTTCACATGTGTTTGGGATTCAAATTTCCTTTTTTTTTTTAACGGCTATGTGTTGTTTCCTTTTTTCACATGTGTTTGGAATTCAAATTTCCTTTTTTTTTTTTTTTTATAACTCTTTCTGTGTTGTTTTCTTTTTTCACTTCTGTGTTTATTTGGCAATTACCCTCTGTGATCAAGAAGATCGAAGACTAAAGTTATAACTGTGTTACACAGTCTGTGTATTAACTAGTAGGAAGCTACAAAAGAAAAATGCAAGTTGATGTACATGTAATTTTATAAAAAAGCTTAATATACACAGAGAAAGAACAAAACTTTCTTTCGTTTCAATATTCTTTAATAATAAGAATACAAGAAATTGGTTTTACAATAAGCTTGGCTTTGATGATTTGAGCGCATTGGTCTGAGACATTTTGGGATACAATCAAACAAATAAAGCATTATCAATCCACCATTAATCCTCTGATTCTTCAAGAGGATTTCCCTTTATGGTTCCTCTCTCACCAGTAGTTGAACTGTTCCAAGAAAAAGCAGAACAAAAGATCTCAGTCAGAGAGAGCATATAACAACACTTGATGGCTTGTGTCTCAAGTCTAAAGATAAATCAAGTTACAAAAGACTTACCAGCTTCTTCTTCTTCTTCTTTTTCTCGATGTACGCCACGAGCTCCTCCTGACGACCAAGAGAATCATCCAAAGCCTGCATTGAAAAGAAAATTAGTATAAAAAAAGCTTTAATGGAGTGAGTTTATGTTAATGATTCAGAAGATGTACCTTCTTGGTGGCAGCAAGCTCTTGCTCCAATACATTAGACCGGCTAATGGCAGCGTTAAGCATCTCTTCCTTATCCGGAGGCATAACTGTTGGCTGCGCGCTTAAGACGGTCACTTTCTGTTCCAACTCAGCCATTCGTTTCATGATGGCCATGAAATCTTCCCCTGAGATTGCTGGTACAGTCATTTTCTCTGACTGCATCGCACTCTTGTTCATTGACGCATCATCGCAGTACACGGGGCTCGAGTATAAGGTTGACTCGGTTAGTTTCCTTGGGACGTTTTTAGTCACTCTAATCATGGTGACAACACCCATCACAAGAGCCATGACCCCAGTGAAAATGGGAGACCTCCCTCCTTCTGTTGTAGCGTTGTTGCACGCCTCTTGAATGGCGTAAACTTCTTCTGCTTAGAAGATAACAAGAAGCGTTAAAGCTCATATGTCTTAACTTTGACATACAACTAACCAAATTTCAAGAAAAAATGGATGCACAAGAGTCATCATCATACTCTTTGAGAGGGAAAATTTGTGAGCTTCTGGCATGTTCCAAGCTGGGTGAGCAGCTGGGACCTGAGTTGCGAGAAACGAATAACGAGTATATTAAAAGCGTTGGTTATTTTTCTGAGCAGAACTTGTTATCAAGAATTTAGAGGTTGGCCATTCTTACAATTTCGACCTCTGTTGAAGCCTTTTCCTCTTCAGAAGCCGGCTCTGTTGTAGAGTCATTTTCCTGGAAGATCATTGAATATTAGCATTGGAAGGAGTGATCAAGATTCAAGGAAAGGAAAATATTCAAGAAATATAGATCATCTCAAAGTAAGAAAGACCTCAGGGATGGTCTTCTCTGCAGAGTTGTCAGCTTGGGATCCTTTCGAGCATTTGTGATCACCATTGTAAACTCTCTGTAAGAAAGATACAAAATCAAGTTCACTCTTGTCATTAATGTTTCTGTCGCTATAGTTGTCTTAAGAATCATTCACCTTCATGATCTCTGGATTTTTCCATGGGCCTTTGTCAGAGCGCATGCAGCCACCATTGTCAGCACAGGTACATGAACCTCCTAGAAACTCAGGAAGTTCACTGGTCACAAGTTGATATGAGAACATTAGTCATCAGTTTAATCTTATATAATCTATAACATGGATCAATTTGTATGCTAATCTTCTTTCAGAGCTCACCTATCATCAATGATCTCAAGCAACTTGCTTTGGTACTTGTTGCCAAGAACCTGGTATTCAAACAAAGCCAGTTGCTTAAAACTAATAGCACTCAGAAGAAAAAGCAAGAAGATTCAATAGTAAAAGGTTTTGAATACTTGCATGGATCTTTGCGGTAGTCTTCGGGTCAAGGAAGGACTTAACCGTGTTCCACAACATTCTGAATCCTGAGCCAGCATTGATGATAAACATCCTGTTCAAGGTCTGTTCCAAAGACGTTACAAACTTAAACTACTGGTTCATAGATAAAAGAAGTTGCTCCAGTAGAAAATAATTGAGCATGTAGAGATATAAATCACACCTCAGGATAGTTGTCACCATCGACCTTTTGAAGACGAGTAATCAAGTCTCTAGCAGCCTTGTTGAAGTTTTTGAGTCCCTATTATAACAAGAAGAAGGAAAGACATGACTGTTCACATACTGGAAAAGCTAAAACATACATGGCTAGTAAGTAGTATAGGTTTTTTACATACCACTCCTTGGACATCAAGAATAGTTGTGCTTTGATCAATGTGCTTCTTTGCGGCGATAGAGCACGCTGGGAACTTAACATTGAAGGTCCTCTCAAACTCCATAACATGGTAGTTAACATACCTATCCATGGTTGTGACTTGCATCAACTTGGTAGAGTCTACTAAACCAAGCCTCTCAATGTACACAGGTCGTCCTTCCTTGTCAACTCCATGGTGTCCTTGAGGGTAGTATTTCAACACTTCATCAATTTCCTTGAAATCAAACTCCTTAAATACACAAAACCAAAGAAGAAAGATTTAGTACTCAAAGAGACCATTTTCAAATCTGCAAAAACGGTTCTTGAATAATAATAATAATCATACCTCCATGACAGTGTCAGCACCAAATTCTTTCCTCCATCTAAGCATTTCAGTCCACATCTGTTTGGTTTTCTCAAGATCAAATTTTCTTGCCTTCAAAAATCTAAGCATCATATGGTAGTCATCGTGTTTCTCCGGGAGTAGCTCATCGAGAATAAGCGATTGGCGAAAGGCATCAACGGATTTCAACTCTTCGGCGTCATGCACATCTTCGATGATCTCCACAGACATCACTTTGCTACTTCTTCTTCTCTTTGTCATTGAATACCTCAAATTCTTAGAGGAGCTCCTCTTCTTAAAAGAACCCATCCTTGGTTTCAACTCGGCATCTAAAAAAACAACCCCAACACAAAAAACAACATCAAGAACAAGAAGATAACAAAACAGAGGATCAAGAACAGAGGAGTAAAAAGTCTCTTCCTTTTAGTTTATTACCTTGGATCAAAGTCATGATTTTGCCAGATAGTTGGAATTAGGCAGGTAAGGGCACGAGGGACGAGCACTCTAACGAGAGTGTCTTATTATTTTTAACCAATGCCCTTTGCCAAATTCCTGCAAGAAATTCACATTCCCCAATTACAAAGATGAACATGAAGGAAGGAAACAGAACAAAACAGAGAGAGAAAAAATACCTCTGCAAAGTGGAAATGAGAGGAAGGAGAAAGATAAAAAGGAGAGTGAGATTGTTCCGAAAATCTCTCAAAATCGTTCCTTTGGATTCTCGGCTCCATTAACGTCGAGGTAAAGCTCCACCTCATATTCTCTCTTTCCCCAACCATTGATTCTTCTTCTTTTTTTGGTCGCAGTTTTCTTGTTTTTTGTTATGCAGTTCTAATTATACAATTTAGAAACAGAGGAAGATTGATATACGCACACGAGTGTTATACTGACACGTGTCAATACTGATTGAGATTTGAGAAATTCAATGAAAGCCACACGTGTCAATGCAAAACCTTTCTTTTGCCGCAAGAAACTCAGAAAGCCTTGAGAGGCTGGAGTGAAGTTAGAACATGAACTTTTTAGTTTTCCCATAACTTGAAAGTTTTTGAATTTCTGCAACAACGCTAAAGCTACTTGATCATTAAGGGTATAAGTAGGAAAAAAAGAAAGAACTCAGATGATCAAACGAAAAACATTTGGAACAAATTTCATAAATGAAAGAACAAGAAGCCATTGTCTTCGATAATCCTCCTTCGTCAATTTAGCTTCAGATAAACCACAAGCCCATTACTGAAAGTAGAGAACCGGTTTAGGAATCTTCTATGAACATCTGCAAGCTGTTGAGTCTGCGAATTCTGTTGTCTATTGTCTCAAACGCATGTGTTGAAAGAGTTCCCTTGGTGTTGTTCTTGAAGAAAAGAGTTTGGTGTTTCAAGTCTTGAGTAGAAGTTCTGAAGCAAGTCTCTTCAGTGACTCGGATGCTTTAAGAAGATCGGACTCTGAATGTCCCGCAGAAACGTAGAGTTTGATTCCCACAGGTAACCGGCATTTATCAAGAAACGATCTTTTAGAACTCACAACCAACAACGAGTCTTCCTTCAAAGCCTGCATATATCCACTCATGTCAAGAAACGGGGACAGGGTCTAGATTTGGTTTTGCAAAGAAACAATGAACTTACACGGTCAGCCATTTCCTCAAGTAGAAGCAAATCGTCTTTAGCTGAACCGCTAGACTTCTCTAATTTTAAGAAAACAATAGGCGATTCCCGGTTGCTTGTTAACGACATCCCCTTGATATCTGACAATCCTGCGTTGTTCCCAGCATTTCGTTTTCAATCAGAGGAAGATAACAAACTAAATCAAACTCTAATTGTTGCTTAATTAGATTGAAAGATCAAACCTTTCCATAACAGAGCAATATTTTGCTTCAGCTTAACTAACATATCCGGGTTTTGATCAATGACATCAATGGCGGTGATAGCAGCACTTGCAAGGTATGGTGGCAACGAAGCTGAGAACACATATCCTGAACTGCTAAGCCTCTGTGCATTTGAGAGTCCCAGAGTGAGTTAAGTTTCTATTATCGGTAGTTTTCGATTTTGTTTGTAATTAGTTAAACAGCATGATCAATGTTTACCTGGTAATCGATGATGCGGGCATTCCCGGTGCAAAATCCACCTTCTGTGGCTAATGCATGGCCCATTGCAGCAGTCACAACATCTATCTTCTCAATCTGTTTAAAGATAAACCGCCGTAAATTTTTTAGCATCAGGTTAAGCAAATGAGAACACTACTAAAATGTGTGTCATTCATACGTACAGGGACACTATGATGCTCTGCAAGACCTCTCCCAGAACGGCCAAGCACACCAAAAGAGTTGCTTTCATCCAATATAACACGAAACCTATACTTCTCTTTTAGTTTTACAATCTCATCCAGAGGCGCAATTTGACCAGAATTCTGTAGATTTTAACATACCCAAAGACAAATGGGTAAGCATCAGAGTTCAGAAAGAACTTTCAAAATATGGAAACAGGAAAAGAAAGAAAACAGCGAGGTGTTTACAATACCTGATATACAGCTTCAGCTACAATATAACGCCTCAAGTTCTTTGAGCGCTTGTACTTTGTCATGATTTTCTCAAGGGTACTTCGAAGGGATTCCATGTCATTGTGCTTGAAGTACACAATTGTACTTCTTGAAAGCTGAAGTCCATTTTGTATTCCCCAGTGAACACCCTCATCACTAAGAAAATTGAAAAGACAAGAATGAGTTTAATCTCAAGATAAAAACGTTTCATACAAAGACCCTTATTAACAAAGAAGTTCAATGTAATCCTGGGATTTCTACTAACGTAATCTAATAAGTAGAAAGACGTTTTAAGAAACTGTGTACTTACGCAACAATGACATCGCCTTTCTTACAGAAACAAGGTATTGTGCTGAACATCGTGGAAAGTCCATAAGAATAGAGGATTGAATCGGGAGTACCCAAAAATTTTGATATTCTGGTTTCGCAGTCAAGATGGACATCTAGTCAAGAGAAGTAATCAAATAGTAAGAACCCTTTTGAAGCAAGCTAATGGAGGAACCAAAGTATATATCTAGAAAAATGATTGACTTCTTACCAATTGTACCATAGAATCCACGAGGACCACAAGAACCGACACCATATTTTTCTAATGCAGAAGTACATGATTCCTGGCATAAGAAAAATCTTAAATAAAACTATTCAAACAGAAGAGAGACTCTATTGTAAACAAAGTAGCTTCACGTTACCAGCAACTTCTCGTGGCCAATGAGCCCAAGATAATTAGCTGAAGCAAAATTCACCACATCTTTGCCATTAACTGTTGTATGCGGTCCAGCAGCACTGTATGGACCCAACAGAATCTTTAAGCAAAACAGAAAAATGCTACAAAACGAAATATAGAGAAGTCTTCTAGGGTACCTTTCAAGAACTGGTGGCTCATGCTTCATGTCTTCAGTAATTGGAGGTATAAGAGGTTCAGGAACCCATTCATCACATAACTCATCTATTTCCTGCGTAATATAAACCCCCAAAAACTCAATACATTTCAACTATATACCACACAAAGGGTTGTTTCCAAAACTAATCAGAGATGATACAAGAGCCAAATCCTATGATCTATCAAACCAATATGATGAAAGGATCTGAGATAGAACCTGCTCGGTCAATGGTCGCTTGGGAGGTTTGTAACTCTTCCTAGTGAGGAGAATAACAATGACAACACCCAACAACCCTTCCACAAAGAAGTGCCCTGGAAACAAAAGACAAGTTGAAATCTTTAGTAATCTCAAATATCCTAAAAACCACACAAGTTCACCTAAAGTTTCTTCAAATCTATACCTCGGATTGGGAAACCGAATAAGACAACTCTAGCTGAAGGACTCTCCAGCATCATAGTAACCCAATTCAAAGCAGCATTAAACATTTCCACGAGATTCGAAGCCATTGCTATTTGCTAAATAAAGCTCTGTACTTTTTCTTCTGTAGTCTTGATTTGCTCGACGAATCGAGCAAAAGGGCAGCTAGCTCAACTTTGGGAAAACCTACAAAACCCAATCTTCAAATTAGTATTCAGTTTTTTTCAAAATTCAGATCAGTAAACAACAAAAAGTAGCAATTTTGAATCCAATTTCGCCCCAAAAACAACAAAACCTATCAGGAAAGATCTGTAATCGGATCACTGAGCAACAAGAAATCGAAATCTCGGAGAACAGATTAAGAAACTATGTGATTACAATTAGATCCGACACATAAACGAGGAATGTTACCTGATCCCAATTGGATTCTGGGTGGCAAAATCGAAAAGGAGCACAAGGTATCGTGCCCACAAGAGTGTCAAACACACGAGGAGTGTTTTCAAATTTGGCAATGCAAAAAGATTGACTTTCAACGTTTTCGAGATTTTTGATAACGCAGACGAAAAAAAATTTTCAATTTCAGAGAAAAAAAAAAAAGGAAAGAGGAAGACGAGAGCGGATCTCTCTATGTTCGTAATACGTCAGCAGAATCCTGGGCCCAGATCTGTGTGTTCGTTCATCGATACGACGCGTTTTATGTATTAAATATGGGCCTAGAGGCCCAATGTTTCAACATCACACAATCACTAATTTGTCGTTTTGAAGATTCCAGTTAAATTTGTCACTTGGATTTTATTACACAGATCATTTATTTTTCTATTGATTAATAGAGGATAACTATCAGTTCAAATATTTTGCATATGATTCATTCACATAACAATATCATTTCCTAGCTATATAATGCCGATCACTATAATTTTGTGTAGCTTTGAAATTGATGTACATTAAATCACTTCATGTATCGTAAATTATATACTTGAACTTGCTTCTCGTTGGAAATCATAGAGCCCAAGAACCCAATTTTTTATGGAGATATTGAAGTGGACACAGAAAAATGGATGAGACTTTACGAAATTCCAAATCTTTATGGTCTACTTTTGTCCACCGTCTATTCATTGTCTTTTGTAATCTAAAAGTTATAATATACAAGTTGGATTCTAGAGAATCAACTACCTTGGTATAGTAGTGACTAAGTTCAAAATCTGCATACTACTCGAATCAATCAAGGAACCAATTTCTTAAATCTAACAAGAAAGCAAACAATGAGATTATCTTTTCACCACACACAAAAAAATCCCAAGATAATACAGAGAAGATCATGGTTAAAGAAGAGATTATATGAACGTTTATGAGAACTCCAACGACCACAGAATAAGATTGATACGTTATGGCTTTGCATTAATCCCTCAAAGGACACGCGTGAGTGCCCCTCTTATAAAAACAAACCCATTTCGTACCAAAACTATCAATCTCTCTCTTTCCCAACACAGCATATACACTACAGTTAATTATATGACTCAATAAGCATTCATCACCACCACTAAAGTCTTAAAGGGCAATGAAAAGAGAGAAAGAAAGACTACTAAAAGCCTTAGGGTATGGTCGAGAGAGAGAGTGAAAGAGTACTAAAGCCTAAAGGTAAGGAAGAGATAGAAAGAGGGAATGGTGGTCACACACACCAATCATCAACACTTGTCTACCTTTTTTTCTAACCTTCTTTTAATCATATTCGATCCCAAAGTTTCCCCTACTTTTTTCTATAATGTTTTGTAGCATTTACATTACACTATACATATCTTATTCCTATTCGGTTCAACCATAATATCATATCAATATATATCTCAGCATTAGAGAAACCATGTGATGATATGAACATCCAATAGATTAGGGAGAGTCAAAGAAATCTTTCGAAGAAACAAAAACGTTTTAGTTTAGGTTATAAATGATAAGTCCTTAAACACGAGGAAGAGGATATGACTTCCGAGTGAGTAGAATGACAATGAAAACAGCCAACAACGCTTCCAAAACGAAGTGCCCTGGAAAAGAAAAAAGAAAATGTTGAAATCGTTAGTAGTCTCCATAGCCCAAAAACTAAATAGATAACGTTCACTACAACTTAATTAGAAATCCTAAAATGTACCTCGGATTGGGACACCAAACACGACAACTTTAGCTGAAGGAGCATCCAGAGACATTGTAACCCAGTTTAAAGCGGTATCAAACATTTCCAAAAGATTCCAAGCCATTGCTAACAATAGAACCACGTAAAAAACTTCAAATTAGTATACAATTTTCACAATTCAGATAAGTACACAACAAAATTGGCAATTTCGAGTCCGAAATATATTGAAAAATACCAAACGAGAAATCGATATATTGGCAGAAACAAAAAAAATACCAGTTACAGAGATCTGAGGAGAAGTACTAGGAGATTGGGAAAACTATATGATCACAATCGATCCCAATTGATTGGAGAAGAAGATATTGATTTATTGACCTAACGAATTTTAGTTGCTTTAATACGACGTCATTTTAATAGAATGGTCTTGAGTTTTAAATATGGGCTTTCTTAAAGGCCCAATGATTCAACAGCCAGTCCACGGAAGGACCGTTCGAGATTTGAGCTTTATCTTTTAAACGACAAAAAAAAAATAATAAAAAAAAAGCTTATCAAAGTCGGTCTCGGAGATCAAAATCTGAAAGTAGTTATAAAAGAGCTTCTTTTTCGAAAAAAATTCAAACCCCAAAAGTCGTCAGCCGCTGAAATCAATCAAGCAACCGAAAACAAGATAGGAGAATTGGAGCATTGATTTTATCCCCAGGGATTGTTTTGTGACACAATCATACTGTAACGATGTCCAATTACGCCGGTGGTCCGCCGCACAATAAAAAACAGAAGAAGGAGGCGTCTCTGTCTCCGTCATCGTCTCTGTCTTGGCTATTGTCGTTGCCACACGATGTTGCTCTGAACTGCTTGTCCCGCCTCTCGAGATTTGACAGCGTGGCCTTGTCTCTGACCTCCAAGAGCCACCGCTCTCTCGTGGTTTCGCCTGAGCTCTGCCGCACGCGTGAGCTAATGGGTTGTACCGAGGAGTACTGCTATGTCTGCTTAAGCATTCCTCCTGACCCAACTCCACGCTGGTTCATCCTCCGCCGTGGAGGGCCTACTCTAGATGACGCCGCCGCTGTTAACAACTCTGTGAATCAACGGCTGAGACCGATCCCATCGCATCCCTGTCAGCCTCCAGAATCGTCCTCTTTCGTGGAGCTGGATTATGGAATCTATATCATTGATGGAATCATAAACGGAAGTCCCACTTCAGAGGTCTTGCGTTTCGATTGTCTCTCTCACACCTGGCGACGCGTCCGGTCAATGAGAGTGCCTCGCGCTTCCGCTGCGGCAAACGTCGTAGACGGGAAGATTTACGTGTTTGGAGGCTGCCAGGAGGAGGTTGATTCCTCCAACTGGGCAGAGGTTTTCGACCCTCAGACCCAAACTTGGGATACCTTGCCATTACCTGATGATCCAGAGATACGCCACAACACAAGTATCATCGACAAAACTGTGGTCATGGAAGATAAAGTTTATGCGGTGGACGAGGAGGATCAAAGCTTCTACTACCTGCCACGTCAAGGTATATGGAGAAGAGGGAATCAGGATTCTAAGCCGGGAAACAGAAAAGACTGGTGTGCCATAGGTAAACTATTATACTGTTGTGGTACTCGCGGAAGAATACTGTGGTGTGAGGCAGACAAGTTGGATTGGAGGGAGGTGAGTGGTTTGGATGATATGCAGTGGCTTTTATTTGGTTTAAAAGGGCACTACTCTTCTGAGACCGTAATGCTCGGGTGGAAGCTCCACTGTACTACCGAAAATGGTTTCAGCAGACTGACCACCAACTCTCGTGGGAACATTGTCGTCTTCTGGAAGGTGCATATCCCTAAAATTCACAAGGACGATTTTCCTTGTATTCGCAAGGTGCATATCCCTGGTACTAAGAGGTTGGAGCTTTGGTGTGCGGGGATTTCCTTGAAGAGAAGCCCCGAAGGCGAGATTAGGGGGACAATTGAGTATGCCGATCTTGTCTCTGAACTTGATCCTCTCTCATATACCGTTAAGGTTTTATATTCTGTTTCTCTCAATGTTTGAAACTTATGCTTCCAAGTTTGTTATATCCTCTCATTGCATGTAATTTCTTTTCAGGTTCTTTGCTCCATCTTCTGTCATAGGATTTATATACTTCTGAGAACTACTAATTTAGACAATATGTTTCTTCTTGCTAAATTATCAGCCATTTTATGGATCTTACATGCTTTGTATCCTATGAGATCAAAGCATCATTCCTGAATCTGGTAAACTAAAAAGGAAGTGGTTCCAGAAGCTTTGGAGTGGAACCTCTAACAAAGTAACTTTTCAAGACTAATTGAAATGAGAAAATTGACCTGTCACAGGCGGTTTTAAACTCAATTGGTATGATTATTGGCTGATAGTTTTTTCCTGGTTTATTCTTTGATATTATTTTCTGTTGAACATTGATTTTGTGAATTTGTATACAACATGGTGATATTTCCGGCCTGTAGCTTAATATATATCTGGAGTCTTTGTAGCTGTTCTCTTCACTGAAGTGTAAGCAATCGCCGTGTTCTTCAGGTTCGTTTGCTGATTTTGGTTCTTTTAGATACACAATTAAAAAATATCTGTTTATACTAGTATCTTACATTAAAATTTGACCAATTAGCTTCAGGTTCGTTTGCTGATTTTGGCTATTTTTTTTGCCATTTTTTCTCCATATTGCTACTGTTTTGATTAAGGTTAGCATTAACTGTACCAATCTTCACTTGCTTTCCCTATCATTTAGAACTTGTGCACAGCATATTCTTATTGTAATAGATCAAGTATCTTTTCTGATATGTGATTACTGAAAACTCTCTTTCAAGAAGGGGCAATTCTTGGATTTGCATTGTGTGTCACTTGATTTTGTAGATCGTATACCGAATTGTTTATTTCTATTGTTTGGTGTATGGTCTGATTCAGAGTTCTGAATGATGGTTGGTAGCTGTTGTTATTGTTGCTTCCATTCTTATCGTGATTTACTTGCAAAAATTTTGTCGATAAATAAGAAGATACTAGTATTGGGAAAATGAGTTGAGAAAAAAGCAGATAAGAAATTTTATTTTCTGTGAAGGCAAAAAAAAAGCAGATGTAGAAGGAAGGAGGCAAAAGTTCGTGTGATGGAGAAAAGAAATTGAAAAAAGTAAATGGGAATAGGGAAACTTGTAATGGTATTGTTCCAGTGCTGCGGGTATTAAATGCTAGAGACTTGTTTTATGGTCTTTGGATACCAGATCTTTTCATGGAGAGAGTCCAGACTGATGGACAGTGGTCACTGTTTTGTCCTAATGAAGCTCCAGGTTTGGCAGATTGTTGCGGTGCAGAATTTGAGAAATTGTATTCTCAGTATGAGAATGTGGTGAATGATTTATCTCTTTTGGATTTACTGCTTCCTTTCAAATTCCTGTTATATTAATACCAGTTATGTGAAGCATCTCTGTTTGTATCTTTAGGGTAAGGCTAAGAAGGTTGTCCAGGCACAGCAGCTTTGGTACGAAATCTTGACATCCCAAGTAAAAACAAGAACACCATACATGCTTTTCAAGGTAAGAAACAGTTGTAATTTTGTTGCCCCTCTGTATAAACATATTTTCTGTGGTTTCCCACTTTTTGAGTTTTAAAACTCTTCTGTGGGATTCATGTAACAGGAAAAATAATCAACAAAATCTGGATACCATAATGTCTTCCAATTTATGCACCGAAATCGTTGAATAGACACAAGTCCAGCAGAAACAGCTGTGTGTAATCTTGCATCTATTGCCTTACCCCGGTTTTGTAAAGGGTGAAGATGAGTCCAAAAAGTGTTCTCAGATTTTGATTTCGTCTGGTCACTTAGTGCGTAACTCTTGACATTTCTTACATCTCACACATCAGGACATCACCTTGAACTCGCATCTGTCTAAGATTGTAGGCAGTTTGGGCCCAATGAATCGTTCATTTGATATTGACAAGGTAGCAGAGGTCAGTACTTAACTACTTGGTTCATTTCTTTAACAAAGACATACTACCATGCACTCAAGTCATCTTCAGAGATTGCTACTAAGGAAGGTGCATATGAAACTTGCCAAGGAAGTCCTGTGAGTAAGGTATGCATCAAAACCAGCAATTCTTTCGATATATGTACAACGTTGTCATAAATTCTTGTTCGTAATTTCTTGGATGGTTTTATCTACTTTCAGGGAGTTGTGCAACCTGCTACGTGGAGTGTAATTCCTTAGGACCGCTGGGACTGGGCTGCTCTCAGGGATATGATTTCAAAGAATGTAATCAGAAATTCTCTTCTAGTGGCACTAATGCCAACTGCTTCAACCAGCCAGACTCTTGGGAACAATGGATGTTTTGAACCTTACACCTCAAACATTTATAGTCGTAGAGTCTTGAGGTATGTACTTCAATCAATAAAATAGCACAACAAAGTTATGTTTTTTGTTTTTTTTTTTTTTCTTATGGAAGTTGTAATAAATTTTAAATATGCTTTAGTAGAATGTAAATATGTTTAGTTTATTAATTAAATAAATGTTTTCAAAGCCTATACGTTACGGTTTTGCATTAATCCCTCAAGCGACACGCGTGCTTCCCCCTCTCTCTAACCACAAAAACCTTATCATACCAACACACTCTCACCCAACAAAGCATTTACACTACACTTATGACTCAATAAGCATTCATGACCACCACTAAAATCTTAAAGGCAAAGGCAGAGACAGAAAGAAAGACTACTAAAAAAGCCTTAAGGTAAGGAAGAAAGAGAGAAAAAGAGAAGGAAATGGTGGTCACTCACAACAATCATCATCACTCATTCTTATTTAGCTTTTTCTACCTTCCAAAGTCAAGCAATCTTCTACCTTCTTAATCATATTCTGTCCCAAAGTTTCCTATACTTTTCTCTATGTTTTGGATCATTTACATTACACTCCACCATGTTTCATATAATTCACCAAATAGATTCTAGCAAGAGTAATCTTTCTATGAAAATTTAGTTTATGTTAAAACGAAAAGTCCTTATGGCAACAGAGTCCACCACTCAAAGCAAACAGAGTATAGCACTGATAGCAAAAACAGAGTAAAGAAAGTACAAACATTACATGAAGCCATCATGATGTTGTTTGACTAATTTAGCCTTTATATCTACATGAAACATTATCCTTTGCGCACCACAAGAAACATTATTCTCTACTACTATGTTTATTCCTATTTTTGGTCACTTTGGGCTATACCTACCATTTCTCCTTCTAAACTAAATTCATCCACCCAAAGAACATTTTCTCTTTGTTGAATCATGAACAATGATGAACGAATCCCACATCGTATTTTCAACTAAGAAAATAGAGTTTATGGAAAACACAAAACAGCAAAAAAAAAAAAAAAAAAAAGTAGGGTAATGGAAGATTGAAGTGACAGGCCAAAGATTTCTCCTTTAAGAAAAAGCAAATACTAACACCAAAGGAACAAACCCTAACCCAAAAATTACTGAAAATCCAACTTTCTGTTGTTGTTGTTGTTGAGATGGATAAGAAGGATCTGGAGAGAGAGTTTCACATGACAGGAGGAGATGGAAAAACTAGTTATGCCAGAAACTCTTCCCTCCAGGTAGGTTCTAGAGATTCTCACATATCTTCACTTAGTTCATAATTTTGACTCTCTCTAATCACTTCTGTTGTTGTTTAAATCTTGCAGAAGAAAGCATCTGATATGGCAAACCACATAACACTAGAGACACTTCAACAACTCTACAAAGAGACAAGACCCAAGAGCTTAGGAATAGCTGATCTAGGATGTTCTTCAGGACCAAACACTCTCTCCACCATTAAAGACTTCATCAAAACCGTCCAAGTTGCTCACCACCGCGAGATCCCAAACCAGCCCTTACCAGAATTCAGCATCTTCCTTAACGATCTCCCTGGAAATGACTTCAACTCCATATTCAAGTCATTAACAGACTTTCACATAGAGCTCAAGAGAGACAACAACAATGGTGATTCCCCTTCAGTTTTCATTGCAGCTTACCCTGGATCATTCTATGGACGACTCTTCCCTGAAAAAAACATCCACTTTGTCTATGCCTCTTATAGCTTACACTGGCTTTCCAAGGTAATTATATACAGATATATTCATATATAGTATATAGACACTAATAAGTTGTTTCTTTTGGTCTTTAATTTGCAGGTTCCTGCAGCTTTATATGACGAGCAAGGCAAGTCCATAAACAAAGGTTGTGTTAGTATCTGCTCCATGAGCTCTGAAGCTGTTTCCAAAGCTTACTACAGTCAATTCAAGGAAGATTTCTCTATTTTCCTCCGGTGTAGATCAAAAGAGATGGTTGCTGCAGGAAGAATGGTGCTCATAATACTCGGAAGAGAAGGTCCTGATCATGTCGATAGAGGAAACTCTTTCTTCTGGGAACTTCTCTCAAGATCCATAGCAGATCTTGTTGCACAGGTATATATATAGATAGATACACCTGTTGTTTTTTACAAAAATATGGATCTTGATTTCCATTTTACTTATAGGGAGAGACTGAGGAAGAGAAGCTTGATTCTTACGATATGCATTTTTATGCCCCGAGTGCTGATGAGATAGAAGGTGAAGTGAACAAAGAAGGGTCTTTTGAATTAGAGAGGTTAGAGATGTTAGAAGTGGACAAGGATAAAGGGAACGAGGGTGATATAAGTTATGGTATGGCGGTTGCGAAGACGGTAAGAGCAGTTCAAGAATCAATGCTTGTTCAATACTTTGGGGAAAATATTCTTGACAAGCTGTTTGAGACATATGGTAGAATGGTTGACGAAGAGTTAGCTAAGGAAGACATAAGACCCATCACATTTGTTCTTGTCCTAAGAAAGAAGCTCTGAAAACATTGGAACCTATATATGTAGCAAATATCTGAATATGAAATATGCAACCTGATAAGTCTCGATTCCTAGCAACCTGATAAGTAGAAGAAAGCGATTTGGTTCCGAATTTTGTTTGATTACTACAAAAAAAATTGAGCTTAAAATGCTCTCTGCACCATTGCAGAACCAAATCTTGAATTGCTCTGTCTTGGTTCTTGTATACCAAATTACCAAGTTTACTAGCTTCAGATCCAGATACAATCAAATTGAGTAAAGAACACCTTGGATCTAATTCGGTAGCGAAAACATTTACCTTCCTTGAGATTCGAAAACCTAATTCTCTAACCGGAGAAGATGGAAACTTTCTCGGAAACTAAAGATGACGTCACAGTTCGACGAAGATATAAGAAATCGAGCTAAGTCTATCCTAAATTTGATTTTTTTTTTTTCATTTTTTTTCTTCTTATTAGGGTTTTTGGAATTTTCCGATTGAGGTAAAGCCTCCTTAAGCTCCACGTAACCAACGGAGATAAGCTACAAACGGCATCGTTTTAGCTGGACTATAAAGTCAAATCAATCATGTTTGACTTTTTGACTCGTCTAAAAGACATGTTTTTGCTTTGAAACTCAAATCATTTCCAAATCAAAATATGCTCAAAAGTATACAATTTTGTTTCCAATACCTTATAAATCTTTATAAACAAATATTAGATCATTGAAATATACAATCACAAACTAAAAAAGAATTGAATCAAACAAGTATATTATAGAGATGCACAACTACTTAGAGTTGTACATAAATGTGTTTGTTGCTTGGGTTGTTTTGCATTATTCCAATCGCTATGAAGAGTTGATTATGAAGCCAGATGACTAGCTGACTACGTTTATTCATTGTGGCTTTTTCTGTATTGTTAAGCTCCATGTAACCAACGGAGATAAAAGCTATTGAGATTTCCCACTAAACGGCATCGTTTCGGCTAAACTATAAAGGTAAACACACCAATTTTGACTTTTGACTTGTCTAAGACATTGCTTTTGAAACTCAAAATCATTTCCAATCAAAATGTGCTCAAAAGCATACAATTTTGTTTCCAATACTTGTAAATGCTTACAAAACAATATTGGATCATTGAAATATATATACAAATATCATCACAAATTGAAGAAGATTTGAACCAAACAAATAAAAGAAAACTTTCACCCTCTCTCTCTCTTTCTTGATCTTTCTTAACAAATTCATATCGATCTACTTGTAATAGATAACAGGCGCATTAGCTCTAGCATCCCACATACCACCTTCTTTTAAATACTCAAGATACCTAGAAAACTCAGGTTTTGTCGTCGTTGACTTCTTCTTCTTTCCGTAGAAAAGACTAAAGATTGGGTGGCTAAATTTGCCTGTTGGTTTAACTTTCTTGGACTTCTGACGAGGAAGCTCCTCAAGAATGGTCGGAACACCACCAGCACCAAGCTTTATAGATGGAGCGTAGTAAGGAACACTCGTCGATCTTCTTAGCTTTGCTCCGAGTAAACTGAAACTTGAATCATCACTCACTCTCTCGTAGCCTCCACGACGGCTTCTTGTCCTCGTGCTCAAGCTTCTTAGCATTTGCATCTTTTAAAATTCAAGAAGATGATGTGAATAGACAAGTGAAGAGATGATTGTTGTTGTTGTTCGTTGTAATGAGAGAGTTTGATCAATGTGTTATTATATATATAGAGAGATGTGATAAGATTATATGGTTGTTGTATCTTATTTAATTTCAAGTGGAAATGGTCAGACTTTGGTTGCTAGCTAATTTGAAAAGTCCGACCATTTTAATTCTGAAAAAAATATAATTAAATTTAAGAGAAGACAAGGATGGTTTCGACGAGCTTCTTTGACTTTTCAAGTCTCTTCTAACGCAATCCTTGACCTCATGCTCATCAAGGAACTTCCACGAGACTCTCGGTTTATTATTAAATTTTTTAATTAGAGAATTAAACTAATCAAGGAACTTCCACGAGACTTGGTTTATATTAAAATCTAATTAGGGGATTAAATAACATGTTTATTTTGTTCAAACTTTAAAGTGGGTCAAATAAATCATAACGTTCTGTTTAGAAAACTATTGAACTAGACAAGTGGGGTCAAATAAATGAATAACATTTTGTTAAGAAAACATCTTATTTCAAAACATGTCAAAAAACCATCTAATTTAAAACCAAAAGACATCTATATGTGTGTGTGTGAATAGCATGATTGTGGAATATTGTTATTCAAAAACTATTATTTCTCATTTACTCATTGTAAAGAAATACTTCTGATTTTTTCAACTTCTTAAGATTTACATTTTTTTTTGTTAAAGAAGATTTATATTTTGTTAACAAGAGATGATAACTAAATCTATTTTGAAGAACCTTTTGTTATGGGTATTTAATCCTGATTCTAGTTTTGGAGTTTTCGATTTTTGCAGAGAGAGAATGTAACAATTAGGAATCAACAGAAATTGTAGCGGTCATAGCAATCAAAAATGATTACAATGATCTGTGATCATCTGGGCAAAGGGCAATCATAGAAAAAATAAACCTAAGGGACAATCTAATTGAAAATATAGAGGATATTTACTCCTTTTTTTTTTCTTTTCTTTTTTTGACAGCAGAGGATATTTACTCTTAAACTACTCTAGAAAAAAATTAAAGAAAAAATCAGACAGACCAAGGTCAAGGTCAACGTCAACATCACAAGGCTCTACCTTTCTTCTGAGTTGAATCTGTTCCAAGCTTCCTGGAAATTTATTACTAAATTAACACATTTTCAAATTTTAGAATGACCAATTCAGAGATTGTGTGAGAAGGTGTGACAGAACATGAACTACCTTAAGAAGATCGAAGACCTTTTCGCAGATATATTTCTGATGAATGTTTGCACCTCTTTGCTGTAACTTGTCTGGATGAACACAAAGTGTTGCTTTCCTGTAAGCTCGTTTCACGGCTGCCGAAGTTATGACTTCTGTTAACGGTAAAGGTTGCCATCCGCTTTCGGGACCGAGGATCTGATTCATAACAAACAAATACAAAGAAAACTCGATTTTGAGAAATAGCTCTTACTCACTAACTTTGATCTCTATGTTGTTGTTCGGTTATGAAACGTTACGTATTGTAGTGTTGAGAGTAATGCTCTTATGTTTCCTTCTTTTCCACTTGACCATCTTTTTACTTCGGTGTCTAAGGTTTCAGCGATTCTCTGTTGGAAAAGAGAAACAAAATATGATTATTGACAAAATTTGAAGGCTTTATGTGAAGTTGAAGAAGAGTTTTGGTTTGGTGGTTGTACAATTCTCTCTGTTTGTTCTCTCTGGGCCACGAGATCACGCATGTTCTTCTCTGCCAAAGCTTTAGCCTGTAAACAATTCAATATGACCGTTCATTTTAACATCAATGGTGCGGATTTTAGAATGAATATTTGGTAAATAGAAGCACTAATTACCACACGATCAGCTGTTCTTCGATGCCTTTCCAATCTCGATGTATACCTTTGAGGCGATTCACCTTCAGTACCTTAAGAGACAAAAGAAAAGAATAAAGAGTTAAGCTAAAGGGGGATGCAAAAATAAAACAACTAGAGCGTTTTCAGAGTATTTTTTTTTTACCAGTAGAACTTTGATATCTTGAAGCACCAAAAGAGAGTGAATTTTGAAATTGCTTATCAGAAACTGATCTTTCCATTCGTTCACCAAAAAAACCTGAACTCTGACATTGCTTATCGGAAACCGATCTTTCCATTCGCTCTCTTGCCTCAAAGGCAGCCTTTTCAGCTGCACGTTCACGAGCTTCAGCGGTTGCTCTCTCCACTGCTGCCCGTTCTGCTCTAAGTCTTGCCTCCATCGATAACTTATCAGGCAAAGACTTCTCTCTGGCCTCAGCACATGCTTTCTCCAATCTTTCACGTGCATCAGCCAATGCTCTCTGGTCAAAAGCCATTCGATCCTTCTCCCTCTCTCTTTCCCTCTCCCTTTCTTCTTCTACCTTTCTTAATTGCTCCATCTCTAAGTCTCTTTCTCTCTTTAGTCTCTCTGCTTCTTTCTCACGTTGCACGGATACTCGAGAAGGCAATGGTCTTTCTAATTTTGCATCTTGATTTAAACCTGCTTGGGTCTCATAGATATTTCCTCTTTCCTGCTGATGGGTGAATTTATTTTCATGGTTTCTGAAACCAGAGGATGTTTTGGGAGCGGACTTACTTTCCTCTGGATTCCTTTGATCACGACCAACACCTGCTTTTCTGACATTTTGGTCTTCACCTACATCGTCTTCTGATCTTTCTTCAACTTCAGTTTTCAACCCATTGTCTCGTTTGAGAACTGAGGCATCTTTGGAGTTTTCAGAATTTTTACTCTTCTGTTGGAGCTTTCCTCCTATAATATTCTCAGTAACAGAAGTGGACTCCTCACTCGATTCTCCATTTTGCTGGTTATATCCTCCATTTTCACCCAGCTGAGGCGTCTCTTCATTCCTCTCAGACAACCTGGATTCAGCATCCAGCTCATTAGTTCCTTCCTTTTGGCTGGCGTCTTTGAGGTTCTTCTCAAAAACCTTCCAAGGACAGGTTTCTTCGGACATAGATTCTCTCTGCTTTGGTTCTTCTTCTTCTTCGTTTTGTTTGTTCATAGATTTGTGGTTGTCTATACTCTCATCCTCTTCTAGAGTGTCGCTAAGACTTTCATTTGATGATTGCTCTCCATGAGCCTCTTTGGTAGTTTCACAGGTTTTCTCCATTTCACAAGCATCTCTTTCTTTCTCGTCACTTTCTTCTCCTGAATATTCATATTGTTTTCTTTCATTTTCCTGATGCTCTTGATTTTCTCTATGTAGTCTTTCTCTTTCTTCTCTTTCCTTGGCTTCTTGCAGCCTCATCCTCATCTCTTCCTGTTCAAGATCCTCTTTCAGTCTTCTCTCAATCTCTGCCCTCTCAAAAGCTTCTATGAGCCTTTTTTCTTTCTCTTCTAGCTCAGTAGCTTCTTTCAGCTTCTTTTCATTCTCCTCTTTTTCACGTGTCTCTTTCAGCCTCCTTTCTTTCTCCTTTTGCTCGAGGGCTTCTTTCAACTTCCTCTCATTCTCTGCCTGCTCAAGAACCTCTTTAGCTCTCCTCTCATTTTCTTCTCTCTCTTGACACTCTTTAATCTGCCTTTCCTTCTCTTCTTGTTCAAGAGTTGCTTTCAGTCTTTGCTCCAGCTCTGCCTTCTCACGAGCCTCTTTTATTCTTCGCTCATTTTCTTCCTTTTCACGAGCTTCTTTTATTCTTCGTTCCTTCTCTTGTTCAAGTGCAACTCTCATATTCCTTTCATGATCTGCCTTCTCACGGGCCTCTCTAATTCTACGGTTCTTTTCTTCCTTTTCAAAAGCTTCTTTTAGCCGCAATTCTAACTCTTGTTGTTCTTTCATTTTCTTTTCTTGTTCTGCCTTTTCGCGAGCCTCTACCGCTCTCCGTTCATTCTCTGCTTTTTCATGAGCTTCCTTAATCTTTCTTTCCTTCTCTTCTTGCTCCAACGCTGCCTTTAGTCTTTTCTCATTTTCTGCCTTCTCAAAAGCTTCTCTTTCTCTTCTGTCATTTTCTTCCTTTACACGAGCCTCTTTAATCCTAGTTTCCTCCTCCATCCGCTTCAAGGCCTCATTCAGTTTTGTCTCACTTTCGCCACGCATTCCCAATTTTTTACCATTTCCATTCAATTCCAAGGAAACCTCTAGCGTACTTTCATTACCAAGAGCTTCCCTGAGCTTTCTCGCATTTTGTTCCCAATCATACACAAATTCCTGGTTCTTTTCAACTGCTTGCCGATTTGGTATTCTATCCGATTGTTGATTTTGTATGCCTTTTGTTTTCTCTTCATAGTGCAATTCCTTCTTCTGTTTTGCAGGCTTTTCAGTAAAGAGCTTATTTTCTTCTGGTCTAAGCAGATTTCTGTGTTTCACTATCCCACCATGATCAGGTAAATTGGTGCCCATTTCAACATGTCTCGATTTCTCTTTCTTTGGCTCTTCAGGAACCTTTTCTGCAAGCTTGTTCTCATGTCTCTTATGCCTAGATGCTACCTTTCTCGTTCCATGGTGTTTTTGCAATTTCCTAGCTTCATGATCCTCTCTATCTCCTTTTGCTCTCCTCCGCTGTTTCTCCCAGTCAACATTAGCTGCCCATGTCAGCTCCTGATCGAAAAACTCTGCATTAAGGGGAATAGAAACATCTTTTCCACCACTGTTCTCATCAGCATTTCTTGGTAGCTCTGTTCTCACCAATTCAACAAATTGATTAGCCTCTTTCCATTCATCATTTCCATCAGAGTTTGCTGACCCTTGAGAAGACAGAGACTTGCTTCCACGCTTATCCCTCAAAGACTTTCTAGCTACATCAATATTAGTCTTAACTACGGGCAAACCAGCTGTATGGCCCGATTTCCCTTCCTCGGCTATTCTATTCTTCGTGGAGGTTGGCTTTGCGGTAGTTCGTGCCCCATCCCTCTTCCTTTCTAACAGCTCTTTTGCACTTTTAAGTTTTGCCTCAGCTTTTACCATAGCTTCTCTCACTGCAGCTGAATTTGCATCAACCTCTACATCAAAGAACGGTGGAGAACTACTATCCGCAGATCCTTGTGATCCAGTACTTTTAGAATTAGAAGCCGAACTTCTAAAATCACTCTTCAATACAGGAGCTGCTCTCGATGGAGGTGGTATTCCAGTAGGATGAGTCTTCAAACCAATCTCAGAAACAGTAACAAAAGGTTCACTACTGTAATACTTGTCTTCAAAGACAAATTTATTTGTACCTCTACCAACAGAAGATGGCCCAGTCTCCTTCTTAAGCTTTGTTGTTCCATCAACTGCAACAGTGTAACCAGGAATAGCACCAAGATCAGCTACACGTATCACACCACTTGAGGACATATTTGTGTCGCCGCCGCTTATCTGGCTAGCTTTGTTATAAGAAATGTTGAACTCTGTGCTTCCATCAATGGAATCATATGAATCTCTACCATTAGAAAAACAAGGACTTTTGCCAGAATGGTCTGTACCACCTGAGCATGACTCTACTTCTTCAGGAGTCCTACAAAAAAACGAAGCTCAATTCTTAAAAAGAAGGCTTTTTTCCACAAAGTGAATCAAGGGTAAGAAAAAAGTTTCGATTTTTATGAGTACCAAGCATCGTCGGAGGAATCACCATCACCAACCACCGGAGACCGCTGCTGCAAAAAAAGTTCTTCATACGAAGGAGCTAAATCGAGATCGTTAAAACCTCCGAAGACTTCACGGTAGTCAAAACCTTGACTCCGAACATCGAAGTAAACATCTCTATCATCAACAAGTGGAAGATCGAGTACCGGAATCGAGGAAACGGCGGCGCGTGAGGAACCGTTGAATCCGGCGAAAATCTCGCAGTAGTCTTCGAGACGAGGAGACAGCGTCGGAGCTCCAAACCTAGGCGGGCCACCAAAAACGTCGTCGTATGTAGTGGTGGTGGTTGTATTAGCCGCTTTGCCGGAGTTGTAGCTAAAACCTCCGGCGTTGTTATTGCCATTGTAAGGTTTCTTAGGTAATGAAGAAGACCTGTTTGGATTCCGAGAATGAGAGAGATTTTCCATGAGAATCAACAAAAACGATGCTTGGGGTTTCGCAAATCTTTCTTCTTCAACCTCTCTCTCTTCTGGCTTTGGAGGCTCTCTCCGTTGAGAGTCTGAAACAGCAGAAGTCAAGAGGACGGAAAAAGCGAAAATCAAAAGAGGAAAAATGTCTCAAAAAGATACTCCAAAATGACGAAAAAGGACCTCTTCAGCTTTAATTTGAAATCTAATTCGAATCGTTTTTATTTAAAAAGGGTATATAATATTCCCATCTCTACATCGTGAGAATTAACAAAGTAATAGGAAACGTTATATATCGAGAATTAATTAATTACAATTATTTTATTTTATTTTTAGAATTTTACAGTGTTGTTCGTTTATATTCATACAAGTACTCTTTTATTTTTTTTTGGTAGGAACAAGTACTCTTTTATTTTAGGTTAATTCGTAGTTATAATATATGTCAAAATTCATATCTTAATAAATTAAAAATAAGAACGTTAGGATTTTTCTGTTTAACTTATTTGGCTTGTTGTCTCCATGGAATTTTTAAAACAATTAAAATATCAATTTATTTTTAATAAAAAATGTTCTGAAAACAGTCGTGCTGCTGCAATCGTAACGGCCGGCGCGGCGGCAACTAATTTAATACAGTAACTATTTAGTATTTTCGACAGTATTTAAATAAGACTTGTTTTATTTTATTTGTTTAATTAGTACTATTCTATTCATTTATATAACAATTTTATAATTAAATGATGAAACCGATATATAGGACGACAGGTGTAGCCGGTAAACCGGTGAAGACGCGCGAAACGAAAAGAAAAGGGTAAAATAGGAAATAGACAATACTCGTTGTTGTCACTTCTTCTTCTCCGGTGGGTCCGACTGTTGCAGCACACTATCTTCATCATTTTCCAAAAAAAAAAAAAAAATTAATTTCTCTCTTCATAATAATAACGTTAGAATGAATTTATAAAAATTAAATTACAGATACGCAGGAATCTTATAGTTTTTAATATTTATATATACAACAAAACTTGGATTATTCGGACCGGTCTAGTCATCTAGATAAAAAGTATAGATATAACAGTGTCGTTTTTTGCTAGGTTATTATAAAAATAAAATACGGACAAAAACAAAAAGAATAATAAAAGAGTTATAATAAATGAAAGAAGAAAAAAAAATTAAAGGTTGAAGGTTCCCAAGAGGGAAACAAATGTAGTGAAAATGGTAAGAGTAAGAAACTGTGGAGTTGCACCGGCCAATCGATCAATTACAAGTGTAACGCACTCTGATTTTGTACTATATTCCATTTCCTTACTTATTAAATGCAATATTTTTAAAATCATCAAAACTATTAAAGAATAAGGTAAACACTTAGTTTCAAGCCTTTTTCATTCAAATTCTTGCATTAGCATTTTTTTTGTTTGAACAAATCATTAGCATTTTCTAATTGATATATGTTATGTATCCAATGAAAGATACGTAATCGAGTATACATACATAGATATTTGTTGACAAAACGAGTAATTATAAATTTGCTAGCAGTTTTTAAACACTAGTTATGAATAATATTAACAAATGGGTGTTGTGTTAATTTTGTAGTATCCATACATTTACATGTGTATTAATCTTTGAATGTAAAACTTTAGCTAAAAGCCAACAGTATTATCTTTTATATTCGCCAAAAGTAGTCCTCAATTGAAACTAGTAGTTTAAAACATAAATTACAATATATTTGATTATCCAAATAACTTAATTAAACATATTTAATCTACAAAAGCTAGATCCTAGTAAAAACAGGTGAATCATTGCCATTTTGTAAAACTGTTCTGACAATTCCAATAATAGTCTGAAAAACGACACTGTTGGTGTAGTTTAATCAAGTTTTGAGCATATAAGTATTAATCCAAATTTGGCACCATTGGGAAAAAAAATTTAATCAAACTAAAAAGGGACAGTAATGTCACGAATAAGACAGCCTAAACCGTTCCTCCAGATCATATAGAATATCTTTCTTTCTTTTTTTCTTCTCACGAGCATATAATTTCAAGTCGAACGAAATTTATAATTTCATGACACTACAACAGTAATAATTAAGTACGACACAATTATGGTATATATTATATATATATATTATACAATATATATTCCTTATACGTATTATCACCCTAATAAAATAGAATAAGTACCGATTCGCTTGGTGTCCACAATTGATAACGAGATTTTTCGTGGCATGCATGATTAATGATGTTGATCCATTTAATTGGTTGACAACTCATATGATTATTACTCTACGTTGCCCCTCTTTAATTCGAAATTGAAGTTTATAATAAGATAACTAAATTTTTCCATATATGGGTAGTTGGCTTCCCATATTAAGTTACATATTAATGTAGATGTATGTATTCGATTTTTTTTTGGTACCCATTAACTATCTAATCAATTAATATATATCTATTTTATTAATTATGATAGTGAAAATTTACCTGCACTACGACTGTTACGACAAAATAATTCATTATGATATGAAGAATGCAAGCATTAAACCATTAGTTATAACTTATAACAACACCAACTTTTTCTACAAGTTAGATTCAGAATTTAATCAATTAATTTTAGTTTTCAAATGAATTTTATTTTTGGTTTAGTTTAATATTTAAGCCAAATTAAATTCCGTTTTCAGTATAGTTTTATCTAATTCCATTCAAATAAAATTGGTTGGATTATTTTTATTCGGAATTCAAACATGTAAATGTTAACGTGTGGATGTGTATACGCATGCTTGCTTATAAGTCCGTGCCTTGTAAAGCATGCATGAACCCTAGACGATAAAAAAATACTATCAAAAGACGAATCCACACTTTGATTAATTATACTCTCTTATAGTTTGAATAGCTATATTAGTTAAAAACAACATCGCAAAGGAAAACATGATTAAATATTATGCTCCGAACATAATGATGGCGGTGATAACCATGCTTGCCCTACTTACAAGATTCACTTATTCGTTCCATCATCGGTGTATTTAAGTAAATATATAAACCTTCACAGATTGTCTAGAAAATCTATGCGTATTAAACAGAAATAAATCTTTTTTTTGTATATTTTGATTAACTAGAGTTAATTAGTCTACTGGACGATATCTGTTTGGTTGTTTTTTTCGGATATTGTCCCAAATATGCGTAGTTCTGCAATTGAATAACATCAATCTTGACCAATAAGCTAAGATCTGAATATCCATATGTTAACTTAAGAGACACGCCTATACCTGTCTCTGATCGTGTTGGACATGAATGACTATAATTATACGTTTTAACGATATGTCTATATAAAGACCAGATACTAGGTTTGTATATTAAAAATTTTAAATCCCCATTTTGATTTTTTTCGTTTTTAGTTTGTATCTTTTCAGTTTTCACTCGATTGGATATATTCCTTGCAGCCTACAGTTAGATCAATCTGGATGTTAATTGGACCACTTTTCTCTTTTTGCATAATCTTTTTAGTATATTTAATTTAGTATTATGTATAGGTACATGATAAAGTTATGCTAAGGAAGATTGTATTCATTTTATTATATTCTACCTTTTTCTATGTTCAGATGTTGAAACTCATGCATATAGAACAAAAATAGTTAAGAAAAAGGTCAAATAAAGCAAAAGAAAATCAAACAACACAAGATATGATTCTAAATGTTTGCTGCTTATCATTGTTACATAAAACCATAGTTAACTTAACCAGATGATTCAAATTTTTATTGTTTTTCACTTTTCACATTTATCTAGGTACTTTAAGTTGAAAAAAATGACAATTAACACAAATTGGCACTACTGATTAATATATTTACCAGAACACTAATTATATAAGTGAGTTGGAACCTATAATGTACTCCCCCACATACAAATGATTGCAACCCTTTACCAAAAGTAAAAATAAAAATACAAATGATTTCCCCAACATTTACTAATTAGTACTACTAGCTAGTGTGTATATATATATATATATATATATATATATTTCACTATATATTATATACCAAGCAGAAACAGATTAATAAGTAACACTCCATCAATCTTGAGTTTAGAAACGTTGGAATAAAGAAATAAAAGAAAGGGGTCCTTGTGTTGGCCACTTTGGTTGTAATCGCAGCATTCAAATATTCATATGACCATTTTCCTAACTAATTATTACATTTTGATATTTGTTAGCTTAGGTGTTGACCTGAGAAAATAAAAGCGGCTTAGGTAATAAATCATAGAGAAATTGTTAAAAATGCCCCTTTTTCAATACCCCTTTTCAAAAATGCCCCCTTTGAGAGTTCATTTTTAAGTTTGCCCTCTTTTAATTTTTAATGACCATTTTACCTTTATTTGAAACAAAATTAGGTCCACAAAATACAAAATATTTTTTGGCGGAAAAAGTGATCCCGCAATTTTCCCGCCAAAACACTTGTAAAAAACCTTTAAAATACCTTGTAAAATTTTCCCGTCAAAACACTTGTAAAAACACTTGTAAAAAACCTTTAAAATACCTTGTAAAACACTAGTACTACCTTTAAAATATATAAGTACTACTACCTTGTGATTCCGCAATTTTTTTTTTTTGGCGGGAAAATTTTTGGCGGAAAAAATTTACAAGGTATTTTAAAGGTTTTACAGAGTATTTACAAGTGTTTTGTAAGGTTTTACAATGTATTTTAAAAGGTTTTACAAGGTACTTATAAGGTTTTATAAGGTATTTATAACTTGTAAAACCTTATAAAAAACTTGTAAAACCTTATAACTTGTAAAAACCTTATAAAATAGCTTGTAAAATCTTATAATATCTTATAAATACCTTGTAAATACGTTGTAAAACCTTTTAAAATACATTGTAAAACCTTATAAATACCTTGTAAAAAACCTTTAAAATACCTTGTAAATTTTTGGCGGGAAAAATTTTCCCGCCAAAAATTTAACGCCAAAAAAATTGTGGAATCACTTTTCCCGCAAAAAAAAATTTTTGGCGGGAAAATTTTTTACGGGAAAATTTTACAAGGTTTTTTAAAGGTTTTTTACAAGTGTTTTGGCGGGAAAATTGCGGTATCACTTTTCCCGCCAAAAAATATTTTGTATTTTGTGGACCTAATTTTGTTATTTTCCTTATATATTTGTGATATCTTTTATTAAAAGAAGGGTAATTTAGTCATTTTGTACATAAAAAGGGGTATTTTTAAAAATGGACAGCCAAAGGGGGCATTTTTGAAAAGGGGTATTAAAAAAGGAGCATTTTTGTGAGTCTCCCTAAATCATAGGGCCCTTTAATAAATTTGTATTAATCAAAATCATGTGAAGAAATTACCTACTACGAAGTCTATGATCCACATTTATATTCAAGTTAGTCAGTCAGTGTTTTTGTTTTTCTCTGATAGGATTAAAGTAAGATCTCTAGTGGAAACTGTTGCAGTTGGTTTTTTTAAGAAGCCTAACCAGATTGTGTAGAAGAAATTAATGGCTTGTGCAGTGTGCAACTAATTTCGAAGATTTGTCCATACCACAATTTAGTGCACACTTAAATTTATAGCCAAAAACAAACTACAATTTGCATGTTTCACACGTGTGAAAAAACCTGTCATTGTCAAAGTCAATCCATTAGTATTTGGTACCCACTTATTTTTCCAACAATTTAACAGATTTAAATGTCGTACTATGTTAAGTTTTGTATGTATGTTGTCTTTTATTCTCTTGAGGGGTTTTAACCAAACTTGCTTCAGATGAACTTGATCAAGTCTATGCTCTAAAATCAGAATCTTGATCATATCCTGCGCTAAATCTCAGATAACACAAGCTCAGAAGCAGCAATTGTAAAAGGTAACAATGTATTTACAACTATATACTTCCTTCACAAAAAGAGTCTTTACGTCTCCAAGACTATAGGAGAAGCTGGCTTTGAAGCTACATTAATGGACAACCAATCCAACAAAGCCTTGTTTACAGCTTCGGGGACTTCGTCATGAGGACAATGCCCTGCTTGTAAGTGCACAAGCGATGAGTTCGAGTAAAATGCTTTGATTTTCTCGGCTTTAGCTGGACCGACCCACGGGTCAAGATCTCCCCAAAGCAACAGAAGCGGACAAGTCATCTTACTTAGAACACTATCTAGAGTGTATCTACTCTGGTTCGTTAAGAACCTTGTCATCAATCTGTAAGATATTAACAAACAAACAACAGTCAGGTCTCTTTATCTATGAAAACAGAGAAGCTCTTTATTGGTATTTTGTACCTGTAGTATACTTCTCCAGCATTTGGATCTGTTGCAGGTTTTGAAATGGATTCGACGAGGTAGTCATCGACATTAGTAGAGTCTACGTACACCTGCAAAAATAAGAAAATTGAGTACAAAGTAACAAACTTTGAGAAGAAAAAATCTGACAAAGTCAATAAGACATTACACTCTTTAAGACAGATTCGATTCGAGAAGGTTGCTTGGCTTGCCAGAACAAGAACCCAAGAACCACGCGTTGGAAAATCTCTTTAAGTGGCTTAACTATAAACTTGGTTATCACGGTTTCATCAGCTTCCTCTCGTTTTCTACTCTCGGCTGCAAATTGTCCTGCAGAGTTTAGAAGAGCAACTCCCGTGACCTGCTCGGGTAATCCAACCGCAACTGACAATGCCGTGAATCCCCCGAGGCTGTAAAGAAGTCGAAGAACTTGTTTCAAACTTCCTTATGGAATGACAAAAAGAGCTCCAAAGAAGACATTCATTTACCTGTTCCCGACCACAACAGCTGGTTCTTTCACTATCTCTTTCATGAAATCAATAACTTGATCTGTCCAAACCATGGCATCATACTCTATGAGAGCTTTGTCACTCCATCCGAAACCGAGTAAGTCCAAGGCGTAAACCTTGTATTTCTTAGCCAATTCAGGAATGTTATACCTATAATAGCTCGAATTCGTATGAATTATGTAAACAGTTTACTTAAAGCCTATACTGCTCAGAGTGTTCCCAAATCAACAGAGCTTGGAGGTGAAATTGAGAATACCTCCAATGAAAGACAGAAGCACCAAATCCATGAATAAGAACAAGAGGCAAGCCTTCTCCTTGAACCACATAATGAATCTTGTGACCTCTCCATTCCCAAAAGTTATACCCTTCTGGCTTAAAAGCCAACCTCTCACTACCTAAAGAATCATCCAAATTCTTTTAAACAAAGATATCATTTTTAGACCAAGAGAGAAGCAAAGCTAGGTTTTTTACCTTGAGAAGCAGAAGAAGTACCCATGACTGAAACTCCAGAAGCAACAATCCCTCCTCTAATTGCAAATTCCCTTCTGCTGATCTCACATTTGTTTCCTTCATTGCAAAGATTAAACAGATTGTTCATAATTCAGGCTTAAATCTCTAAGGAAAATTTTGAATGAAAGGTTGGTGTTGAATCTTACTGGGTCGACAAATTTGAGCAGGAAAGATTGATCTTTTAGATGATGAACTGAATAACTCTGTCCTAACAGACGGTGTTAGAGCACATGAAGCAGACATCGATTATTCACAGAGAACAACCTCGTAAAATCTCCAAGGAAAAGAGAACCAGATATTTCAGAGCTAAGAGATGCAAAAAGAACAAACCTTTTTGAGCACCGAGTGAGTGTGTGAACTTGCGAGAGAGTTGTGGCGACGCCTGAGCCAGACAAGTCGAATCCGCTCGACGAAACAGAGTGTTTATGAAAATTGCGGTTTTTATGGTTTAACAACAAAACCGGAAATTCGAATTAGCTGAACCGGCCGGTTCAGTCGTATTTGTCCCAATAAATCCTGAAATTTTTACTCTATATCCCTTTTAAATCATTTTGACAAAAGCCGACTCTTTTATGGTCAAGTTGATGGGTATCAATCAAACAGAGCAATTGACTTGCACAACAAGATATTGCTTCACCCATAAGCTTCAAATTCTAATGTGACTACAGACTCTCTTCCTTAAAGTTCATAGTCTCCAATTCTCTTCCTCAGATCTTATCTCATTGTTGAATAGATGAGATGTTCTTTCCAAGTAAACTGAATAATTCACGTGGAATGTGATTATTTGATTCCTGCAATCACATAGATCCATCATTAGTGAAAAGGGCAAACATGAATGTATTGACGAAAACTGCCCTGCAAAAGAACACATTGGTTTAAGTCATATACTGAAACTCAGTGAATCAAAAACTTTCTAAACTTTTTTTTGTGGAAATTGCAAAAACAACAAAATCTCTGAACGTTAAGTATTTTGGCATTTGAAGCATTTACTCTTCTCATCTAATCTCATAAGCAGCTTGTTGTTGATGAATCCCAAAGAACCAGTGAAATGGAAACCTCAAAGCAACCGGTGTGTTATTGAAATAGGCCAAACTTTGAATTTTTAATAATCTACATAAATGAAGAATTTTCCAAACGAGTATTGATTCTCTTGAATTATGTCACTCATTATAGATAATGTATAGATATATCATAAATAATTAATATAAAAAAATGTATAGGGACCAAACACTTAGATCAAAAGCAATGGTGTCGCCTACCTTCCTATCACTTATCTTCAAACCCATTTTCTTCTTTAGGTCTCTTATTTTGCGTCCCTATCAGTTATGAATTATCTATTATAATATTTCACATATATTCATCGAGATGCTATCTCTTTAATATATGAAATAGTCTATAATTGATGAATGGTAGTATCAATCTTATATATAGTAGATTGATGAATGGTAGCTAGTATTAATACGTCACAAGGATCACGTATGGATTCACAACAAGACATGGAAATGATATCACTCATGATTCAAACCATTGTTTCTATTCATTTGCAAGTTAAGATTCATAATTCACATTCCCCACATTCTCCAACTTCAAGCCTAAGAAACGCTCTCTCTTTCTTTAAGTAAGATTCTTAAAAAAACAAAATTGGTACAATTAGAAGGTTGTCTTACCAAAAGCTCAATGATTTGATTTTACAAAAAACTATATTTATATGATAATACCCTCATGAACCTTAAGTTTTACTAAGTTTGATTATTTGTGGCCAAATAAAAGATCCTCTCAAAAACTTGAAAGGGCAAAAGGAAAAAAAAACATAGAAAAGACACAAAAGAGACTAACTTAAGAGACTCCTCATCTCATGTTCATAAGGACATGACCACATGGTAGGTTATGTCATTTAGACCCCACAACTTCTCATCTCACCTTCTTTGTCCCCAACCTCCTCCACTTTTATCAATTTTGTCCCTCTCTCACTAGATTTCGAATCTCATGTGTGTGGGTCAATGTTGCTTTCTATTTAAAGCTAAGAATAATTATATCTAATGGATTACTTTTCTTCCACACATATAAAACTTAACTCTCTCTTTCTCTCTTTTGCTTTAACCCTCCCAAAGAAAAGATAAAGAGCCTTTAAGTTTTTTTTTTTACCTTCTCTTCATGGACTTGTCTGTACTTGATAGGCTTAAATGGCTGCAACAGCAGCAAATGATTTCACCTGAGTTTCTTCAGATACTTGGCTCAGATGGGAGAGAAGAGCTCAAAAGAGTTGAGAGTTACTTGGGAAACAACAATGATGAGCTGCAGAGTTTCAGACATTTTCCCAAGTTTGGACCGGATTATGATACTACTGATGGCTGCATCTCTAGGACAAGTAGCTTCCAAATGGAGCCAGTGAAGAACAGTGGACATAACAGAGCCATTTCCTTGCAGAACAAGAGAAAACCAGAGGTTTGTAGCCCGAGACACTATTGAATTTGGCGTTTAGATTGATTCTGATCGTTTCAACTTTTGGTTTTAGGGTAAGACAGAAAAGAGAGAGAAGAAGAAGATCAAAGCAGAGGATGAAACAGAGTCAAGCATGAAAGGAAAAACAAACATGAGCAACACAGAGACATCTTCAGAGATTCAGAAACCAGATTACATCCATGTCAGAGCTAGACGAGGTGAAGCTACCGATAGACATAGCTTAGCAGAGAGGGTAATTAACTAAAAGTGTTGTTACATAGATTTCAGAGAAAATATTATTTTCATTAGAGATTTGAGTGGTCTTTTTTTTTTTGTGGGATTGTGGTAGGCAAGGAGAGAAAAGATAAGCAAGAAGATGAAATGTCTTCAAGATATTGTTCCCGGATGCAACAAAGTAACTGGAAAAGCTGGTATGCTTGATGAGATCATCAACTATGTCCAATCTCTGCAACAACAAGTTGAGTTCTTGTCGATGAAACTCTCTGTCATAAATCCAGAACTTGAGTGTCATATCGATGATTTATCCGCAAAACAGGTGAATATATAGTCAGCTTCATCCCAAGAATTAACCGAGTTTTCCGCATTTATTGACTGGTTTAAATTTGGAATCTAGTTTCAGGCTTACTTCACAGGTCTTCCCGAAGCTGACTCGAAGCAGTCAATCATGGCGGATTTTCGGTCTTTTCCATTACATCAGCAAGGATCTATAGATTACTCAGTCATGAACGGCACTGTAATAATCTCTCTCTGTTCAAACAAATCTTTCATTATTCCCAAATTCTTGTTACTTGTCCGTGAAGTAACTTATTTCTTTTTTCTTTTCTGCAGAAAGATCAGACATCATCAAGCTGGGAAACTCACTCACAATGTCTTTACAACAGCTTGAGAACCGATTCCGTTACAAATTTCTTCAGCCTCAAGTAAAAAAATTAGGGATAGGCTCATTAAAAAAATCGCGGTTTTTTGTTGTTGTCTTATCCATTTATCTATCTTATCTGAAATTTGAACCAGAAAGACAGAGGAAACCAATCCAAAGATCTTTCAATCTATTATCTTCATACAAATATAGAGATATGTGTAGAAGAAAGAGAGAAAAAAAAAAAACTCTTGTGGTCATAACAATTCCTTGTTTTGTACATTGTAGAATCAAACAGAAAAAAAAATGGAGAATCCAGCTGAACTTTTTTATATCTGTAACCACCTACAAAATGTATTCTAATCATTTCAATGTTGAAATATTAATGGAAAGAATTGACCATTGTTATTAGTTAATGATTTAAAAATGCAAGCTACAATTATTTCCCTCACAAATTACAATTACACTTGTATTAATGAAGGCCTTTTGGCCTGGTATCAACATATACAAACCTAAGCCAACAAACAGAGAACCAAAAGAAATTAAAATTTTTTCTCAAAAATTAAGTTAAAACCAGCCTAATGACTCTTATGCTTCTATCTATTTCTTCTTCTTCATGAGACTGGAGAAACTGAATCCAAAACGACCAGATTTCTTTGGGGATGGTGTTATTTTAATAGGTTCTTGATGAGTAACTGGAGTAACAACCTGTGAAGTAGTCGAAGCAGTTGTTTTTTCTTCTGGTCTGGAGGATTCTTCTTCTCTGTCGGAATCTACTTCTTCAAGAGCTCTAAGCAATTCCGATGCACCCCCTTTTGCTTCCTCTGTTCCATTTTTGGTTATCAAGATTAGAGATGAGTAAATATCAGTTGCTTCTCTCACGACAAGACAGCAATACTCTATCTTCTGCGTACAGAGCTGAAGGAGGGTGTAGATTGCATTCTCTTGCTCCTCGGGAACATTTGAATCGAGTAATTCAGCTATGGAAGCTAAACAATCCGGGGTTTCGGTGATATAAACCCGACCTTTCTCGGTGCTGCAGAGGTTTTTCAGAATGATAATCGAGTGTTTGCAGAAAACTTTTTGTTGCAAGAAAGATGTGAGCTTCTGGATGAAATCCAGAGATACCATTTCCGGACAAATTTCAATGCTTGATGAAAGATTCTTGAGTGTGATCATAGCTTGTTCTTGGAGATGTTCTGCTTGAGACTCTACGATCCTCAAAAGGGAAGAAAGAGAGCCTGATGAAGTTATCTTGGAGGGACCGTTCGGATGGTTGGAGAGAACCTCAAGTATGTTCAAAGCTTCTTCAGCTACTACCTCAGACTCGAGAAAGACTGAGAACATTTTGAAAACCTCTTCTTCCAAATATTCTATAGCCCTCCTATTTCCACTAAGGAAAGCCAGCAACAAATCCAGTCCACCCTTTATTATGTCTCCCGCGGTGCCATTTCTTTCGAGAGCATTCTTCAGATATGTGATAAGTGGTTCAAGAAATTTACTCGGTGGCATAGACCGAAAAGCCCGAGTACTGTGTTCAAAACGACTTCTTACATCTTCGATGACCTTGATCTGCGCATCCCATGGAAGGTTAGTGAGTCCACACAAGGGATCTATCTCAATCTCGCTGTGACTAGAATCTGTGTCACCTTCACCAGCGCCAGAAGCAGAATCTATCCTCTGCATTGGAATGAAGTAACCACCCTTTGACATCTTAGAGTAGGATGACGAATCAATGGAATAGTTCGAGTTTAAATCCGTAATCGAAATGCCGCTGTGATCTGGGATATTGTACAGAGAACTTCCAAAACTAGCGATGGAAACAGAGAAGTCTATATTGTTGGAAGCCTCTGTGTGCTTTGTCACTGGATCTTGAACATGAAGACCGTTCTTCGCGCACCATTTTGATATCTGAATCTTAAGCGCTACATTAGGCTCCAATGCGAAGTCATCCAGTTTGCTTCTTGATATAGGACAAGAATCATTACCTTCATCGAACCAATTCTGAATCCGCATCCTCTCAAAAGTGTGGCCTGAGGAAATGATGACTGGATCATACATCACGGTAAGAGAAAGCGGGCATTTAAATTGCTCGGGAAGTATACCATTGTGTTCCTCAGAACCCTCAGCTTCCGCAGCATTAGCACGCAGAGAATCATCGATGGAGTGATGATGTGAAAGAGAATTCTCTTTGTGATCTGCACAAATGATTCTTTCATGCTTTTTCAGGAGATAGAGAAGATACTTCAAAATCTGTTTCTTCAAAATCTGTTTCTTGTCCACGTCACCCTCTCCTAATTTCGCCAAAAGCAACCTTAAAGATGTTCTCTCTGTCACAATGGCTTCAGGTGTTGAAAGTTGGAGTTTTAATGCTGCAAAATGGAAATCTCTGATCTCATCAGGAGAAACAGAGGAAGAAGTGCTGGGTCGCATCAATTCTCTAATAGTTTTCCCAGCTTCTTCTTCAGAGAATTCTACAGTAAACACAGTTGATCTAAGGTCTTGGACTATCTGAGATATCTGCAAGCAAAATTCACATCATTGATTCTGTCTAGGAAAATTATGAAAACATGAGAAGAAACATAATATTTGGTACAAACCTTGGTATCCAAAATAGTCGGTACCATACTTCGAATGTCGTTTAAGCATTGCTCTAATGATTTTTTGGCTCTAGAACCTCTTGAGAGTATAGCATCTCCTGTTACTGCCTGAAGATTGAACATTTACAAGGGATTAGTACCAAAATCAACTAAGAAAATGTATTGAAAGTTGAGATTTTAACACATACCATGTAGAGTTTACTGGATTCACTGCAATATTGAAGAAGCTGCTTAGCTCTATCCAAAGCTATGTGGAGTAAACAAAGAGTCTGTATCCCTGAGGAGCATCCTGGTCGAGCATCTTCTATATCAGGAAAGATTCTCATGATTCTATCAACTAACTTCTTCAATTCTAAGCACATGGAAGAGTGCATCTGAAACAAAGCAACACAACAAAGTCAGTCATTACAATAACAAACCTTAAAGACAGAAAATTCCATCACAAGAGATAAAACAACAAACCTTATAGGATTGAGGCATCCGTTCTGTGTAATCAATCCTCATCTAAACCACAAGTTTCTAAATTCTGCAAGTTTGATAAACATAAAAAAGGTTCTTTTAGGAATATTTCTCAAGCAATAGTGAGATAAATAGTAAGCAAAATTGACTTACCCTATTATGTCAACGGATTCCAAACCAACTCAATTGAAATTTGTCTTCTTCAAAATCACAAACAATTAAAAAGCCATGGAAAAGTCATAATTTTGCAGAATTTCCCAGAAAAGTCCTAACAAAGTCAGAGTATTTCCCTTGCAAATCCACCGTAAATTAGCAAGAGAAACAAGAACTGATGATCAAAAGCGAGAATTTCATCTGAGACCTTGAGCATAGCTGAAAAAAAGAACCCTAAAAGGAACAGAACACTGAAATTCTCTGGTTTTTCCGACAAAAAGACAAACTTTTTCAGTTGGGTCAAGAAAAAAAATCAGTCTTTCGAGGTTTGTTCGTGCAGAGAAAGATCTCGAGGGTTGAAAAAAAAAAAAATTCTGGTTGGTAAAACCTGGAGAAAAAAAAAAGATGAGAGATTATAAGGAAGAAGGACTGAGAGTGTTAAAGTGACAGGCTTTGTAAATGACAGTCGATTTTAAATCGTTGAGCTGCTAATTAAAAAAAGGGACGATGTAATTGGACCGTGACGGTGTCTACATCACCGCGTTTATTTTTGAGAGTGCCGTGTCAAGCGCAGACTAAATTGAAAGGACGAGGTCTCAGTGCTCGTTATGGTCTTAGGTCAATTACGCATGAGAACAATTTTTATGTTTATAGTAGTAATAATATTGACATCTTTTAAAAAAAAGTCTTTTTAATTCCTTTTTTTAATGGGAGAAAATTTAATCTTTTGAATAAAAGTCTTCTTGCCTTCTTCGTTTTTTTAATAATCATATATTAAAGTTTGTTAAAACTAATGATTTAAGCCATTCTTTATAATGGAGATTGATAGTGATGTAACTAGCTTATAAGATGGTTTCATTCTTGAAAAGAATTGAACTTTTCAGTGAAAGACATAGACTATAGTTTTGGTTAAGTTAGTTGATCTTTTTCATGAAATTGTGATTTTAATTATGCACATGGTGGAGTAGGGATTAATTCTAATTATCAAGAAATAATGATTTCAATTAATTATACACATGGTAGAGTAGGGATTAATTCTAATTATCAAAAAGATGGAGTTCATCTTTTTTTCTGTCTAAATAGAGTCTTAAGAAAGGTCTATAATTATACACAATTCGAAAACACCAAACACATTTCAATTTAAGAACCAAATCCACTTTGGAAAGAATTTTACTGGGATGGAGTTTTAAGTAAATCTTGTCAGAGTTGTTATTGAGTAAAATGGTGTCAGATGGCGTTCCAAGTAATCGTGAATGTAAAATAATACATTTGACATCATACGTGGACAAGGTTGCGCCGTTTCACTTTAAATTACCACATATTTTTTGGTTTATTGGATCGCATAATGGTCAAAATTGGGTCCTTGTGTGGGTCCAGACGAAAAGACTGCGTTATCACCAAAAGATTTCATCAAAATTACCTGGAAATCAGAATCTGAATATACTGATAATGCCAATCTTTTGTAGAAACTAATCAACAATGCAACATGTTATGTCGCTTTGGCGTTCACTACTGTGAAAACAGTTTTGGTGTTTTTTTTTGGTTTTGGCCAACAATTACCACTTACAAAGTTTATATTTAATCCTAAAATTCTGGAAAAGTAATTCAAACGCGTAATCCTCCAACATTGGAAAAATATATTTTCGTAATGTGTTTTAGTTACCCTTGTGAAAAATATAACTATTAATAACAGAAGAGATGGTGTAGTAGTCACATCACATGCCATTAGAGAGAGGGATAGAATACTTTCTTGTGACCACATCCTTCACAAACGCAAATTATCAACAATGTAGAAGACTTGTTCGTCCCCATTTGTTGACTGGTCCACCTTTTATTCTTCTTTCACTCGCTAAAAATCTAATAGAGTATCTTTTCTAAAAGAAGCCAAATAATGGGAGAAGATTATTGTATATGATGAATAACTTATGATAATGTTATAAAAGAAATATTCAAGCATGGAATGTTCAAAGAGTGTTATCTGGCTTTATCTAGATCTAAATTAGAGAATAGTACTATATTTGACGATACACTTGGTGTAAAATATTGTCAGTTGTTGGTAGTAGATATCATGGGTTAAAGATTTAATTTGATTTTGTTCCTTAAGTTTTTTTTCTTTAAAAGCATGGGTGTTCTTTTTTCGAAATGGAAACTGATAAAGGTGTGTCGTAATATGGACACAACATCAATGTCGTAATGTGAATCCATAGACTTGTCAATCGTCATTGGCCAAATCAGAATAAGAGTCAAATGGTTTTGTGATGTATCTGCTTAAGGGTTTAGTAAGGCTTAAACTCCTCATTGGCCAAATCAAATAGAAGCTTGATTGTGATGTTAACTGCTTGAGGGTTTAATTAGGCTTATTGGCCAAATCAGTAAATTATGTAAGTTTTAGGTAGAATTTTGTTATCCCAAATGATATAATACAATCGGCTACACCTACTCATTGACAAGTGAAAACTACTCTCAGTCTCACAACAAAAACAATGCTTTATTAATTGTGAATGACTTTAGATAATACATCATTATAATTATTTTGATGTTTTTCACCCACATGATAATTTTCCAAGTTTTGGTAAGGCACGCGTTTTAGAGTTGGTGGTAGACCTAGATTCAGTAGATGTACATGTTAGATGAAAGTACATCTTACGCTAAACCTGTTTATAGAACAATATTAAGCATTTTCATATTTTTATACTAACGTATACGAAAATGTTATCAAGAAAAAGGCACAATTAAGGAAACAAATATTGCTGTTTTCAACTAGTGGCAGCTACAAGGCCCATGCTAAGTTAACGATCAATGGACCAAGCCCATTCATAGTATTAGATTAATGGACCGTATGAAACTTATTAATTGCAAGTTGATGAAACAGGTATTAATAGCAAATTCGATGCTGTGGCGATTTTTTAAAGAAAACTAACTACAGATCGATAATAGAAAATTGTGTGTATTATGTATAATATTTTCTCACAATGTTATTTTTTTTTACATATAAATAAACAGCCGAAAGAAGAATTTATGATCTTGTTAACTCAAATATGAGAAATTTATAGCCATCGCCGGAAAGTTGGATTGAGTCCAAGATTTTTATTAGTCTTCGATGCAAATGTAATCACCACACAAACACAATCCTAATGAGATGAGATATTTCTTCGAAATTTAGTTAGCTCTTTTCTAATCTCAAACATTTTTCCTCATTTAATTTATTGTAAGTTGTAACGCAAATATTCATTTACGTCCTCCCCCACGACTTTGCAGTATACATGGAAAATAAAATTAAAGGAATTATCATTCAACAAATTTACATTCCAATTTAATACGTTTGATTGTTACGATTAACGCAGTCATATTATCCTACTTTTCAACTTTAATCAAAGAATTAAAAGAAAAGACTGTTTCAATAAATATTAATAGCGAAAATCGTAAAAACTTAAAATTTATTACATGTATATCGATTTTGCGTGTCGATATTCAAAATGATTGGCGGCTTTTACTTTTTACTTACAATATTGCAGCCAAAATAGTCGTCTCCGGACAATTCCGTGCTGTGTCAGGAGGCAAACAAAAATTAAGGTTCTGATGTTTATGATGACATCAAAATATGTGGATTCGGGAACATAAATGGTAATTAAATAATGGAAAATTCCATTTCCATGCATTTAATTTGTGCCCCTATAATAACGCCACCATGAGATTTCTTTATATTTAACCTCCGAAAAAAGTAACTATACAAAGTAGTTAACTAGAGGTTTTACAAATTAAGGAGCATCTTCGAAACGTCAAAGGAGGTCCACTTCAAAGGGATCAGGTAAAAATCGGAATCCAATCAAATAAAGAAGTAAAGAGAATTTGTCCCTCCTATGGACTGAGACATCAACAATTTTATTCGTCCCGTCATTAGCTAGGGAGATAGTACTATTAGTCCATACTCCATATTGTAATATACATTATACAGTATTAGGAACCCCACATTATACGTAAACAAATATATCCGCAAATCCATTAAGAACTACTTAGTTATTTGAGTAGAAACTCGTTGAACATTGCCATATAAGTTAAATGGGTATAGGGTAAAAAAAAAACCACATGAAAAGTTTTTCGTTCTCAAGAAATCATACTAAACCAAACTGATCAAAGCCATCGTAATCTCAACGTATTTTGGGTACTAATTCGCTATAAGAAATCACATGACTAGCCAAAAACGGACATAGAAACAACTTATTCGTACAAAATTTGGAAGCAGGAATAGTTTGTACGTTCGTAACAGAAGAGTAATGAATGTGAGTGCTTAGCATAAGCAATGAAGGCGTAGACGTGAAGTTACGGATCCAAATGGAAGAGTCCAAAGAAATATTCCAAGAGGACAAGTTGTTGAGTGGGCAAGTGAAGTTGAAAGGAGATGAGTATCTGCCAAAAGAATGTTTTATCACAAAGCTTAGAATAGAGACCAAAGAGTATACTACGAGAGCTGATATTTTAAAACTTTTTGGAGAAGAAATACAGTCCATATCTTCATCTTTTTGTTATTATATATATATTTTCTTATAATAATAAGTACAATAAAACATAGCGAGTGGAGAGGAATCAGAGAAGTTAAACAATGTCCAAAACAAAGGAGCAGAGGAAGCGTAAGAAAGGCGCAGATGTCGTCGATAAAATTCATCAACGAGATCTTCCAAAGATTTGGAATTTGTCCACTTGTATTTGCCACTCAATGTTAATTAAGAGAAAAAAAAAAAACAAGAACACCTGAATATCCTCGAAAAGGTGCTGTTTTTTTTCTCTTCCATTCTCGTGGTTAATGCTGCATGCATATTTTTTTTTTTTTTTTTCTTCAACACATACCTTTTATATTATATTAAACGAAACCAAAGATACAGAGAGCCCAACAGGGGAAGAACCTACAAAAGAAGAAAGATTACAATCTTCTATTGGAAAAACCCCAAACCAAGTGACTAAAAGAGAAGGAGCCGGTGGAATGATTCGCTGTGCTCTAGAAAGAGGATCGAGATGACACCGAAGGATGCTTTTTATCTCAAGAATAAGAGCAGAGGCAGGTTTTGAAGAGGAAATGTGTAGTCTTGAGTTACGCTCTTTCCATATGTAGTATATTTAACTTTGGTTTAGTAATGCATGGACACAAACGGAAAAAAATGTTGAAAAACGTTCTATGAACAAAGTGAAAATTTGTGTTGGTGTGTCTTTGTAGAAGTGAATTTAAAGAGAATTTTTTTTCATTGGTTATCTTACGCTTATACATCTTTAGGAAGTATTAAGCACCTTTTTTTTTTCCAAATAAAGTACTATATACTTATTAAACATATATAAATTTAAGGATACACATTAATATCTTTAAAGAGTCACACACACAAAAAAAAAAGACTTTTCAGTTTTTATAAAGGCGCAAACAAATAATTTAACTAATTTTTTATTTAACACATTGACAACTTTCTTTTACAGAATTGTTTCAACTTATTTACAGAATTTATGAAAAAAGAAATTTAATTAAGTATTAGAAATCATGTTTGAAATATAATTTTTAAAATATTTTATGTATCCATGCTTTACAGTTTTATATCCACGTTAATTTTTTTATGCATGCGCCAAACGCAGGACATCTTAAAAAAGGAGTGGTATGCAAGAAAAGTAGCTGCTCAAGTTTACTATAAGGTTTAAATCAGCCAATCTTCTTAGCCCATTTTAAGAAAAGATTGACAAAGCAAAGATTCCTATACCTATAAAAGATAAATATTGACTGGTTTGATGACGAAATCAATAAGCTTCGGTTCTTATGGTTGCGAAAGAATGTTTTTGTGGTCACGATCCAGAGAGGAACATGTTTTGGAGGCTAATTTCTCATTATTAAGCCAATCACTCCTTAGTAATACTCTGATATTTGTCTTCTTATCGAAGGGAATCTAATTTAAAGCTAAAGCTACTAAAGAGCATCAAGCCATGTAAAGGGTTTGATATATATTCACTTACAAGGGTTGCATGCACGAGTTTCTATCATTGTCAACAGATGCTTAACATGAGAGCCAAATGTAACAAAAAGATCACTCAGATAATTACATATTACCAAATTTGCTATAAGAGCCATGAGAACGAGAATGGCAAGAATCGATGAAGATGGAGTTGTTTTCTTTTTATGACATTACTAAATGACTTCGACTATATATGGCATCTACGAAAAGACATATCATCACTAACGTAACCTATCATAAACAGAAATTTGAAATTTCCAATCAAAATGGATGGAGATCAGAAGAAGCATCAAACATAATCTAACAATCTCATGTGTTTAAAATAAGCATCGGATACTACAATCTAGTGATGATTACATCTCTCTCTACAAAAGCCTTAAAGATCGGTAAGGGAAGGTCCAAAAACATGCATGGTTACTGCCTTAGTCGTTTACTGTACGGATAGTAACAAAGAAAAGAAAAAAAGGAAGGAAACCACTTATCTCTATTGCAAGGAATCTCAGGTTTCATTGGATTGTTTCACAAATGTATACCTTCTCTAAGACTTTATGTGGTTGCTAAAAGAAATAGTCACTCTTAAAAGTATATATTCTTCCAACTGGCTTAACCCCACACCATGCTTTTTCCCTCCTACTTATAAGGAGCTTCCCCTTCTCTTAGCTAACCAAATCAACTCCTTTTTCATCAAGTCATACATACAACTTCCTTCTTTTTTCTCCCTCCCAAGAAACAGATTTCCATTATCACAAGCCTCTTTAATTTAAATCTTGTACTCTCGATATACATACTTATTCGTGATATGGCTTCCAACTCTATGAGCTCTAGCGCTTCTTGGACACGTAAGGAGAACAAATTATTTGAAAGGGCATTGGCTACATATGACCAGGACACTCCTGACCGTTGGCATAACGTTGCAAGAGCAGTTGGTGGCAAATCAGCTGAAGAAGTAAGGCGACACTACGAGCTCCTCATTAGGGATGTCAATGACATTGAGTCAGGGCGTTATCCACATCCCAATTACCGTTCAAATGGAAACAACCACTAAAAGCATTTAAGCAACTCTAAAAGGTAAACAGAAACAGTAGATCACAGCAATTATGCATAAGAAAGCATTCATAATAGACGTGCACTCTCCAGTTTCTTATGCGTGTCTTCTTGTTTCACCAGGCAAAAGAAAAAAAAAGCTAGCTTTATGATCTATAGTAAACACCACCGTTTCCCATATCTATGAACTGTCCCAACTTCTAACTGTGGGGCCAAAAGCAATCTAGTAACAGAGAATACAAAAGTTAGTTTTGTCAAGTTCTTGAAATTGATCATTAGCCCATTATCTCTATATTTATATAAAAAAAAAAAAAATCATAGACGCAAAAAGCCATTTCCTGATGAAAAGCTTCCATCCATCTTTTTATCTGTCTTTTAGCAAACACAAATTAATCAAAGTCCCACATAATAATAGCATGTTCCATGTTTCTTGTCTTTACCATTGCAAAAACTACTCCACTTACATAAATTGTAATATATGTCTTGCAGGCTCTACTGAAGTCGACGTGGTTCCAAAACCATTCACAAAGAATATCTAAGCAAAGATATCTAAATGTATTTACTTGTTTTTGTGTTACGATTATGTAAGAATTCTCTACTTCCGTTCTAATCTATAAATCAATCAATGTGAGTTATATAGAGTATTAAGACTCGGAAAAACTGGTTCTCCTTGAATTCTATCCATACACAAAATCTTACAAAATCGATCTAACAAATAAGATCAATCGGACGATTGTCAAAATCCTGATTCACTTTTGCACTCACCTCTTCGTTTTGGTGCGTAGCCTATGAGAATCTCCATGATTCCATGAACATTGTAATTTGATACGGTTTCGTAGAAAAATCAAGAGGTCTATCGATGATGATGGTAAATAAAAGAAGTAGAGTCGATAATTGTTTAGTTACTTTTTATTGACGGATCAATCAATATTGAATCGTTTGGTCCTCGTGAGATACACGCGTCTGTGTTTGGGGGTAAACTTTTTGCATGGAATGTAATTTGAATACGAACGGACTAAAATCAACGGTGGTCATAATTATTGTCCCCAAAAATGTAGCGAATAGTAGTAATAGAAATAAATAGAAATAATCTAATATCTTCATCTATATTCATTCATTCACCGAGGTTGCAGAAGCAACATAGATTATTTAATTTTTGCTGTCATATACTACTACTATAAGTTTGACAAAAAAAAAAAAATACTACTACTATATCAGTCTATAACTAAGGAGAGTACATGCATGCAAACACGGCATATCGTAAAATTGTTTTGTAAATGAGTTTATTCATTTATCGTGTGTTTTAAAAAAAAAAAATGTTAATGCTATATGATAAAACCCTATTTTACATGATATTACAATATTTATGTAAATTATATATTAAAACACAATTTATTTACGATTTTGGTACCACTTGTATTTATAAATGATGGCAGCAAAACGATCCATTTATTATTTTTATTCTTAAGTGATAAAAAGTAACAAAAATGATAGATTACATATTACTATTTTTTTTAGTACTAAAATTGAAGAAAGTCAAGACGAGAGGTCCCCTATTGAGCTATAAACTTTTTGTCAATTTGATTCATCTCGAGTATTATTCGTTTGTGCCTAAAAGAAAAATACAAGTAATATATTACGTATATATAAAGAAAAGAAGATCAGGGGTATATATATTCTGTCATATTAATTTAGAGCACATGCCTTGTATATTCTACGGCAAAATTGCGACCCATATATGAACCACGACGGAGAATTGGATTTATACAGTCCATTTTAATAATTACAATTCCAATTCGTTTAAGAATAGAAAAAGACAAGTACTATATATATGTTTTTTTTCTGAAAAAGGGAGACATTATTCTGTAATATTTTAAAGCACAAGTCTTGTATATATTCCTGGCACAAAATAGCGACCCATACTAACCACAATGAAGAACTATAAATTTAAATTTAAACCTAAGGTGTTTGCTTTTTAAATAAAAATTTTGAAAACTAAAACCATAAAACTAAGGTGTTATTTAAAAGAAAATAGTGCGTTTAAAATCGTTTAAATGTAGACAATTTTTGTTTTTTTAAAGCATTAAACAAAAGATAATTTCATAGTCAAAGTGATGAAAATGACGGTCGTGGACATTTTTATACAGTGCATAACTTTTTATTTCAACTTCGAACTTCACATATATTTCAACTAAATGCATGGAATTGCAATTATATATATATAAAAAAAAACTGGTTTGGTTTTTAATTATATATTATAATTAAGTGGACTAGATTTGTGCTTAAAATATCACAAATAGTAGAATATGTAGCCGATATTTAAACTTATAAAATATACATTCAAATAATCCTTATATCCACAATCCACTAGCTCAAATGGTGTGTTTTTGTTTGATATTCCTCCGAGAATATACTAACAAAAATTCAGTATTTGGTAGTTTTAATAATTTGAATGTGGATTGTGGAATAATTTCTTTTAGTTTAAATAATTATTTGAAGAACAATAATCTTACGTACCCGTGATCTAAAGTCTAAACAAACGGAATCCTATAATTATATATATCTTCCATTGCTGAGTGGAGAACAAAACTTAGCAAATTTCAAACATTTTTAAAAACAATTAACTTTTACACAAAATTTTCTTTCGAGTTAAATAAAAACGTTAATCTGTTTAGAACATGGCCCAATAACAGGCCCTACTAAATTAGGCCCAGATCTGCTTTTTGATTATTCTCCACGCAAAGTAAACTTATACACGGTCGAGATTTAATTATCATTTTATTTTATGTATTTTTAAAAATACCGTTTTAAACCCTAAAAGCTAGCCACCGTGGGGTTTATGGTCGGCAAAACCCAGAAATCGACCATCATTCACTGTCAATTTCACAACTTTCATGAACCTTTAGCTCTATTTCTCAATCTCTGAAAAAGGGTTATTGTTTTCTTCTTGTCGAAATCCATGGCTGCTTCTAGATTGTGTTCCGCGGCGGCGATAGCTGCTGCGTTCACTTCAATGTCAATGTCTCAGAACCGTGCTTACGCCGATTCTCGATTCCGCTTTCCTTTCTTTTCTTCTTCACCTCCTCCGTCAGATTCTCCGGCGAATCAATCTTCTTCGAACTCTAATAAGTCTAAACCAGAGCCTGATGAGCCTAAAGGATCGGGTTTTGATCCTGAGTCACTTGAGAGAGCTGCAAAAGCTCTTAGAGATATCAATAGCTCTCCCCATTCCAAACAGGTGACGAATCATATCTATTTAGGAAATGTTCTGAGTGAAATTAGGGTTTAGCAAAAATGGTATTTTAGCTCAAAAATTGGATTTTGATTTGTGGAGATTGGTCATTTGGTGATTGCAGAATTGGGTTTTCTTCTTAGCTTATTGGGTTCTTGGTTTTTCAATTAGGTGTTTGATCTCATGAGGAAGCAGGAGAAAACTCGGTTAGCTGAATTAGCGGCAGAGACTTCTCATAACGAAGCTATTCAAGCACACAAAGATGTTGTGAGTCATTGACGCTTAACTTGAATGTTTCATTTTGCTACCATTTTTTAAACATGGAAACTTTTTGATATGATTCTTGATATGACTGCAAAGTTTATGATGATCATAATATGATTTGTTTTATGGGGGATTGGAAATGGGCAGGGGAGACAGCAGAAATTGGCTGAGGACCAGAGAAATCTTTTGCAGACACAGGCGCAAACCAAGCGCAAATTCTGCGATATGAGGATGAATTGGCCAGAAAGAGACAGCAGGTTATTTTTTTTTCTTATGTGTTCTCGTAGATGGAATGAAATCTTTTTAAAGTATAAAATCTGACAAATGTTTTTGGTTTGGGAGTAATGCAGACAGATCATGAAGCTCAGAGACATCATAATGTGGAATTGGTTAAGATGCAAGAGGCGTCTTCTATCAGGAAAGAGAGGGCAAAAAATCGCCACAGAAGAACAGATCCAAGCTCAGCACCGCCAAACTGAGAAAGAGAGAGCTGAACTTGAGCGAGAGACGATTCGTGTCAAGGCCATGGCTGAAGCTGAAGGTCGGGCTCATGAAGCCAAACTTACTGAAGAGCAAAACAGAAGATTGCTTATGGAAAGGATTAATGGTGAAAGGGAGAAGTGGCTTGCTGCAATCAACACAATGTTCAGTCACATCGAAGGTATGAAAACTGATAAATAAAGAAAGTTATATCTTCTGGGCTTGCTTTTGATTTTGAAAAAGGAAAGATCAGTTATTTTTGTTCCTTTTTCGTACTTCTATATGAAATTGGCAGGGGGATTCAGGACCTTATTAACCGATCGAAATAAGCTGATTATGACTGTTGGAGGAGCTACTGCATTAGCTGCAGGGATTTATACAACTCGGTATGCATCTCAAAACCAAATAAGCTATTGGATATTATGGGATTCTCTGAACCAGTCTGATTTGGCTCAAGGGATCTTAGATTCTTTTATCATTTTCTAATGTAATCTATTTCATGAATCTTTTGTGTTTGACAGTGAAGGAGCTAGAGTTACATGGGGTTATATCAATAGGATGCTTGGACAACCATCACTTATTCGAGAATCTTCCATGGGTAGATTTCCATGGGCGAGCTCAATGTCTCAGTTGAAAAACAGAATCTCAGGTGCAGCAGCAGCATCTGCAGCAGAAGGGAAAAAGCCGCTTGATAATGTAATTCTCCATACCTCTTTGAAGAAACGAATCGAGCATCTCGCTAGAGCTACAGCAAATACCAAATCCCATCAAGCACCATTCCGCAACATGATGTTTTATGGACCTCCTGGTACTGGTAAAACTATGGTGGCAAGGGAAATAGCTCGGAAATCGGTGAGTTATTATCAAAACTATGGTAGTAGCTTTGTTAATACCGTCTTTATGAGTTCTTATATACAATTATTTGTTGCAGGGTCTGGATTATGCTATGATGACAGGAGGAGATGTTGCTCCCTTGGGATCACAAGCTGTTACTAAAATCCATCAGATATTTGATTGGGCCAAGAAATCGAACAAAGGCTTACTTCTTTTCATTGATGAAGCCGATGCTTTTCTATGCGAGTAAGATCTCCCTCTCTTCTTTTCTATAATCTTTTCTATAATCTTTTCTATGTCAGGATATCCAACAAGGATTAGTCGTTGTTTTAGCGTTTTAGGTTTTTGACAGTAAAATGACAAAAAAGATTGCAACTTTTTCTCTGGGTTTAAAGAAAGATGTTTCCTTTTTTTCTTTGCAGGCGTAACAGCACTTACATGAGTGAGGCTCAACGTAGTGCTCTGAACGCTTTGCTCTTCAGAACTGGTGATCAATCTCGGGACATTGTTCTTGTCTTGGCTACAAACAGACCTGGAGATCTCGATAGTGCGGTTACAGACAGGATTGATGAAGTCATTGAGTTCCCACTTCCAGGGGAAGAAGAACGTTTCAAGCTTCTCAATCTCTATCTCAACAAATATCTAAAGAGGGGTGACAACGACAAAGACACAAAACCGAAATGGAGTCATTTGTTTAAGAAGCTGTCACAGAAGATTACCGTTGAAGCAGACCTAACTGATAAAGTGATTTCTGAGGCTGCAAAGAAGACGGAAGGATTCTCTGGCCGCGAGATTGCAAAGCTTGTGGCTGGAGTACAAGCTGGAGTGTACGGACGAGAGGATTGTGTATTGGATTCACAGCTTTTCAAGGAGATTGTTGAATATAAGGTTGAAGAACATCACCAAAGGCTTAGGCTTGCTTCTGAAGGTTTTCAACCATTACTCTTCTCTTAGGCATTTGGATTTTGATTATACATGTCATTTACTTATTCAAAAATAAGAAATCTGATTGTTTTTAAAAATTAGTGCTAAAATTGAATTTTTAGATTAAACACAGAGTTATTTTAAAGATTTTTACAGAATCTTAATTAGAGTCTTACATATGTCTGATGTGGATTTCTTAAAAATTGTATTGTTCATTTGTAAATCTGGTTTGATTTCACTATATAACATCAAGCTTAAATAGCAAAAAAAGATTTAAAATGTAAAAATTAAAGGATAAATAAATTTATTCTGGTCTCAAAATATCCTTAAAAAACAAAGAAAAACAAACGACGAAAAGGAAAAACAAACAAACTGAAACAAAGTAAAGAAGAAAAAAAAAACTTAAAGTCTCACAATACAAGAACAATCCTAACAGTAGCCATGGCCAAAATAACGCAAATATTGATTAGGATGTTCTTCTAGCTTCAGGCTCTAGCTCTGGTTGAAGTTGTAACTTGACATATAGCTCATGTTGGATATCGGAACGATAACTCCATCATTGTTGTATCCAAACATTGGTGTATGGTTAGGAAACACCATGTTTGGATTATAGTTGAATGCATTTCTTCTTTGATCAAAAAGATCAATGCCAACATCAACATTAGGACCACCAATAAAGCCAGACCTTGGGCCAAAGTAATTCTGAGAAACATTTACTTGAGAATGTTGAGACATTTCACTTACCAGTTTCTTTTTCACATCTTGAAGAGCAGATATCAGATGGTTGGTTTCATTCATGTCGAGATCTTTCACATCTTTCTCATACCAGTTTCCTCTTTGTTCTCTGGATTCTTTCATTATGTCCAAAACCATTCTCTTATTTTTCTCCATTTCCTGGGTTGCCAGCACCTGCAATGAGATTCTTTCATTTTGTGAAAAAACAAGATATGGTTTCCTTTAACAAATTAAGTACCACTTATATGTCTATGCATGTAGTAGCATATATTAGTGAAGTAATGTTATAAAAAAAATTGGATCACCCATAGACCACGATATTAAATATATATAGATTTTCTCTTATATAATATTTCGAAGAAAAAATTATATTTACCTCGGTCAGTATATCGTTGAGATATTGGATATTTCTATCCGGACGGGTTTCAACAAGTTGTAGATTGTTGTTTTGTTGATGGACAATGATAGAATTATAGTTAGGATTCTCAAAACGATGAATCAGATCTTGAACACTTGGATGGCCAAAAGAAAACACTTTTCCACCAGGAGAGAAAACAATCATTAAAATCTCTGCACCACATAATGTGCAAAGCTCACTAGCTTTTTGAAAAGACCAAATCTTCTTTTCGAGAAAGTAACTTGAAGGTTGCTCTCGTTTTTCATTTTTTTCATCTCTATTTTCTGACGACCTTTGGTACTTCTCACCATTTTCTCAAAAGTTAGAAGAAACAAAAGACAAATTGATGTTAAAATCTAAACTATGTTCTCTATATTTATACTGGTGTATTACTACATATAGAATCCAACACTATAAGTCCATTCTAAGTAAATTTTGTCCTCCGACCCTTATTTTTGTTGAACTTTTAATTTTCCCATATGAGGAATATTTCATAATTATCTCTAATTTTTTTGAAGGATAGAAAATTCATGATATTTTAAATGCAATATCATTATATTAGCTGTTAAATTGCATAATAGTTTGACAAATGTATGTATCAACTCCCCATGAGAGGCACATTAAATTATTATGAGCTGTTTTTAAATACTTATTGGGAAAAAATCTGAAAATTATATCCATTACATTAATTAGAGTCATTTTATGTTATTTACAGCTAATACAAGCAAACTATATACAGAATAAAAAAGTTATCTATTTTTGAGATATTACAATCATTACTAGATAAAATATACAGTTGTACTTTTCATAATAATATAAACAAAATATTTTAAGTGAAATTCAAATTGATTTTGAGTTATGGGCCCAAATGTTTTAATTTAGATTTTTACCATTTATTAGAGATAAGTTTTCATAATGAGAGTTTATTGAAATTAACATTTATAAGTGATACATAAAATGATTTATACTCAAATATTATTGATTTATCAATTATCACTATCTTTAAATTAAAATGAGGAAGATTACAATAATCATTATTGATTCTCATAAAAAATTAAATTATTTTATATAAAACAAACATTACTTAGTTTTTTTGTCAATTATATCATTATTAAAAAATATTTTAATCTTATCACGAACGAAAAAAATATACATAGAAACATGGTGTGAACAATTTCACTATTCCAACAACCGATAATTGGACTTATATCAGAAAATTTTACAATCAACTTGCACCATATTTATTTACAATACAACGTGCTCTACTTTCGGTTGGGCTCATGCTGGGTTTCCAAATTGGGCTTAGTGCATGGCTTCGGTTTTCGAAACATGTTTCTACACAGTCCCAAGTATTGAAACTTCCCTCTACGAGGCCACATGACCTCGGGGTCTGGAGACACTAACACTGCAAAGTGCAAACCCTAACCACAAGTCAACACGTGACAAATACACGAGACATTACTTCCCAACATAACCGCCTCTTTAATTGCCACGTAAAATCGAATAACCACGTGTCTATCATTAACCGCTTATCTAGTGAAAGAAAGGGATAATCTATCTCTCTCCTCTATAACTATAAACTTCCTCTCCATGGACATTGGAACCAAGAAACAAACCACAAACTATATCAAAATCGGAATTTTAAAAAAGACACATTAAGAAATAATGAAGAAAAGAACGGTGATGATGATGATGCTTATGATGGTGGTGATACTAACATGGCAGAAGCAATGCTATGGATGGGGAACGGAGACAGCAGAGGATATGGTTAGAAACGAAGCAGAGCATACTAAAAACGCAGCCGAGACCGCTAAGAAAATAGCGTCCGAGGCCGCTCATGACAGAAAGGAAAAAACCGCCTCTTGGGCTGGTTGGGTTTCCGACAAAATTTCCACGTAAGCGTTAACTTTTGTTTAGGCATTACCATAATGGGACCATAATCTCTAATGCTTGATAAAAAAAAAAAGGGTTTCTTTGAGAAGTAGTACGTTTTCAGAACTTAATTAGAAAAGCAGTACAATTACTATTCAATATTAGCAGGAACCCAGCTTTCTACTGTTACTCTAATAGATATTCTCCTCTAATAGAGCAAAAAGAGGATTGGTGCAGTGACGAAAATGCCCTTTCTTCTAATAAGCACAATTTTCGACGGAACTCGCGTCTCTCTCCACCCATCTCTCTATCTTGCAACTCCATCTCTATAGTTCTCATCTCTCTCTCCGCTCTATCTCTGCAATTTTGTTCCATCTCTACAACTTTCATCTCTCTCTCTCTCTCTCTCTCTTTCTTGTTCAAATCTCCGATCGATCTACTTTTGATAAGCTTGATTTTTGGATGACATTTCATATTGTACTCATCGATAAGGAATTAGAGAATGGAGATTTGTTCATCTCTTTTAACAGGATACGCCGGCGCCGTCTTCTACATCGTCGTCATGTCGTTTTATGTTCGAAGGTTCTCCGTTGCGTTGGAGATGCGTTAGATTGTTAGTAGCGGCGATTTGATTCTTCATCTTCTTCCTTCTTATTCTCCGAGACTGGATTTGGGACAAAGAATTTCAATCCAGCGAGTACAAGGGAAGGAGGCTTGAAAGATAAAATCGACATTTCTCCACCTTTATTTGGTGGTCGTGGCTCATGGGTTCCCTTCGATCTTGAAGCCAAATCTTTATTTATTTCTCTCTTAGGCTCTTGCCAAAAGCCGAGACGCCGCCATCCGCCAATTAAGCCCAAAACGATTTCGAGAAATATAGACAATTTTAGGTAATCCTCACCAAAACCAAACCCTCACTCACTTTTTTAACATTCATCTCTCTTAGTTTCATCTACATCTCTCGATCTCAATTTCGAAAATGGGTGAGCTTCTCGCTCTTGTTGATCTACGTAACTACTGATTTATGCTTTCTTCGTTGATGTTTTTTTTTTTGAATCTGATCGTGACTTTGATTTTCTGTTTTGGTTTGTGTAGCTAACAAGAAGATTAATATCAGAATCAATGGTAAGTGTTTTCCTATTGTATTCCAAAGGTTTTTGTTAGTTTTCAGTAATTTGGATATATGGAATCTAAGTTTTTAGTCTTTGTCAAGGTTTCAAAAGAATCAGACATTTGGTTGCTAGAGTTGTTCTTTAGAGGGATGATGTTAAGCTCGACGCTGTGAACGATCTGTTCATCACCACCAAATACATGGTTCGTGTTTCTCATCCTTTTGATGATGTTTTGATCTGAATATGAACTACAAATTTATCTTAATTTTTGTTGTCACCTCGTAATTGGATAATGAATCAAATCTAAATTTGGTAAAACGCTTATAGCTGCAGTTGTTATGTATAATTACTTCAGATGGTTTCCAGAAGGTAAAAACCTCCATCTGAAAATCTCTTGATTAGTGATTTAGAAATGTAGTTGAAGGCTGTAATTGTTGTTGTTGTTGTTAGGTAAAATTGTATTTGCGGCACCGTCTAGGCCTCTTGTGATGCAGCAGATTGAGGCGTGTCATAATATTGTTGGAATACCTCGAGTATGTGATTCTCTTTAAACAGATGTTGAGAATTTGTTTGCTTCTTTTATCAGACTTTTAGATATATTTTTGAGAAATGTGGGTTAAATTAACTGCAGGAATGGACTATTGACTTGACGGGTCAGACATGCCCAGATTAAAAGAGCCTTCTTGTGGAAAAGCAAACGGGTTTTCTTTGTCACTCCACAAGTGTTAGAGAAGGATATACAGTCAGGTGATGCTCGGGTTTATTATATCAAAATTCTGAGCTGAAACCTCTTAATGCTTATTTAATTTGTTCTCAAATTACATGAAAGTGTATGATTCTAATTACATGAAAGTATATTTAATTTGACTTTTTTTTTGTTTTTTTGCTTGTGGCCTGAAATATCTCAGCGCCGGCTCTGTTGTCACCGTTGCCTTTCACGTTATCAAAGAGAAAGAGAGATCATATTCAGAGAGGGAATAACTACCATTTTATTTTTCTTTTGGTCTAAGATTACAAGCCTTTTCTAGTTTAGATTTCATTCATTGTGATTGGGAGATTTTAAAGTTTGTTGATATACTCTTATAGTGTCTATATTTTGGTATATGTTTTGTCTGCCTTACGAGAAATGATGATCCAGTATCTGAAAGATTGACTCGGATGAAAGCCTTACCTTGAGATTTAGCTTCAGAGCCCTTGACGAAAGTTATAGTAAATTGAGTTAGCTTTCCAACGGCGGTGATTTCAGGCCTATCAGAGCAGTAGTTCAAGATTTATGACCGATTTAGTGCACAGATATCAATATGATGAGTAAAAGAAGGTCATCCCGAAATTTCAAGATTTTAGACCAGAGGTTGTAGCGACTTAGTGCAGAGTGTACAGATCATAGAATCCTTAACACACCCAAAAAAAACAAGTGCACTATCTGAAGACATTGTTTGTTATGTAGTTTAGTTTCTTACCTAAGTTACAAAAATTAACATACATGCTCAAAGAACCTTCTATTAAATTAGCAAAAGTCCCAAAATCCAAATAATACCCAAGTGCCAATATATAATGGGCCTTCTCCATCACGAGCCTCTGCAACTTCTTCTATACAAACTCCATTTATACATCTACACAGTTAAACAAGTTTCTTCAGAGATGCTCTTGTAAAAAGATTAAGAAAAACTTAACAATTTCAAAGAAAAACACTCAGAGAAGAAAAAGACTCACCTTTATAGTCCATCACACTCTCTTTGCAGTTTCCAGGTTGATTTACCATCGTCATGTTCCAAATAGTCGATCTGTACGGTACATTTGGCGGACGGATAGTCGATCTGTACGGTACATTTGGCGGACGGATAGTCGATCTGTACGGTACATTTGGCGGACGGATAGTCGATCTGTACGGTACATTTGGCGGAAGGATAGTCGATCTGTACGGTACATTTGGCGGACGGATAGTCGATCTGTACGGTACATTTGGCGGACGGATAGTCGATCTGTACGGTACATTTGGCGTCGATCTGTACGGTACATTTGGCGGACGGATAGTCGATCTGTACGGTACATTTGGCGGACGGATAGTCGATCTGTACGGTACATTTGGCGGACGGATAGTCGATCTGTACGGTACATTTGGCGGACGGATAGTCGATCTGTACGGTACATTTGGCGGACGGATAGTCGATCTGTACGGTACATTTGGCGGACGGATAGTCGATCTGTACGTTACATTTGGCGGACGGATAGTCGATCTGTACGGTACATTTGGCGGATGGATAGTTTGATTTGTACGATATATTCGATGGTACGATGTATTCGATGGAGGGATAGTTTGATTTGTACAATATAGTTAAGGAGCACATGGGGAGTGCTGGGCTGCAGACTGTAAGAGCTCGTCCTCATTCTTCTGTTGATCATCAATGTCAATGTGAATCTCTGGTGGAGCAAGCGCTCGTTTCTCCACAAAGTGAAGTCTTTTTTATCCCCAATCAATTTTCTAGCAATGTACAAGAAGAGCGTCTCCAAGTAGTAGTTGCTCTTTGTTGATATCTAGTAGTACTTTAGATTATTCCCGTGAAATCAACCATTGTCATTTAAGTCATACTCCCATTGTCTAGGTAACAAATAATCCGCAGCAAAACATGGCAAGTTAAATTGATAATGAATTTCTTACCCTAACCAGAGTTTATTCCAAGATCCAAATTGTCTAACTCTAACTTAACTCTACACATATCGACCTGACATTAAGTGAATTTAGGAGATTTATTTCAACACCATACAAACTAAATCTTAGGAAAAGAGAAAGAAAAGGGTCTTCTTACTATTATCTAACCCTTAATCCACCAAAGTATATTGCGTAACTAAATCAAGAAGGAGAGACACACTAAACCGAGAAGCAATTATCCAGGGACGAAGGAGAGTACTGATCAGCTTGGCCTTTGTGTCGTTTGAGATTGAGCGACGGCGTCACGGTTCTAAGAAAACTCTCAATTGCTTTTAATGTTGTTACAAGAAACAAATAGTCAAAAACAAAAATCTTTTAATTGCTTTTAATGTTGTTCTTCTTCTTCGTTGACGCCTACCTAAGCTTAAAAGATCAAAAACAAAAGATCCATTTTTACCAAATGTGTGCAGTAATTAAAGACACAAACACAAAACCACCACGTGATCAATAATCACTAAAGAGAAAATCAATTATTCACCTTTGCTTCCTTCTTCTTCATCGTTCTCCTCTTTACCATCTTCTGCAATCTCAAGTTTTTTCGAAAGTTTCTCCTTTCCACTTGATGATTTCAGCGCCGCCATTCTCCACCACGGAACCTACAACAACATCTTTAATCGATTCTCAACTTAATAACAAATACTAACCAAAAACCCAACAAATAAACCTTAATCGATGAGAATCGCAGAAATAGCTACACACCAAAGAAGAAGTAAACGGTAACCTTTTGATAGAGAGCACCATTCCCTAATTGAAATCAAAAGACTCCCGAGTAAAGAACAACAACTAACTCAAAAGATAAAAAAAACTCTAATTTCACTTCATATCTTAGTTCATGTCTAAGGATTGTACCAGATTAAGATATCAACAGTTCCATGGAAAGAGCTTAACTTTCAAGTGCTGTATGCAATTGAATTAAAAATCTAAACTTTCTCTAAATCGAATCATAGCTTTGTAGAAGCCCTAAAATCCTAAATCTAGAAAGAGCGAATCCAAGTGACCACATAGATCCAGAAATCTAAAAACTAATCAATAAGCCTGAATTTATTTTGTTATGAGAACAGATCCGAGACAGACCCATCAAGAGATGATTCCTAAAGCACCAAACTTTGAACAATTTCGATGAAATCCAGAGAAATTACGCAAAATCAGGATATACCCACAAGGAATTACGAAAAGTTACAGAGAAAGGACGAGAGAGAGATGAATTGCAACAGACCTGAAATGAGTCGGCGAGAGGAAGAAGAAGAAGAAGAAGATGATGAAGAAGTGAAAAAGCCCTGAAGGAGGAAGAGGAAGATGAGAACGTTGACGACAGTGAGAGCAATTGTGGCGTTCTTGAACGAAAATAGAAAAACCAAACCCGACAAGCTTGCTTGGATGTTATCCAAATTCCCACCCAATGATACGTTTACTCTCACTAAATCTTCTCGATCCTTCAAACCCGATACAACTATTATTCTCCATTTTCGCTAACAAGAAGAAATAAAGATTGAATTTTTTTAGATACCCAGAAACAATGAAGCAGAGATCATAGAGAAGAAGAAGAATAGTAGTTATTGTGGTCCATGAATTCGAGAAAAATTCTGATTGTTTTAAGTATAGTGATGGCATTGTCGTAAATATAAGAAATATCTGAGGGTTACAATGTCTTCAAAACAGTGAAGCACAGTAAAACTAGGGGTTTTCCCAATTGTAAATAGGAACCGTACTAGTTTCCATATTAAGTTTCAAAAACGTACTATATTCCCAAATATCTCAAAAAAAAAAGAGAGAGAATTGTTAAACGTAGATCTGAGTTTTGTTTTACAGAATGTTTGTTTAAAAAAAATTGAAATGTATATTAACGCATCACTTGCATTTTAAACTGTTAAGTGATTTAAGAATGTTCATATGATTGATCTAATAGCACTCTTTCTTCTTCTTCTTTTGGTAACAGAGGATTGGGAAGCAAGAAAGATGAGGCAGTAGAAGCGTCTGAATCTGCGAAGAACTATGCTTATGACAAGGCTGGGTCCGCCTATGACAATGTGGGTTACGCCAAGGACTTTGCATCAGACAAAGCCGGATCTGCTTACGATAGTGCTCAAAACGCAAAACATTATGCTTATGATAAGGCTGGTGATGCAAAGGACATGGCCTACGATAAGACCGGTCAAGCTAAGGACATGGCTTACGACAAAGCAGGATCAGCCTATGAAAAGGCCGGTCAAGCCAGGGACATGGCCTACGACAAGGTGGGTCAAGCTAAAGACATGGCTTCCGAAAAGGTGGGATCAGCCTACGACAAGGTGGGTCAAGCCAAAGACATGGCCTACGACAAGGTCAGTGAAGCCAAGGACAAAGCCTACGAGAAGGCGGGATCAGCCTCTGACATGGCCGGTCAAGCGAAAGATATGGCTTACGGCAAGGCCGGTCAAGCCAAGGACATGGCTCACGAAAATGCGGGATCAGCTTATGACATGGCTGGTCAAGCCAAGGACATGGCCTACGACAAAGCAGGATCAGCCTCTGAGAAGGCTGGTCAAGCCAAAGACTTTGCCTACGACAAGGCAGGTCATGCAAAAGACTCTGCCTATGACAAAGCAGAGGATGTGATTAAAATGGCTACGGATAAGAGTGGTGAAGCTAAAGATAATGCGTATGGAACATACGAAAGATTCAAAGAAGGGTCTAAGAATGCTAAAGACATGGCATCGAATAAAGCTCAGGATGTTAGAGAAACTGTAGGGCGAGCGGTGGACTATGCTAAAGACAAAGCAACTGATGCATACGAATCGGGGAGCGAAGCAGCCGGAAGATTCGACGAGGCAATGCATAAGGTTGGGGAGAGGTATGGTGCAGCTAAAGATTCTATGTCGGAGAAGACAAAAGAAGCTTATGAGAGTGCAAAGGAGAAAGCTTCTGATGCTGCTGGAGAGTACGGCACATATGTGAGAGACCGTAGTGCTGAGCTATAGAACCGAAGAGTTTATACTACGCATTTAGATAATCTCATAAAGATTAATATTACATATCGTGATCGTAGTAAAGAATCAAAAGACAAATCAAGTAAAGCAACGCAATAATTATACAATCTCGACATAAATGATCCATGTACATATCAGGATCAAATAAAACTTAATAGCATTTTAAATTATATTTATTGAAGATATTTATCTTCAGAGTGTATAGATGCAAGAAACTTTTTGAGACGCCTGTTGTAAACACAAGGTCTTTCCAGTTGTACCAAATGGCCTGCCTTCTTTATACTCTCTATTGTTGCATTCTCACCTAGTTGTCTGAAAAAATCAATAACGACAAAAATTTAGGATAACAAAAAAAAAAACCTTTTAAATGGCAGAAATTATAAGATTTTAATATCTTCAAACTTACTCTTTCATGTCTCTAGCCAATTCAAGATCAAAGATTTGATCACTTTCACCCCACAAGAAATGTATTTTCTGCATACACACATAACACATGAAATGTTGTTATATAGAGTCTAAATGCTAATAGTTAAACGGATGTGGACATTTGTTCATACGGACCCGTGGGAAATGAGGGATTTGCGCTTCCTTGTTGCTGACCACAACAGCCTCTAATAGTTCAGCTCTTTCTTTCCTGTTGTTAAACATTACCTACCAAGTTCACCAGTAAAACATAATTTAGAAGTAGAACCATACGTTCACATTCATTCAACTAAAAAGACTTGGACTAAATAAATGTGAACTGGTTCTAAATCAATCATTAGTAGACAAAAAAAAAAAACTAGATACAGTATCTAGGAGTATTGTCCTAGATAAATACGAGATATAGTTGAGAGTAGTTTAACAAATTTTAGCTAACCTACCAAATAAAGTGTTTTTTATATAACCTACCATAAATGTAGATTTATATAATCTATTTTCTTCAATTCATTTTCAATTGAAGAATAGAAAAGCAACAAGAAAAAATAACTAATTCTGTAAATTAAATTTATGAATGATAGAAAATAACGAAAAAAGTTATGTTTCTTAAAACTGGGTAACCGTAATTAGTTTACAAGCATTAATAGAGTTGGTTTATTTTATAAAGAGATTTGCTAAATTTAAAGAGAGTTTTGTTATTTACAACAATGATGAAATAGTGTTTTTATAAAAACTTTCATAATCCAATTATTATCCCACAAACACTAGATTTTCATAAAATAACAGATGAATGAAAGCCTAATTTTTTTGAATAATAATGGATCTGAAATAAATTAGCAAACTCAATCCATAGTTTGTGGAGGCGCCACGTTAGGAGATTTGACATAGAAAGGAAAATATACTTCGCAAGTTCCACCTAACTCTCACAATCACTCTTTCTTGGAAACGTGATCCATATGGGACACTATATATAATAATTGAGGAATTGTGGGAAAAAAAAAAAAAAAAAAACAATTTTGATTATTACTCCTAAAGAAACTACACAATTATTTTCACTCAAAAATAATTATGGCTGCTAATGCAATCATTTACTACGGAATATCATCTACTATTCATTATTTTCACTAAAAGAAAAGAATTGAATTAACTTTGCGCAGTAATAATCACCTCGATGTAGTCTTTGAACAATCGTTTAGGGAACCACAAGGGTTTATGCACAGCAATGGTGAAGAGAGCCTTAAGTCCCTTAACCGAAGTCGGTAACAAGAGATCCGTGGAAGAACTAAACCCTAACCGGTTCAAGCTCGCCTCATTAATGGTATCGGTCATCGTGGGAATCGAACCAGACACAACGATTGATCTAACCATGTCCGGGTAAGCCTCAGCGATCTTGAAAGCCACCATGCCCCCGTAGCTAAACCCTACGGGAACAAACTTATCCACGCCGAGGATACGTAGCCCCTTGACCAAACAGTCGGCTTGAAACGCCGGAGACCGGTCCGAGTTGTCGGAGTAGGATCCACCGAAAAAGAGGAGGTCCGGTATGTAGACCGAGTATTTCTTGGATAATGCACCGACTTGGAACTGCCACGTCACGATTCCTTCGCCGGCGAAACCATGGATTAACAAGACGGCAGGCTTTTTCGGTTTATCTGGTTTAGTTGGTTTTCCGGTACCGGATTTCTTCTTTAGGGTTTCCTTAGGGACCCAAAAGTTTATCTTCGTCCCTGGTTCGATCTCTAAAGTGTAAGGAACGACGCCGGCCATTTTCATCAGACCGTACAACAATGGTTTTTGTACCTCGACAAAGTTCACCATTGTGCAACTTTTTTTTTTTTGCTACCTTTTGTTTTTGTTGAGAAGTGATTGAAGAGAAGACAAAATGGAAGTAACATTATATAAACATTTTTTTCATTCGATATTTTCAAATGTAGATTATAGAATTGGCACTTAGATTTGGAATTTATTAAAAATGTGTTTGGTGTTGGGTTGTTATCTTTGTTTCTGTTTTTAAATTAGTCTCTCTTGACCATTTAGCCCGAACACATTAATTCTAGAAACTAAAAGTGTCATAGTAGTCAAATGTATACATCCATTGGAATTCCATTTATGATATTAAGTGATCACTAGCTAATAGACCAAAATCACTAGATTACCACCATTTGATTAGTTGCTTTTGGTATTGTTTTTGTTTTTCATTATGCATGGTTTTGAGAAAATTTTTAATTTGTTTTTCAATGAAAGATGACAAAAATAGCCTTTGGTGGATCTAATTACAGTTAGGGGAGATAACCGGTAGATGACCTACACATCCTACTTATATATATCCGTATGTTACAGTTTCTTCTTGCGTAGCGGATAAGTAATATATTTGTTTGTATATGAAGTTCTTGGTAACCTAGAGTTTAATTGGTATAGAATCTGCCAATCTGGCTGTGGTCTATATTCCAATTTTCAAAAAAATAGTTTAAAGTTTGGAATTTCATTTGACTTTGATGGAATTTAGGTTAAATGGGCTTAGGCCCAAAGAAAAATCACAACTTATATATTATCAGGAGCGCTACAAAAGTAGAAATTCTGAAGACATTTAATTTTGCGAAAACATTTAATTTTCACTAAAGTATACATTTTTTTTTTTTGGCGAAAACATTCTTAAAGTTGTACTAAATTCATCAAATTGAATTTTGGAAGACAAATGTAGTATTTTAGTGACTCTTAAGTCTTACTCTCTCATAAACTAATGACTAACAAAATTCGATCGTTGCTCTCTCTTTCTGTTGTTATAGAGTGTAAAAACACTTCATTAACTTGGATTATGTTTCCAGAAACAATCAAATAAAAACAAACGTTTTTTATACAATAAACTAAACACGTTATGACAAGGATAAAAATTCTTCACATGCAGTTGGCAGCAACAGTGTTAAGCAGAGCAGCACACGAAGACCCAATTGATGGTCAAATTTCCAAGACAATTTGGGCATAACACGACAAACATTCATCTTGTCCACCCTGCAGATATTTGTTGGCTTAACTATTTTCTGTTTGTTCTTATTTGAGAATTCGGTTCAAGTATTTGATTGTTTCAATTTGGATAAAAATCTCACAAAATTAAACGTTTAAGAAAACATAATTGTGATTTGTGAAGATAGTGTCTGAGTGACTGAATCCCAAAACATTCACATTCTCCGTATGAAAAACCAAAGATGATTTAAGAAAGGAATTAAAGGAATACATATCTATTCTCTATTGTATGTATAATAATAGCACTGAATCATGGTCAAAGTAGGACACACATCATGAAAAGGTTATAAATAAAGTCATGTATCATTAGTTCATTACCCGAGAAAACATTTTAAAAGTCATGCAAGGAAAACACAAGTAGCTTCATACGAATTTTATATTTAAGAAAAAAAAACACTTACACAGAGACCAAAAAAGACATTCAATATAGTATATATTTAAAGGAAAGTAAAATAAAGAATTGAACCAAGGCTAAGACTTTTCTTTTTGCTAAAAGGTATCCAAGGCTATAACACTTATGAGGGGAAAATCTATGAAATGATCACTCATCACATCGTAAAATCGTGGATAAGGCTGGTCCGGTCCGCGACGTTAAGCCTCCAAGACAAGAACGGGTCGGTCGTGACGTCATGATCAACATCTCTGACGTCATCAACGAATGAGTATTCGTTATTCGCCCCCGAGTAATATGGAATCTTTTGCGTATTATGCTGATGATGGTGAACCCAAGGCGACGATGAAGCATATTGGTTATTACTGTTATAATAATAATTTGCACCTGCTTGATGATCCAAAGTTGGAACTCTAGCCGCCGTTGATCCTCCGCCGGAGGTAGAGTTTCCGGCGGTCGATGCACGTCTCTCTTCTTTCTTGAATCGGATTCCACACGCATTACACAATGACTGACCAAATTAAAAATCATATAAAGTTATTATCGATATAATTATAGTTATTATTATAGTTATTATTTTTCCGAGTCTAGTACTGAGCTTAAAAGTTACAAATTCAAATTTTTATATTGGGAACATGACTAAACTTTTTTTGTTGTTGTAGAGAGAAATATTGGTCTAACTTCAAGAACTTTTGGGTAGTAAAATATTGATCTAAAGATTACATATTATCTACCTACCTTGGGACCTCTTGGACCGTTTCTCCAAAGAGGAGTAGAAGTGGTGTCGCAGTTGGCGCAACGGCGAGCGAGGAGGTTATGTCCGCCACCTCCACCGCCTTTCTTGGAACCGTTCAAGAAGTCCCAACCTAAGGTGGCGTCGGAGGTATGAGAAGAGAATCTACGTTCATCATCGTCGTTGCAGAGGCGAGTGGAGGGAGTTCCAAGTGAGAGAGTGCAGTCAACAGAAGCATAAGGGGAGGAGTGGTGGACGACGTCGTTTTCGGCGGAGAAGAACATTGAGAAACCCATCACTATACGTAAGATATATGATCTTGGAATCCCTAGAAAGTTGATATCTATATATAGAGAGAGAGGGACAAAGAAGTGTGTGTTGTGTTTGGTGTTTATGAGATGAAGAAATTCTAAGGAAACGGTGAAAGAAGAGTCAGCCAAAATCGAAGAAAGAGTCCACGTTGCTGTTGTGAAATGGAGACAAGACGTATTTATAGGGAATTTGGGAACTTATTGGCAAAAGAGGAAAATTTGGTCCCGGTCTTATGTATGTAACTAATTTTCCCGGTCTTATGTATGTAACTATGTATTGTTGAATTCATTATTCTTTTGTTCTTTAGATTTACATGTGTTTGCTCCTTTAGTTTGTCTAAAAAGATGTTGCAATGAATATTTTAAATATGTGTTGGTTTTTGTTCAGATCTAAGAGTCTTTTATTGAAGTTGCACCATTTCATTTTATTGGTGATCCACATAATACACTTCTAATTAATTCGTTTTTTTAAATTTTACTAAAACATGATTTTAGTTTTACACAAATTTAATAATAGAAATATATTACACTTTTCATTTCTTAGTTAAGTTACATTTTAGTATTTTACTATATTTTGCCATAATGTTCAAAAAAAAGACAGAGCAGGGTTATAACTTATAACAAAACGTTTTAACCTAACAAAATTAATTAACTATACTGCTCCGAATATTTATACAAATTCATTGCATCGTGTATACTATTCCACCCCCAAGTCACTAGTCTTGTTTATCAATGCTAAGCAAACTACAGTGTTTTGATATGTTCTATGGAGTATATTATTTAAATGGTAAAGTAAGTAAATAAATGATAAGTACATCTGCAGTTAAAGCAGCAGAGGGAAGGTAGTCAAAAAGAGGCACGTGACTGGCAATGTCACGGTCTTCCAAGGATCTGGTCTCTCTCTGATCACGATCATCTCGTAACCCTCTTTCTCTTTCCGAATCTCTCAGTCCCCTTCTTCCACACGTCATCGCTTGCTTCACCAATTCGACGTGTCGTACTCTCATCTATGCATGAGTCTATTGTTATGTTCTAAATTTTAATGGTGTGATAATGTTCACCGCACCACGACGATTTCAGTGGGTCTCTAACGACAGAAGTTAGTTTAGATTGTCGTAGTAATACAGAGAAAATGTTTTAAGCCTTGATCAAAAAAGTTGTTTTGTATGTGTTAAATAATGCCTTGAATGTTGTTTCAATTGTGGTCAAAGCATGAGAGATCGTAATGGCCAAGATGGGAGCTTTTAAGGAGTTAAGGAACAACACTAGCCAATGTACAAGTTATAAGTGAATAAAAAAGAACAAAGACAAATGTGACCCAAGTGAGATACTTTGCAATGATTTTAAAGCAATTACTTTGTGTTCTTTCGTTAGCTTGGTGAGAGAGATTCTATATTTCTATTGATTAGTCAAAGAAGCAAACACGGTACAAAGAGAATGAACCCATCAAATGAGTACACTCTGTAGCTCTAAGCTCTTGTTTTCTTTATCCTTTATCTTCTTTCTCTTTTTATCTATTTTTGGATCAAATAACGAAGTTACGTTATCTCCAAGAACAGATCTATGTTTTCTTTTTTCAGCACAAAGTAAGGTTTTTTAGTATCAAATAATAAATTTTAAATTGGATCGGCCGACCCAATTTTGGATCAATTGTCGGAATGGGTTAGGTCAAAATGTGTTACGTTTTTATACTTCCAACTAAATATCAATTAAGAATAAATAAATTGTACGTTTTATGTTTGTTATATAGTATTTGAGATTCATTATCTTCTTTACGATGTACATTTTTTTAACATAAATTTTGTGAAAACACTCATTTTATTACAAACATCAACTGAGTTTTGTTAACACCTCACTCGCTCAACAGAAGAAAAACAATCAAATTGAAGTTAAGAATATCAATACAATAATCTTGTTGTAGGACGACGTCGTGTGCCGCCAAACACGAATGGACAAAATAGTATGATGAATATAAAAAGATTAAAAGAACACCAAGAGACCCAGAGAGACAGGGAACAAAGAGAATCGGATCGGTCTTGAGATTGGTTAATTTTTGGTTCAATTGAGATACGACCACCGCTTTCCCAAAAGATGACTCTCTCTTCTGCTCTTTGCTTCGTAGAACACGAAACCTAGCCCTAACGATTACCCCAAGACACTAGGTGTTCGACTTTGTAATTTCACATTACATGTCATGTCTCCTCACCTCACGTGACTTCTAATCTTATTATATAATCTAAGTGGGCCGTTAAAGCCTGATAAAGCCTAATCCAGCCCACGTTTCTTGGCCCATATATCATATCACCTTCATGTGGTTAAATGTTTGATTCGCACTAACATTTTGTATTTACATATAGTTTTGTTTTCTCTTTGACCAAGTCCCAATTACACAAAATCTTATATAAACTGTAAGTCTGTAATTCGAAAACAGATTTGACAACAAGAATCAAACTGGTTTCGTCAAGACCATCATTTTCAACCAAACACAAAAAAACAAAGAAGAAAAAACAACAAAAAATATTAGCTCCAGCTCTCTCTCTATAAACAAACAAACAAACAACGAAAGGAGCTTTTTCTTTAATTGCACTTTGGGAGTTTTGTAAAAAGAAAAGATGGTTTAGTGTCTTAAACCTCTCTTTGTTACAGTAATGATGATGACCTCTCATCGTCTTCTTCCATGTGATGTCTTTGAAACAGCTTTCATGCCTTGAGAATCTCTGAAGCAGACAAAGTGAACTAACGTTTTCCCGTTGGGATAAACAGCAAAGACGCTTGTCCCGATCTTCTTGTTGCACAATGAGCACATGCTATCGCTTGTTACTTGCGCTACTCCTTTCCTATGTTTGTACAGTTCCTCTTTCACCTATTTGTTTCACATCAATTTCACATAAGGATTTCTTTTAATGCTGATATGGTTCATGAGTGTGATTACTTTGGCTTCCAGAAACACAAACATACCTGTAAGTTTTCACTCTGCCTCAAACTCTTGATGACTGAAAAGTTCCTGTGTGCTTCACTTGAATTTCTTAGAAGGGGTGCAAGAAACGGAAGTAGGTTCTGTAGGAATTGGATAAAGAATAAGTGAGCTTCAATAAGATGCTAGTAAGTAGTAATGGGATACTAATAAGTCAGATTCAAAAACATTTACCTGAAGTTTAGTTTCTCTAGGTAAAAGCTTGAGGGCTTGTGCACCGTTGATCCTCTCCCACCTTTGGCTCAACAGATCAAGAACTTCAGAGATCATAACGGTGGAGTCTCCTTCTTCCAAGGGTTCTTCAGTATCAACATCGCTTCTTCCACTGTCAGTGCTGCTACTGAGACCAACTCGCATATCCTCAGCACCTTCTATTGCAACAATTTTCTTGGATCGGCCTCCTTTAGCTTTTGAAGATAAAACAGAGTCCATCATCTTTGTAGTCTCTGAACTTTCAAATGATCCTAGAGCTACAATTCGTTTTGCAAAGTCTTTTGCGCTTTTCTTAGGGTTTAGGTATATTTGTAGCACTGTGAGGTAGATATTGCTTGACGGTTTTCCAGATGGTAGATAAGAAACGGACTCATATATACGATCACAGTAAGCCAGGGCCAGATCAGGTGCATGAAGCTATAAGAAAAAACCCAATGAGTTAAGCCATAAGAAACACTCCATAGACTTCATGGATATCTGAATTCTGAATGGTTTCACAATATACTTATCTATACAATGAAATACTTATCTACACCATGCATTTTCATATCAAAGTGTTTTTTAAGCACAACTAGCCAACATTTATAAGCTTATTTGGCCAAGGAAATCAATGATATTTGTTATACGAGGAGATTATCGATAGGTACCTTATGAACATAGATCGATAAAGCAAGCTCATGTTGATTCATTTTACCCAATATAACTGCACGCTCTTCATAGAGAGCATCACGTGGAAGACGCTTCAACAAAGGCTGTGGACTATATCCGGAGATGCTCTCTAACGCAGACAATAGTTTTTTCCTTTCGGGAGGATGATCCTTCTCATCCCATTTCTGCTGCGCACTCTTTGCAGCATACAAGTCAAGCACTTCTGAAAGGTAGATTTGTACCTGTAATCCAAATTCTTAGTGCCAAAAATATGTAATGTTAACTCAATGAAAATGCTTTCCATAAGTTCTATTTCCTCACCATCTCGTTTTGGAGATTTCCAGAAACTGCGGTTTCATTCATAGCCATCATAAGTTCTAAATATCTACCCTGCATATTTGGAGCATGCTGCTTCAGATACGAATTGACAAGGTCGGCTGAGATATTTCCAGACAAAAACAAGTCGATGGTTTGAGTTGGACAGCTTTCCAGGACAAGCATAGAGTACTCCAAGACAAGCATAGGATCAGTCCTGCAGAGAGGCTGCAAAGAGAAATCCACCAACAGAAAGTTAGCATCTCACAGCTGTTTCTTAGAATTCTCCACTTTAAAATGGGAATATAGACCAAGTTATCTTCAGTCAGTACCAAAATTATACGTGGTTAACAAATTTGTAGTTTTCTTTTCTATAACAATTTAGAATTTAAAGATAGACTAGACGAAAGGTTAGCACCGAGAAAACCTGCCTTGAGATATTCAATGATCATCTCAGGACTAAATATCTGTGTAACTTCAGTTTGTGACTGGTCTGATTTGGACTCCTCCGCCAGCTGATTAAGAAGCTTAAGGGCTTCATGGTGCATCGAATTGCTCTTGAATAGTTCTAATAGTGCAGAATAATTTTTACTTTTCATAAGAATCTCCTCACAAATCTTAACGTCACAGTAGTTGACACCCTTTAATAACTCTATAGCAGCTCCAGACTGGCCAGTGTGTAGAAGTGCTTGGAGAAGAGCTGTATCAAGGATTGCTGCCATCTCTCTGGCACCTGAATTAAGAGGGATCATACCACGTCCCTGCAGAAAAAAAGATGTTAAATCCCCAAGAAAATTACTATCAAACGTAAAAATCAAAGGGAAGCTGCGTAAGTGCTTATATTATCTATGCATCAACTTCCAAGGAATTAGTCAGTCAGTAGCTCCCAAAAGCTTATAAAGTGTTCTTATCCAAGACCTAGTCATCAATTAGCTATTGCGGAAGATAAATCATCTGCACCTTGCTGGACTTCTTAGACTTAGATGAATCATATGCCCCATAACTTTTACCAACAGCATCCGAAATGACCTCTTCTGTTCCTTCAGAAGTGGCCTTCTCGATAACAGCTGGCCTCCTCTTCTGCAAGTACTTAATAAGAGCCATCAAAGTGTTGTGACTCATTTTCTTAGATTCAAGGGCTGTATTGTCCTCAGATTCCAAAAAATAGCGAGGAGATGAAGACTCCATATCATCTGAAATGCCGGATGAACCTCTTGACAGAGATGCTTCATCACCAGAAATGTCCACCATCTTATCTGGTTGAGGAATAATAGTTGTTTTAGGAAGAATGATGGATGGATACATGGAAAGTACATGCGTGATATCTACTTGAGATGCGAGGAAGTGTTCCATGGCTTCCTCATAGCTCCCATTCTCAAAAAGATAATGAGCAAATCTGTTTCATGATAACGAGACAACAAATATGAACAAAAAGATTCCCATAGAACTGCACATTACGATTAAAGTGTAACTAGTAGAAGGAAGAGAGGGGCTTCTAGCTTTACACACCTTGTATGAATCGAACTCTCTTTCGCAGCTCGTAGGCTTGACTCTTCAGGGGGGAGTACTTTGCATAGAGCTAAGGCTTCCTCAAAGTTTCCCGAAGCTGTTAATTGCACAATCTGCGATGAAACTCAACCTTTTCAAAAGCAGCTACTGCGAGTTAAATCAAAGTCTCTATAAAGAATACTGAAATAGTGTCATAATCAACCGTATTAGGTAAAATGTAACACATTTTCATATTCATCCACAAGAAACTATGAGCAGCAAAAAGAAACATCAAAATTCTCAGGGATAAAGTGAATACCTGGGCACCAATAGACACAGGGAAGAGAACATAAACAGAGTTATCCAAACCAACAATCACAGCATTGTTGCTCTTGACCAGGCGACGAATGTTTTGAAGAACAATAGTCTGTATTAAAGGATATGGACTTCGGAGCAAACGAACCTATCAAAACAAAGCCAAAAGGCATAAGCACATAACAGGTATCCAGAAACTAGAAGAAAATCAAAACTCGTGTATCACTAGGCAGGAACTTTATATACCTCAACTCGACGAGGTAACAAGGCTATTGCATAAGGGTTTTGAATGACAATAGCCGTTGGGGCCTCTGACCAACAAATTCTCTCTGTTTGAAGGAGCTTCCCATTTTGATCAACAAAAACTCCAATGTTCTCCTACATGTACAAGAAGAAACTAATGAAGACAACATTCCAAAACATCCTGAACTCTATGAAGAAATAAAAGTTACCAAATTGGGGTCAAGAAGATGACAAATACAAAGAAGAATATCACACACAACAAATGCTACCACAATGTTTGTACAGTATCCATAAGAAAACCATAACTACCTTTCCCAAAAGAAGTTCACCAGAAGGTAGAGATATCACAAGAGGAGGAGCAACCCTACCAGAAGGAAACACCTCAGAGAGTGTCCCATTAGCAGTGTTAAGTATCACATACTCTTTTTTAATGCCTAAACATATGTTTTCTCCACACCAAGAAATCGACTTGACAGTATCAGGAACTCCATAGTCTCTGACCTCTACAAATCCACCTCCTCCTAAACAATCAACAGAAACAACTCTTCATCAAAATCCGATTCGATGTGCCAAATATTTCAATGTTGAGTACAAAATCTCAGAGATTTTACCATCGTGCTTGAAAACACAGACCCTCTTTTGCCTAGAGAAACACAAGAACCCACGCCGATCATCCCACGAATAAGCATTAGCACCTTTAGCTTTAGTAATCACAGCAACAGTCTCCAAATTAGGAAGTCCATGAAACGCAATTGACTCAGAGAGAGACAAAAGCAACTCTCTTGAAGCCAAAACTTCCATCGCCACAATCGGTTTCTTAGAGAATCCAGCTACGGTCGTCTCGAGCACGTAAGTCTCTTGATGCAGCTCCGACGGATCGGAGGCAGAAGATTCCGGTGGTGAGTAAATGCGGAGAGAACCGTCATAGCATCCGGCGAAGAGCTTGGAGCCGTAAGATTCAACAGCATCGATCCTAGCGGGACAATCATTGAGAAGCTGAAACGAATCATAAGCGTTGTGAACCATATCTTCGAGCTTTTGAAAAATTTCTGGGCTAATCACCAAAGATTCATGGTGTTCAAAAATCCAATTAGAACAAACCAAATTGAGATAAAATCTGGAAATTGATGGGTAGGATCATGAACCCTAGTCCAATGATTACAAAGAAACGATTTTTATTACAAAAGTTTCAATCTTTCAATTTCTGAGCTTTGAATTCACTTGGAGCAGAAACAGAGATGATTGATTTCTTCACAATCGAACGTGCGTTGATTTTAAAAAAAAAAAAGAAAAAAAAAATCGCAAAATTATAAATTTAATTGAATCAGGACAAATGGTCCCGGCGGGGCTCGAACCCGCGACCTTCGGCTCATAAGACCAACGCTCTAACCAACTGAGCTACGGGACCGATTGTGATCATTAAATTCAATTAATATATTTAGACTCTGTTATTTTATCACTTCATTAGTGAAAATATCCTAAATGTATTGTTATATCACACACATATCAGGAATAACCGAATAAGTCAAGAAGAGCAATAATTTCATAACTAAGTTGAATACATAAGAACTAAAAGAGATAATCTCATATTTCAATTAATGAACACAAAACTAGTAGTATTAAACATGGTAACAATATTCTCTCACACATACATAATCTCTTCTATTTAAAACATTCAAAAGTCTTTGGCTCACTAATAAGAAAAAGAGGCTAAGACTTAGAACTTTATTAATCTCCAAGTTAACCAGCACATGCTAATGGCTCTTTCTTCTATCAATGAGAATAAACTTTATTCTTCTTCTCTTCTTGTTTATGTGTATATAATAAATGTCTTCAACTCTCAGCTAGCGGCTGATGCAATAGAAGTTGCCGGCTCAGGAACAACATCGGATGCAGAGAAACCGTTTGGTTTCGGATAGTGATTCTCCTCCAATCCCCAGTATTTTGCGGTTTTGACATCGTCTTCACACATTTGTCGTGAGAAATCCTCATGATCATACTCTAGTGTTGCTTCACCTCCAAATTCCTTGGGGAGATTCTCAATATCAAAGTGTGATGTCATCAGTTCATCACTTGCTTTGTCTTTTGGGTACACAAATTTCACCTTTTCAGCTGTACATGGGTCCAAGAAGTACTTAGCAGCCTACATGAAGAAAAGAGTAGGTATATAGTGAAACTTTTTTAAAGAAAAAGAGAGACAATTTTGATGGTTGTGTTGTAATGATGAATGTTTTTATGTACCCTGTAGACTGCTTGGAAGATTCTTGGTGGATTGTAGAGAAAGGCGATACCGAGTCTCTCAGGGTAATGATTCTGTAGAATGTGGATGATTTCGCGTGTTGTTTTCATAGGAACATTAGCAGCCATAGACCAACCAGTGAAATCAATGAGCCAAGACATTTGTTCTTGTCCCTTGGGAAGATTTAGGATTGCATTTTCAAGAAGATAGACCAAATGCTTAATATTACCTTCTGATGAAGTTGAATTCTGTTTCATAAGATTAAGTAAGTTATGAGTTTTTAAAACTCAAGAAAAAAGTTCCAAAAGGCGAAAAATCGGCTTAGTTACCTGCAATGCGGGTCTCATTATAAGCACTACTCTACCTTGTCGATCATGAAAACTAGCTCTTGAAATTTTTCCAGTCTCACCTTCATGTTCTACTTGATTCTAAAGAGAATCAGAAAAAGATGATTCAAAAAAAGTAAGAAAAAATAAAGAACAAGAAGATTAAAATGAAATACATAATAAACTCAAAATTTTACCCAACGGATCTCTTGAGGTTTATAGGTTGATCTCCATTTAAGAGTCTCTTCAATCATTTTCTTGGCTTTTTCAACATTCCAATTACGAGCATCTAAATATCTCCTCAAGGAAGGATCAGAGCAGAAAACTAAACTATGTCCCGATAGTGGTCCTATCGCGGATTTCAATTCTCTAACCTGAAACTTGTAGAAGTATTAATACTTTCGAAAAATGTATATTAATGTTCTCATATAGTGAAAGAAGAAGATTATTGTACCTTGTTATCTTTGTGAGAATCATCCTCGAGTTGGTGAGCATTCCTTCTTCTGAACATATTTAATTTAAACAATCTTGAGACAGCTTCAAAGCCTAGAAATGATCAAATCAGATTTTTAAGTCCAATTTAAAGCAAAACTATCTTTTATAATCTAATTCAGATCCAAGATTAAGCAAAAAGGTTTTAATAATCGGCTATCAATAGAAAACTGATAAACACAAGAAAATCTTACATCTAAAACGGGAATAAGAATTCTATTAGTATTTATTTACTACATGAAGATCTCAAATGAGGTATGATAATTTTCGTTATAATCCAACTTTGAATCTTCTTCACATCTGATAAATTCCCTACAAGATAAATATAACTCGGTTTCTAATCTTCTAGAAAGCATGAAATCGACTTGTCAAAAGACATAAATATGGCCATAAATGATTCTTGATTCAAAGAATTTATTACATTTGACTTTTTTAAAGCACACAAAATAATGAATTTAGCATACGAATTAAATTCCATGAATGGAATACAAAACAATTCTCCAACATCTCATCCATCAAAAATTTCTTTCTTTTTTTGGTCACCCAGAAACTTTTTCTAAATATGATAATGAAACCTAAACATTTCTAAAATATCAGTAAATACAATCATCACATACATAATAATAAAAAAACAACAACGAGAAATTGATGAAGCTCACGGAATTACGATCTTCATCAAGAGAGACTTGTAAACATAAGGAAGCTAAATCGAAGCAAAACGATCGATGTGATCTTTCTTTATTTAAAAGTTAAAACAAAGGAAATCAAAATCGAAACGTAAAGAAAATCTCATTCTTACCTAATAAAACGGATCTTTCTTTCTTTCAGTAGATGAAACTGATCACAGAGAGAGAGAAAGAGAGAGGATCAATGGAGTTTGGTATTCACGCGAGTATCATTCCCACTTCAAAGGGACATAAAAAGCGAGAAACGTGAAGAAAATGTATATTATTAACCAATTTATGTGGCATGTAAAACTTAACACTTTAAAGCTGGCCCTATGTATGTTATTGTGAAAGGCCAATTGGTTGAAAATAATAACTTTTTTTTTTGTATATAATGAATTTTCAATATTGGCGTTGGACCAAGAGTCTAAATGGTGACATACGTTTGAGGAATTTATGAGGAATTGCTGTGGAATTTTCATTTGGTCACATCATTTACATAAATAAAAATGTGAGGAAAGCTTGAGGAATTCAGTCACATCACTTGGGTATATACTATTTTTAAGTTTATAATGTTTTTATTGTTATGCTTTTAATAAATTATAAATACTTTATATTATAAATAATAATTTCATAAAATTTGTAATTAGATTGTGTGATGACTATAAAAATTAATTTGTTAACTTTTCTTAAAAAGTAAGAGACATAAATAATAATGAAATTGGTTAGGTTTATATTGATAACTAAAGAATAAAACTAAGTTTGTAACCAATTAATAATTAAATTTTAATAGTTTAAAGTTTCATATGATAATTATGTTTGATAGAACTATTACACATATTAACATAAAATTCCACCAAAATCTACCTTTTATAATTTATAGTTGATTTGTAAAATTACATTGTTATCTTACTAAGATTATTAAATATATAAGAAATTAAGTTAAATATTTTAATTTGTTTATTTCACTAATATTGTTGACAAAAAACTTTAATTAAGTATTTTTAAGTTTATATGTTTAACTATTTTTTCAGAAATTCAGCCAGATTCAGCGGTTACCATTTGAATTTTCAATTATTCAGCCAGATTCCGCAAAAAATCACAATAAAATTCAGCCAGATTCAGCAATTCAGCCAGATTCAGCCGAATTCAGCGGTTACCATTTAGACCCCAAATAAAAAACAGATCTGAAATGATTTTATGACAAGAGGACAAGATCCGAAATTGGTGAAGTAATAATTTGATGATTTTCCAAAATTCTAACCTTCTCTCACGTTTAACAAACTCTTATCTGTCTTTTCTTTTTAGATATTGCTAATTTATTTGTCTTTATCTATTGTGTCACGATCGAGAATAGGCAATTACTATTAGAAAACTTACTGAATTCACTAATTAGCTTCAAAGAAATAAAAATGTAACAATTTTTCAAATATATATATTCATCATTATGTGCAAACCACTCTTTCGTGGTTTAGGACCTTTAGGTAGAATAACAAAAAGAAAGAAGAAAAGTCCATAAAAGACAGCATCCATCAGCTAATAATAATAATTAAAATGTAAATGTTTTACTCGATCTATTGATTTTTAAAACATTAAAAATTAGGTTAATAATCGCAATCATGTGCGTATGATTTGCTTTAATCAAATCAAAACGGTCCCTGGATTGACATTGGAACGATTATTAAATGGCATAAAATTAAAATAACACCATGTGACGTTAATCCGACACCAAATCGTTTTTTGATTTGATACTTTTTATCAACTCTTCTACTAAATAATATTATTGGTCTTCTCTCAAATAGGTATAATACTGAGAATAATGTTATTGTATATTAATCTTTTTATTTCTACCTCAGTTAAGCAGATACATTATAAATTGTTGTTGTTGTTACCACATCAAAATTTTAGTATTCAAATGTTGCCGACCTCAATCAACTTGTAAACCGAACCAATCTAATAAACTTGAAAACCAAACCAAGTAAACCGGATTAACCACCTCTATATATAATAATAAGTGAATTACCTTAATTTATTTTTATGAAGTATCTTCATTTCATACTAGATTGTAGGAATAATTTTCAATTTTTTTGTTGTTGTTGTCTAGTTTTATTTCAAAATGTAAACGAAGAACATGAAACAGAGTTTGTAAACCACATAAAAGAAAAAACAGAGCCATACATCTCTAAAACATAAAAATTGAAAAGAAAGAGACGATAGTTTAAATCGACCTCTCTTCTTCAACATGAGGATAAAGCCAAGCCAGTCCTCCTATTGCTAAATATGATTTGAAGCGGCCATCCTTTGTGACACTTTTGGCAATGCTTCGAGCCACATGACTGGCTTGTGGAGACGATAGCTTGATACGACATTCTATGGAGCCAGATAAAGCGTGTTTTATACGACTAACAAAATTACAGTATCGCGCCCGGCCATTTAATGGGATTGTTAACCACTTCAAAAGCAACTATATAGTCCGACCAAATCTTAATGTCGTCAAAACGCAAGTCACGTAACTCTCTGCGGCCCAGCAAATACATTGAAGTTCTGCCAATTACCAGTTCAGTTCCTGTATAATCTCTAGCAATCTTCTAAGCTCCTCCGCACATATGCATTTTATCGGTCCTTGCCTTGGTTCAGATCTTCTTATACTCTGAAAGCATAATAATTTATTGTCACTGCAAATATAATACATAATTAATTTACTTTAACAAGCAAAACATGGGAAAACTTCAATTATTGTGAACGAGTTAGCCTTAATTTATATCCCAAAGGTGATAAACAGAATTTTGCAATCATCTTTCATTAGTTAGGGCTAATCATAAAATTATGATTTTTATGGCTGTGAGTGAAATCTGGTTCTTGCTTAGCTGCTTGTAATCCAAATAACACATCTAGACAGAAGATCAATGTATAGTCGCCGTTGCTTTAACCGTTTAAAAATGATTTGTTCCACCTTCCTTCGTGCCGGTTGCTCAAATAAAAAGAACCTGATAATATTTAGCAATAACAGCGACAGATCATCATACTCCCTAAAACTTAAATTCAAAATTTGCATTATCCATGACATGATAAGGTGAAAAAGTATAGAAAGTAGACAGATCTGGGTGGATTCGAACCACCAACCTCTCATAATGAGAGCTCTACCATTTTGAGCTTACAGATCTATTAGCTCAAACCTTTGTCCATTTTGGATTAAGTCCATGGGATACCTAGATTCATTTCTATATAGTTGCTCCAATCTTTCTCCCCACTTGAAGCATCATGAAGATGAAAGCCCATGGTTGCAGAGTCTATAATAATACCAAATTGAACAAAAATCAAACTTTGGAACTTGAAACATGAATAAATCGTCAAATGGAAACAATCTGAAACAGTAACACCACAAATTTGCATGTGTAAATCAAAGATCAATGCATAAATTGAAACTGAAATTAATATTATTTCAATGATCCCATAAGAGTGCAGAAGTCTAAAGCAAACTATTATACGACATGATACAACAATAATTCAAAGTAAAGATCAATTGAAACAAAAGCTGCAGGCTCGAATTGAGTCCAAACGCCATCATACAAAAAAAATCAGATACCTTCGATACACATGTTCCTTCTTCTACAGAAGCTAGCCATTATAGTCATAGCTCTTGACAGTGCAGCCGTGAGCAAAATCCAGGTCGTAAATGCAATAAGCGACTCTATAATTACTATATAAAATAATATTTTATAGAATTGCGCTAAGAAATTTCACAAATGATACTTTCTTTAGGTATAATCATACAATAGTAGATCGATAAATGACTGTTCTTACAAAAAAAAAACTACAAACAAGTAAATCGATAAAGTGCATACATATTCAATTGCATTTCCGAGATTAACAATCTGACAAACGTTAAAGTTACATGAATACTTGTAGTGAAATTGCTTTGAGAATAATGATTTCCAACAGTCAATTTAGTATGAGGAAACTCTTTTCCCATGCACAGAAATTAAAGCCGATGATTCGAGATTGTTATGAATACTGGGAGTCAGATTTGTTTTATGATGCAAATAAAGAACATAAAGAATTAAAACTCAAATTAAATGTACCTTTGTTTGTTGGTGGATGTTGGATATAGAATAGGCCAGCTTGTCTCCAGATCCGCTGATCTTAAGATCCGGATCGAGAATATTTCTGTGGTATTGAGAGAATTTTTGAGAACGAATCGAGATCAAAGGAATCAGAGTGTGAAAGAGCGAGAAGCAAGACACACACAATAGAGGGGAGAACCCGGGCAAAAAATCCCCCGTGCGAACTCCCCTCAACAACCACGAAACTTTTTTTTTTATTAAGGATTTTTGGTGACCTGCCATGCAAGCGCACCTGTCATGGCAAAGGTCGGATGACAAAGATGTTTATTCAGAACTATATCGTCCCTATAAACATCTTATACATCCATCAATCAACTTAACTCACATCAATATCACATATCAGCTTCTTCTCTCTTCTTCTATCTCTCCTCTCTCTAGCTCCATCAAAAATTGACGAATTCATCACCTAATCACAAGCTCAGTAGAGCATATCGTAGATCTGACGAACCTCGAGGCCGATTCATAATCTAAGATCAGATCTGGAATTTGAAATCACCGAATAAATATCATAATTACAAAGAATTCAATCGAATTAAACGAATCGATTATCAGATCCAGCTACGAGAAGCCATAATTACCAGTTCTTCAACCGATCTTCGGAGCTCGACAGCGACGAACCGTGTTCTGGCGATTGAATCAACCGGAGCCTCTGGATCTCTTCATCTAAGACGCCGATCTGTAGATCGGAAGCAGATCTGTGACGATCTTCATCGGAAAACCTCTGATGCGACGATATAGAAGAGAGATCTAGAGAAAACGATGAACAAAAATTGAATGAATCAATGAATAAAGCGGGTATGAGAGAAACCTAACAGATCGACGCGTTATTATATATAGAGGGTTAGGGTTAATGGACGGACGAGATTGTTTGATTAAATTTTAGATCAACGGTCCAAGATTGATCTTGTTGGAGAGATTACGTGTTTAGGGGCGTTTTTAATGTGAGGCGGTTGTTTTAAAGAAAAAAAAAATTAAAAGGCGTTTTGGGAAAGGGACAGCTAATATGGGTTGTTGGTGTTTTACCGATTCATTGCGTCGTACCTAAGCACGTTTTCTCTTTGACAAATGGTATCTTCGTAGCAAGTTCCTTCACGACTCTTCCATATTTTCTTGTTCTTTTCTTTAATAAAAAATATTCACATAAAATTTAAAAGGATCAAATTGGCCCACCTTCTAGATAAATCTTTCACTTTAATTCTTGAGAGCAATTTTGATTTTACGTTGCTTAAAAAATGATAATGGGCCATAAGTAAATGGGCTAATACAAAGCCCAAAGCTCAAACGCGGTAGCTGTTCGTAAGCATATTTTACATAGCCCAACATAATGTACATGCATACACGCAAAGACAAGAGTATGTGCATTGTGTTTCAGTAAAAATTGAAGAGAAACGAAATGAAGATTATTCATCACCTTAAAGACAAATTTAATAGTTTATCTAGCAGAAGTCTCCATGGGGATTATTAGCATTCCTGCTTCCTGTTTGAGATCCACTACCTCTAATCTCAGCATACCCCGGAGGCAGTTTTGGCGGATGAACAACAGGCAAGTTGCTGGAAGATCCAGGGGAGCCAGATGGTCGGAATGACCAATTGATTGTGCTGATACCTGTAGATGGAGATGTATTTGAAGGGAATTGGTTGTGTTGTCTTAGATATATAGGCAATGTCTCCTTATCGCCTAGCGGCTGCTGCTGCTGCTGCTTATCGACTTGATGCTTTTCATAGTCCATAGCATTAGGCTTTGCTGGCTCGCTTATCATCTCCCCTGGGTTCATGACACTGGCAGTTCCAAACAGCCAAGGCTGTCTGAATTTTGGCTGCTTCTCTTCTTTGCCTTTGGGTTGTTGGTAGGTATGATCACAAGTTTCAACTGGTTTGACAGATGGCTTGTCTCTGTCCACGAAACTAGGTTCAGGTGGATCCGCGGCTCTAGGAGTTGTTGAGCGGGTTGTGGAGATTGTGGTGGTGGGAAATGCTTTCTCTGGTGGCACAGCTGGTGTGTAGTTAGATGGAAGTAGATCGTCCCAATTCTCTAGCAGTTCCTTATAGACTTTGCGTAGAGTTACCTCAGTTAGTCCGGTTATTTTACATATCTCTGCTTGCGTCTTTCGTTTGTCTTCAAGCTGACATGCTAGATAGATTGCAGCTGCAGAAATGCTGATCGGGTTTCTACGGGTGCAGAAGCATTTGTTGATCACAACTTCTCCAATATGTGTTGCTAGTTCCTAGAAATATTGAAAACACACCAGAATAGGCATCATAGTTGGGCATTTGAGATCTTGAAATGGGTCACACTGGTTAGTGAAATGTCATTAGAAGAAATATCTAAGTCTCACTGAAAGAAGGAAAACGTCCAGGCATTGATTCACTATTCACGTTGGATTTTAGGCCTCTCAAAAAGAAGTATAAGTTTAGTGGCACACCTGAGCAGATTTGTTAAGTTGGAGGAGGGTACAGAATCTTGGCATATGAACAGATATAGAGTTACTGTTGATGGGTTGACTTAGTTGCAGAGCTTCTCCTAAAATCTTGATGTACTTCCCAATTTCCTTCTGCTGTACATTGGCTGCAATGGAGATTTCCTATTGTGCAAAGCAAGACAAAGACCTCAGACAAAAATCAAGTCGCAATAATAAACTGAAAGAAGTGCTGCTCATATTTAAGTTCACAAGTGATGGTCCACATTGGGCTGTAACAAAACCTGCCTCTTGAAAAGATAATTATGTTTTCTACGATAGGATATCCATCTAAAAGCTAATTTACGAGCAAAACAAGTAAAAAATGATAAGAACAGTTACTGATTGAGGATAAAGTACACCAACATGGAAGCTTGATTCCTTAAAGTAAACACACAAGCTTCAGAACCTAGCATAGACTGAGAACGAAATGGTTTTCTAACTTAAAAGTTATAACAGTTATCAAATTACCCCAATTCATTATTTGCTACCACGAAAATCCTAAGAGTCAATACCAAATGTCTTGATCTAGTAATGTAACTTCAAGGAATTGAGGCTCAGTAGCTGAATCAGCCATTAAAACTTGTGATGAAATAGGTTCTCTAATAACCTGAAGAGTTCTAGGCTCCTGAGCTTCCCTAATAGCTTGAACAAGGCAAGCAGTGGCTAAAGCTTCAACGCTTCTGTTCCGCAAGCAAGTAGCTGAGCAACAATCCCTAAACAACTGGAAAGCATGCTCGGAGATATCGCAATCCAACCCTAAAATCGACGCCACATCGATAATCTGCATATAAGCCCTAAGATTATCCACCACAACAGTCGACGAATTCGAATTCGATGTAGACGAAGCGAGTTCTAGGGTTCGTTCGAGTTCAGCGAGATGACCGGAGAAAGAGAGAGAAGACCGAGCGAAGATCGGGCTTGGCTCGAGGGACCAGGTAGAGAAGGCGGTAATGAATCCCGTAGGTTCGAACGGATCTTCCTCGTCTTCAGGAGACGGTTGCGCCGCCGTTTGGAGATCGGAAGTGACTAAGCAGAGAGGAGTGTCTTGGGCTCGGAGATGGAAGAGGTGATGGTTTTGCGTCTGACGTTCTTCCATTACGCGACCGCAAGATGAGCACTCCGTTATTGATCTACCGGAGCTTGTGGTGGCACACCGTCCCTGCGCCGATGAACAGTACGGACACTTCATTTTTGTGTTTCTTTACTTTTTTTTTTTTTTTGTTCTCTCACACGTGAGTGTGACTCTGTGATAAAGCTGTTTTATACGACAAGAGTAAAAAAAAAACGCGCAAAATCATTCTTTTGAGAATTTGTAAGATTTACACTCTAATTTTTTTTTTAATTTCGAATATTATTGTGATCAATTTATAATTTTGCAATCTCCTAATGGAACATTTTTTCGTTGAGACAACAAATGTCATGTTCTAATCTCATTGCCAAATCTTAATTTGGTAATCTACAGTGGGTCAGTGGCAAACGTTGCCTTTGACTTTGCCACTAAAACACACAGATTCAGGAGTCCCAAAGTTTTGAAGATATCAGAAGAAGGAATATATCATAAGGATCCATTGTTTCTACATATATATTTATAAAAGTAGCTCTATGTAATTACCAATCGGCAGAATATAAAAGGAGCAATTTGAATATTCCAGAATGAACTCTATCCATTTGGTAGTTGATCTTTTGGCTTCAGGAAGTAAGTAGATATGATATTAGGTTTATATGTAAACGTGTGTTACCAATATCATCATCAGCTACTAGCTGCTGGCTTGTGTAGAATTCTCTTCAAGTTTCTTCCCAAATCCCTTGCACTCTGAAAACAAACCCAAAAAAGAAAAGAAAAAAAGAGTTTAGGTACATCCGAACACTCAGGTTAAGCCTATGAACAATTTAAGAGAAGAAATTAAAAGATGAATCCTGATCAAGAAGCTAAGTTGGGCTGATGGAAGCTCTACCAAACTTGATCAACAAACTTTCAAAAAAGAGGTTTAGCAATAAATGCAAGAAACAAAACTGAAAGCTATAGCTATCTGAAATCTCATAACAAATTTTTAAGAAGATATAATCTGCTCAACCACATGCTATAATAACCTATACTCTAACACTAGATCTTCATACCTAATCTCCAGAAAAACTAGACCTTGACCATTATAAGGTATTATGTGTATCGAAAGTTCATACAGGTCTTTGAATGTTTGGCTATCAAGCATGGATCCATATAGCTGGTCACCAATCAGAAACAAAGATAGAGTATAGACACACTATCTTTAACAGATAATAGTAACACTAAAAATTTTAATGGCTAATCGCCAGACACAGAAGAACAACCTAAGTACACTCAAGATCTAAACTCCAGATTCCAGATTGAACATTACTGTTTACTCCAGCACAGAGGCAAGATCTACTACCATCTATCTACTAATTCTAAGTGACTAATCCAGTGAAACAAAAGAAGCGAAATTTAAAGCAGATATCATCACCATTGATCTAGAAGGAGGTGGATCAAGAGTGATAGACCGCACCGACATCTTGGCGATTTCACCAATAGCAGCTTCTCTAACACCAGGCACATCACTAGTGAGTTCTTCATAAGCAGCAACAAAAGCCTCTTGCCAAAATCTAGGCAATTTGATCCGACGACTATTTGTATACACATCCCACATATGCTTCACCACTTTCTCCCTCTCCTCCATTTCCTAAAATCACCACAAAATCCAAACCTCAAAATCAGACTACAATCAAATTACACACCAAATCAACCGAAATAGAAAGAGAGAGTGAGAGAGTAAACAACCAGAACGTCAAGGTTTTCATAGTTCGGAATCCCTAGATCTTCCGATAACCGGTTTAGATTCCCTGTAGATAACCGGAGAGTGACGGTGCCAGTGAACATCGACCAAAAAGCCAAAAGCAAAATCGCAGCAAACGCCCAAAACTTATAACGACCTCTTCCAAACAAGACCGCGTCAGAGTTCTCCTTCTTCGAATTCGCGATAGCTGCTCCCGTCGCCGTACCAGTCGTCGTCGTCGTCGTCGGCAATGCATCGTCCTCCTTCATCTCGATCTCAAATACAAATTACACTCAATAATCTTGCTTAGCGAGTAATGCTAACACCAAATCTGAGCTATCGTGAATCGATTTCAGTAGATTCAGTGTAATCGCGAAAGTGTCGGCTCGATTTTGTTAAATCTGAGAGAACTTAAAAAAAAACTCAGTTCACTCTCTTCATTCACACTACTGGCCCATTGTTAGCTAATGTAGGTAGTTATAGCGATGTATTAGCCGTTGATCTTAAATTGGTAACGAAAAACTAATAAAGTGTGCGTCGATCTTGACCGTTGATTTATAATTTGATAAAAGCCACACAAAAGTTCATCTAAAACGCAGTCGTTTTCAAAAGATAAATCTATTCAACATGCTAAGCTGCGCTGTTTTCGCCGCGTACTTTATCGCCGTCTCTTTGAAAAAGCGCTTCGATTTCTTCAAGTGATTTTCCTTTCGTCTCCGGTAAGAGGAAGAAGAAGAAATTCCAAGCCACCGCCGCGATTCCGGCGAACATAAAGAAAGCTCCGCCGGTGGTTATCGCACTAGTCAACGACAGAAACGACATCGACACGGTGGCGTTCATTACTCTGTTCACCGCAACGCCGAGACTCGCTCCTTGGGCCCGAAGTTTCAACGGGAAAACCTCAGAGCTGTAAACCCAAGTTATTGGGCCGAGCCCAATAGAGAAAAACGCTACGAAACTATAAGCCGCGACTATGCTCAGTACCAAAGCCCACGCTAATTTCCCGCCAGCGTTCTGGGCCATGGTAAGCCCAAATCCTAGCATTGTCAACGCCATAACCATTCCTCCAACGCTGGTCAACAAAAGCTTCCTCCGACCTACCTTGTCTAACAATAAAGTCGCTGTGAAAATAAACGTCGTTTTCATGATTCCGACACCGATTGTAACCAGGAAAAGCTTGTCTTTAGTCGTGATTCCTGCTTTCTTGAAGATCCTCGGACCGTATAAAAGCACGGCTTCGATTCCGGTGGCGTGTTGGAAGAAATGAATCCCAAGAGCGGTTAAAAGAACTCTTCTTACTGCTGGGGTTGGTCTTAAAATGAGTTCTTTCCACACTCCTTCACCATGAGTCTTCTTCCCCTCCATCTTCACAACATCGTCTACGCATTTCGGGTCGATTCCCGCAGCGGCTTTGATGTCTTGAAAGCGGAGTTCCGCTTCTTCAGGGGAATTCGATACCAATTCCAATATCTCCTTGCCTTCCTTGAGACGGCCTTGCATAATCAACCACCGTGGAGATTCCGGCATTTTCAAGATCCCGAACGCTAGCACCAGGGACGGAACCGCGGCTATACCGAGCATGAGTCTCCAACCGATATGCATAGGTAACTTGGAGAAGAAGTAATTCACGAGATAACCTAGTAAAATTCCTATACTGATACAAAGGTGAGGCAGAGACGCTAAGAGTCCTCTATGTGAAGCAGTTGCGATCTCGGCCGAGTAAACCGGAGCAACCATCAGAGCAAAACCGACTCCGAGTCCAGCGGTGCATCTACCGGATAAGAGCACCGGATAATTTGGACCCCAACCCATCATTATTGAGCCCAACATGAATAGTATTGAGGCCAAGACGATTGTGTAACGCCGTCCGATTATGTCCGACGTTCTTCCGGCGAGCAATGATCCGACAAGCGCACAAAGGTTGAGAATTCCGGTGAGAACTTCGATTTGAACGTCGTTAGTCTTCAAATCTTCTTCTATAAACACCATCGCTCCACTCATAACCCCAGTATCTACACAAATACATATCTTATCAATTCTCATGATCATAAATCATATTTCTAGAGAGTAAAAAATATCTAACTAAAAACATAAATTTGACATCAAAAACTTTTAAACAGAATAAACACGGCCATAATTTTTGATTCTATGGAATCTACCAACACAAATATAATTTCTATTGAATATTTTCTCAAATTACAACACCAATGATCTTGAACAACGAATGTTAGTTTTGGAGATATCTCTACTAAATACTTACCGTAACCGAAGATGATGGAGACGATGGAGGCGACAATAGCACATTGAAGAGCAAATCTATTAACTCCTGCCGGCTTCTCGCCGGAGATAATTTGATCGGCCATGATTAATAATTCACCACAACGTTACCAGAAGATATAACAAGAAAACTATAAAGTATAGAGACCTTTATCGATCTATGTCTCTCTCAATTATAAGCTTTTATCTAAAAGTTCGTTGAGAGTTTGGTCTTACTAATCTCTCTTGCTCTCTCACTACCAAAGAAAAGATTCGGTGATTAAATAGAAAAAAAAATAGTTGACAAAACAGAGAAGCAGTACTCGTGACAGCCACAAGCTAATCTTAAGAGAGGATTTAGTTATTTGAATCCAACGGACAAGAGTCATCCACATGTTTTAATACATATTTATAGAAAGAAGCATGTTTTGTGATCAAAATACTAAAGACCCGATCAAAGATTCTAATTACAGAGCTTAACTACTTAAGTAAATAATAATTAACAGCTTGACCAGACTCTAAACTTGGAACCTCTGTTGTGTAAACCTGAGTTGGCATTTGTCGTTAATAAGTTAAACTTTTGATTTTGGATAAGAACGAATGTGTAACAACGTTGACTCTTTGAGGGCGAATTTTGACTAACTAAGATTTTTAATTTATTTTCGATTAGTAAGATATGGGTAGACACCGACACGAGTCCGTTATTATTGGATAAGAGCTATTTCTAATAGGTGCTTTTTGTTTTTATCCTCGTGAATATTTTTAAAATTTTCTTATTTTTATTCTTGTGATTATTTTTAAAATATCTTGTTTTGATCCTCGATCGTGAATATTTTTGAAATTTATGTCACTGTGTAACCAAACACATGATTTGGCTGGACTCATGGAGTCAACTATGGAGAGTCAGAGTGTAAAACGTCATGGGTCCATTTTAATAAATTTTCAAAGTTTGAAGTTTTAGATGATTTGCCCGAAAAGTCAAGTGGCTATCCCATTTAGATTTAAGAAAATCCAAAAGGGTTTCATTAGTTTAGACTTTGAATCATGTGAAAAGCCAAGTACTTTTTTTTGTCAATTAGGCCAACAGCCAAAAAAAAAAAAACTTATTTAGGAGATTTGCTGTATTTTCTTAATTATACAAATATCCTCATGTTGATAAACTTAGGTGAATATTTTTTTTTGGTGATAACGGGTTGTGGTTGTGGGTGAGATTTGAAACTATAACATACTATTAAATGACGTGCTATTGGTTCATATAGTGGAGTTAATACTTCATGTTTGTCCAAATAGAATGGCTAAAATAAGAAACAAAATTATTAAGAAACAAAAAAATTCATCGTGAACTTCACGTCTGCTTCACGTCTTCGCGTCTGCTTCAGAGATTCAAACAGTGACATAGCTTCACGTCGTCTACACATTTCGGGTCGGGTTCGGTTCGGTTCTTCGGGTTCGGGTATTATGTCCAGGCCTAATTTTTGGGATACATTGGATCTTTCAATTTCGTGCAGGATTAATTATTTATCCGAAAACTTCGTGTGTTAGACAACGAACATAACCCGGTTTCATTTGGTGGTTTGGCTTTTGGTTTGCATATGCTTTACTGATTTTAGAGATTGTAGCCGCCAACTTCAGCTCATTACCACTCTTATTCTTTTAACCAAATTGTCTGCTAAGTTAAAAGCACATTTAAAATAATTTCAAATATTTAAAATCTTGAGAGCTTTTGTCATAAAAACGAAAACACAATTGTGGAATCAACTGTTGAAACGACATTACAGTTTATTTACATTTCTGATATAACGTTGTTAATTTTTCAAATTTTGTTTTCATTGTTAAAAGTTAACTTTAGTACATCAAAGTAGATCACGTTTCTCAAAAGATCACTTAATAATTTCCACAGATTTTATTCACCAACTTTGTACTGTTCTGTTTCCGGACGAGTGGGTGTTATTGGATTCTGTCGTCAAAAGTTTATATATGACTTGTTACTATTAGTATGAAGAAAGCATACTTTTCAACAAAAATGTTCCAAAATTTATATTAAAATATTAAAGAGTCATTAGTGTAATTATTATAATAGAGAAAATTAAAAACATACACATAATGTAGACTATATAGTATTACTTATGTAATTTTCGTTTGTTTTCAATTTTTTTATTAAATGTATAGCTATTGATACAAAATAAAATATATTGACTATATCTAAACAAGTCCTGTACTAAACCTCAGCCAGTAAACGGACATAAGCAAACACTGCGCAAGATGATTAACGTTTTGAACAGGTGATGCGATGATGATGATGTTGATGGATTTATCTCACCGACGTATATCTGTTCCAGTCCCATGGGCTGAGGTGGTAGCAGCGGCCTTGGAATTCCTGATGATGAAATTGGTGTTGTGGAGGTGGTGGCGGCAATCTAAACTGTATAGGCAGCGAAACCGCTAGACCATGTTGTTGTTGTTGTTGTTGAGGCTAACTCTGAGGCGGCCAGGGAGGACAGTAGACTTGCAGTGGAACAGGTGGGACATTGCCATTGGCAAACACGCGTTGCGGTACTAGTGGACCGTTAATCTGAGGTAGTCGGCTGGCGAAGAGTTTGGTTGGCTTTTTTTGGGTCAAAAGTCTCTCTGTGATATCAAGAAGACTCAAAATGTAATGAGTCAAATAGCGAGAAACCTATCCATATCATTGTTGAAACTTGGTCACTCTTATCTTTCGTGCAAATCAAAATTAGGGGAAACCAAGTAAAGTTGAGTTCGAACGAGATCAAGATTACACTATACGCGAAACCATTTTCCTACAACTCTACCAAGAAGCAGAGTTTAGCTATACCAACAGGCAACAGGACCAGCTTGAACCTTTAGTTGCAAGTAGAAGAATATGTAAAAACAACATAAAATGAAAGAAACTTGAATTCATCATGAAGCACAAGTGTGTAGAACAAAGCAGTGAACTATATGAACCTGAAAATTATTGACTATGGAATTCTAGAGGTTCCAACAACAACAACTTCAAGCTTTTACAAGCTAATTTATGAAGAAAAGAAAAATGCAGGAGCAGCTTATAAATAAACCTGCATACTAGATCATAGTTTTCAACAAGTCTTTAAACAGCTCAAGCAACAAAATAAGATGTTCAATCGCAATGCTATTGAGCTATTAAGCAGCAGCCTCTTTTGCAGAAGATGGAAAAGCATCGGTTTTTGAATACAGCCCGAGTTCCTCCTCAAGTTTCTTCCACGCATTCATGAAACTCGGAGGGAATTTCTTCTTCACCGTTCTAATCAACCCTTTGGCATCATCTATTTTCTTTTTCTCCACCAATCCCACAGCCAAATGCTTCAAAGTGTTGAAATCTGGAATCTTGTGCATATACACACTCTTCTTGAAGATCGCATAGCCTTGCTCGTACAATCGGCTATAACACAAATGAAATATCAATGTCCTAAAAGTAGCTGCGTTGGGAGCACAGTTGTTTCCTTCAAGTCCTTCATACACTTTCTTAGCTTCATCCAACATTCCTTTCTCGCAATACGCAGTCATAAGATAGTTATAGCTAATCGTATCGGGTTTCAATCCCATAGTGCTCATTTCTTCAATCAACTCCTTAACTCTTTCAGGGCTTTCCTTCTGAGCACTCATAATACGAACATTATACACCGCATTATCCAATTCACAGCCTTTCTTCACCATCTCATTCCACAAGCTATCCGCTACCTCGAGTTCACCATTCTTATACAAGGAACTCAAAATGGTGGTGAAAGCAATGGTAGTGACTTCCATGCCTTTACCTTGCATCTGTCTCATAATCTCAATGGCTTTTTCAGGCGAACCAGAGTCACAGTAGGACTTAATCAATATACCATAAGAGATTTTGTCAGGAACGATCTTATTGTACCTCTGAGGAATTTCGTCGAACAGTTGGGGGACTTTATCAAACTTCTTGGAATGGAGACAAGCGTTGAGCAAGGCGTTGAACGAAAGAGCTGATCTGGGTGTGCCATATTGATCCATCTGCTCGAAGGTTCTCATGGCGTGATTAAACATTGAGGCTCGGCCATAAGATCTGATAAGCGTAGAGTAGAACGGTTCTTCTTTGATTTTGGGATCGTTTTTGTGGGATTCAATTAGGGTTTCGATGTCTGAGAAACGGCGACACTTGGCGAGGCGACGAACGGTGAGCTCTTGAGCATAGCGAGATGAAACAGGAGAGGCTGAGTGATCGGAGACATTGGCGTAGATCTTAAGGGCTTTGTCGGGATCGTGTTCTTTCCGGAGAGTGGACTTAGCTTTGGAGACAGTGATTTTGCCTGAAGACGGAGCGGTGGTTGTACCATCTGCAGCGGCTGAGGCAAATCGGCGAACTAAGCGGAGAGAGATACGAGAAGAAGCCATTTTGCAGAAATGAGTGTTGTGGAGAGTGGTGGCGAAAAAGGAGACGCCTTTAGGGTTTAGTGACTTCACAGAGATTTTGGGTTTTACTATTACAAGATCTGTCTTTTTTTTTGTTTCTCATCGAAATTACTCAACTTTTTGTCATGTCACATTGCGTGAGATCACGGATGTTTATCTGGGTCATTGATTTTTGAGATGAATATTTGAGAAAGAGACGAAAGATTTGAGATAAAAAAACGTTATAACAAGCAATGTATAGATCATCTCTTAGTCTTACAATCACGCAAAAGGGTCTTTAAACTGAAGAAGCAAAGTACTTGGAAAACTTAAGTAATAGAAAGCAAACAAAGAAAGTCATCAGGCTCCATAATCACCCTGTTCAAACTTGTCTTCAGGGTAATACACTGCAACGACTTCATTTCCTCCAAATTTCCTACCATTCATCCCGGTTCTTGCCCTCGTCGAGCCATCTGTATCGGCATACTTCAAAAACACCTGCACAAATGTATATCAGACTGTTAGATCACTGACTAAATAGAAATATACAAGGAGCAGAGAGAAAGAGAGAGATAAGTTTACCTTGCCAAGGCCTGGCACTGGCTCACCATTGGGGCTTGGACGCGGAATCACAACATTGGTCAAAGCACCTGCATTTTAAGAGTTAAAGAACAAACATTTCGAATACAAGACAAGAAAACAGAAGAGACAAAAACAAGTTAGTTTTTTCTTTCAAGAAAAAGTGGCCATTGGTGAAAAATAGATTAGAAGGTTTATGCAGTCTCCTGTCTGTGTATGTTAGGGCTGATTCTTTATAGCAAAAGGCTGTAAAACAGCACAACCAAGAAAACAGAGAGACAAATCAATATGCTTTTAATCTTATATTTCAAAATATTAGACCATATTACGCAATAAAGAGGTCTCTTACCAAACTTTCCGCCTTCTTGTCTCATGTCTTCCATTATATCTTCATACTCCTCGTCATCTCTAAGCTCATCCTCAGTAACAACTTGAGTCAGACATACCACAGTTGTTGCCATTGCACCAGGCTGTAACATAATCCTCTGCAAAAGAGAAAAGCATTAGTTTCTTAATCTTATAAATGGAATACTCAAGTTACTTCTCAACATGTTTTTGCATGCTCATTTTGTTTTCTTCCAATAGTCTAAAAAAAAATTAACCTGAAAAGCAATTTGCTGCTGCGCATGCAATAATACGCTCTCTTGTTCAGGCTTTGGTTGCATTGTTCCCTGGTTGGCACGTCTCACTGTAAGAGTCTTATCTCCCATCTTGATACCATTTAGGGCAGCGCACGCGATATCTGTAACAGAAAGATCTTGGTACACACAAAAGGCATATCCTTTAGAGTTCCCTGTTTCTCGATCTTTTACAAGATCAAAGCCCTTAAGGGCTCCAAAGGACTCCAACAACTCCCTGACTTGGGATTCAGTGAAGTAATATGGAAGTCCACCAACAAAAATACGATCTGGTCCCTCAAGCCCACCAGAAGCACCTGGAGTCAGACCAACAGCAGCTAAGTTTAGATGGGGACTGGGCTGGCTTGGACCAAGAGTTGCAGCTAGAGATGGGTTATAGTCACTAGGTCTCCTCACCTTCACTGGAGCTCCCTGGAAAAGGAAAAAAGATAAGCATTCACTTGATAACCTATATACCAAAGAAATGCAAGTACTAAAACTCAACCAAATAAATGGTAGTGCGGTAAACATTAAACGTACCTCAAATATAATCCCATCCAAAGACATAGCGTTACTTGCCTCTTCAACAGATCGCATCTCCACAAAAGCAAACTTCTTCTCGTGGTTTATGTAGACATTAACAACTGCATCACCTGCGAGTAAGAAAAAAAAAATTAAAAAAAAGATTAATCCAAGCATCAACAAAGGAAACTCTACTATAGCATCTGCACCAGGATTACGTACCTGGACCAGCAGTGTTACCACCAACAGCAGCCATAACTTGACTAAAAAATGTAGCCACGGACTGCAATACATGATAATAAATCAATGTTAGTATCATTTGCTGGAACATATTTCAGAGGGAAAAATTGAAAAAAGAAAGTGGATGATAACCTGTTCATTTGCCGTAGGGGAAAGCCCACCGACATAGACTCTGCGAGCATGCCTAGTTGCCTGAAGACACATAAAGTAAATAAGGAGACAATATTAGAAACAGAGAAATACATAGTATCTTGCATATATGATATATCCATGAAAAATAAAATCTAACCTGCTGTGTCATAGCCTGAATTGGCATCATAGAGAGTCCGCCAAATGACTGCAGGACATAGACGAATTAGTTCAAGAAAGACATCAATTAAGAAAATATTAAAAGGGTAAAGACCACAAACCTGTCCAGTCGGCAACGGAAACATGTTGGGAAACATTCCAGCCCCAGGAAGAGTTGGTGGTGCGGGAGGAGCTTGACCTACAAAAGAAAAACAGGTTATACATAAGAAAATTAAATATGAGAAAACCTAGTTTACCGTCCCTGGAAATGTATTGGCGATATCAAGAGGTTTAAGTCTGCATGGTGAAAATATTTGCAAGACTAACAAAACCAGTGATGTGTACTGAGGATGAGCAATACCCATATAACCATTGCAGCAATTCTTCCTTGTATATAAGAGCTAACCAGCCCACACCCAGTGTTGCCTTACCAAAACAGAAAAGCAAACAAGAAACACAAAGACCACCAAACAACCAAAAGCTCTCAGTTCTAGCGTTATGTCCCATGTAAAAAAAGAAAGAAAACAGCCTATGTTTTTGTAGTTATTCAGGAGAAACAGAATTGCTCAATCCCACTACGTGCATTAGGTATGAATTCAACATTATGCTAATGAGAAGGTGCTAAATTAAAGAGATATACCTGTAACAGCAGCACCAGCAGCTAACATTGCAGAGGCTGGAGGTGCCATATCGAATCCACTGACTCGCTTACTGCAACAATATATATTGAGGTTACAAACTTTCTTAGATTGAAGCAAGTATTTCATATAAGAGTAAACCAATGAGAAAAAAATGCTACCTTTTCGATGGAGATCGCTCAGATCTATCCTTTGAACGAGAACGAGATCGACGACTGCGTCTACCTCCTCGATCATCTCTACGCCTAGAAGAAACAAAAATAAGCCAAATCAGTACCCTGCATAAAATCGAAAAAGGATTCTATCTAAATTGAAAAAATAATTTCGATTCAAGAACAGTCACCTATCATGGTCACGATCACGGCTTCTACGGTAATCATCATCATCCCTACCACCACGTTCTCTTCTTTCACTACGGTCCCTACTATGATCCCTGTGACGACTACTTCTGTGATGACGCTCACGATCTCTACTCCTCTCCTTGCCTTTATCTCCATCTCTATCCCTGCTTCGGCGAGAGACTTCAGAGTCCCTTTCTCTGTCCCTATCACGACCCTTCTCTCTTTCTCTATCTTTAGATCTTGATGTCTCTCTTTCATGGTCACGCGATTCTCTCTACACATGTAAAACACACACAGAACTCATCAATTACAGTTTAAGAATCAATGAAACAAAACGAAACCCATACACAAAATCAATGAAACAAAAGCAGCTCTAAACCTAATCATCTCAATTTTTGCACCCACTCGATTACCAATTCAAAGAATATAGATTTGAAACTCGAATAAACAAAACATCCAGAAATTATAAGCTAGAGGATGAAGATAATCAGAGAGAAAATTACCTTAGGTTTCGAGTCCAATTGATCCTCGATTTCGCCGCCGCGGCCACCGTTCTCTTCAGCGTAAAGCGCGTCAGCAACCGTACCGTTTCCCTCGTGATCTTCGAATTCAGTCATCTTTTCGCCGGAATCAACGTTTTCTATCGCTCTCTCTCACCGGAGATAAATTTGGTCTTTGTATCTGCCGTCGAGTTTCGAAGAAAGGGGAGGATGCAGAAACCAAACTATTTTAGGGTAATTTTCGGATTATTCTATTATTTTATAGCCAACACGGGACCGCCTGTGAGGGTATTTTTGTCAATTAATTAAAATAGAAAACAGGCCGGTCTATATCTAATTAGGCCCAAGTGTCCGGTCAAAGATTTGGCCCAATACGTGTTTGAGATAAATCTAGGTTTTGTGAATTCGCCTTTTATACATGTCCAATATCTCTTGCAACAACAACAACATAACAGAGCATGGCAAGTTGATATGAGTATGTATTGTACCCAAAAATATGTGAAATCTACACTAAACAATAGCTTATACACTAAATATGTGAAGGATGTAACTTCTTGACCAAAGAGTTATCAATAACTAGAAGTAAACGTCGTCAGTCAACAATATCTCGGAAACATTTAAACAAAACATAATACAATAAAAACTTTAAACATTGGCCTGGCAACAACACAAACAATACAAACATTAACAAATACACAAGACGAGGAAAAAAAGAGAGGTCAAAACCAAAGTTCTAACCATTAACAACAAACCAAACACTCTTGAAATCGGCGTTCTCTTTTAATTACTTCTACGGCTTACATCTCCTCTTCACCTGCCATTTCCCATTCTTTCTCCATCGGTAGTTGCGGTTCTAGAGGTTCTTCTTGTGATGGTTGCGGCTGCGGTTGGAACGGTTGTGGTGGCTGTTGAGGTGGCCACCGCTTCTTCTCTTCTTCTTCTTCTCGTTTCCTCCTCTCTTCCTCTTCTTTCTTCGCCTCTTCTTCTTCTTTCTTCCTTTCATCATCTCTCCTCTTCCTCTCATCATCTATTTTCTTCGTCTCCTTCTCCACCTTCAGCTTCTCCATCTCTCCTTCCGCACAAGAAGGACATTCCAAGATAACAGCTTCCTTCTGAGCTCCCAACAATCCATCAATCATCACACTACTCACATTAAGCGACGCAGCCAATACCTGCCGGTCAAGCATCCGTAAAGCCGAGTCCTCTCCGGCTAAGAACTGCGGCTCGTTATTCTTAGCTGAAGTAGTAAACCCAACGAACACTAACGAGTCATTGTTGAAAGACATTTGAGCCATTGGATGTAACCGTGGAACTGCGAAAATATCTCCTTCTACTA